CACAACATTCATTCAAATAACGAAGAACTTGCGTGTGTGTGGTGACTGTCGTGAGTGATACTTTACTTATCATTGTATTTTCGTGACCTTGTTTGCTTGTAGATCAGGCCACGAAACTGATTGCTGCCATCCGACGGTGTCACATAGTGGTTCGTGATGCAAACCGAATTCATCATTTTGATCCGGATGGTCACTGTTCATGCAATGATTATTTCTGATCGATGTGAAGCGTTCGTTTCTAGTCAAATTTTCCGCTAAGATATTGTTCAAATTGTAAATTATTGGTTTTAATCTGAATTGCCATTCATGAGAAAACCGGTATCTGACATCCGACCGATTCCGTTTCTGTGTTCAGTTTGAATGGACAATTTTCGTCACGTTAAAATCAAGGAACGTTCCATGTAGCAGTGATCATCTAGAAATGCTTACTGAGTAGATAATTACATGAATGTACAGATGATCTTATATATGAAATATTGCAGTCAGCTAGTCATTATTGTCCAATCAATTGTCGTTGTTCTACGAAATTATTGCTAGATATAAAGTTAGACAGAAGTTTTACATCAAATGAGGATTGTAGTGATAGATGAACGAAACAAGTGAATATATCGGTGAAATGAGTGTGTTATATGATAAGCGCGCTGAGAAGTCTGAAAAAGTCACGAGAAAGTCTTGGTAACTAAAGTTGGACAACAAGATCATGATATAATTTGTAAATCAGGATTAGCAATGCAACACATTCGCTATCGATATGTGAACAATTGGCATGACTGTTGTAATTGTACAGGGAAATAGAAAATAGTTCATATTAACAAATGATCATAGCAGAAATATTGGCGTGAAGCTTTCATCACGAATGTTAGTACACTCTAGTATTTAAATGATTTATTGTCCGAGTTCTGAGGCTGCATCTTATTCTTCACACCCTCATCACCTGCAGACTAACTTTCAAGCTATCTTGGTATGGTCATCTTCTGTCTGATAGTTTCATGCTGATGGTCAGTCTCAACTACAAAGCGGTTGAGATTGGATAAGATGAGGACTGGTGAAACAATACGATGTGCCTCGCATGGTCTACTAACATTTCTTTAGATTCTTAGCATGGTCAATAATAAAAACAAAACTTACACGCTGGCTTAAGTAATCGATTTATAACTTCACACCAATGATGATCGCATATGAATCTTCTCCTATCTTCATGCTACTTCTTTTCCTTTTGTTGTATTTTGTATTATGCAGATCCGAAAGTATGTGCTTTCGTTGCGTCTAGTCTCGAATTAGGTAGAAAAGAAAAACATTGAGAAATATATTTGCCATTCATATTTCATTAACAAGTTGAGAAAAAAAAGAAACGATGAAATATTAATAATCATAATATGCGTATGTATTTCTTCTGTGAAAGTATTTTAATGTTATCATTATTTGTACAGGTTCATTATTTTCACGTCATACGTACGCGTGACAAAAAAAAGAAAATGAAGAACGAATAATGCAATCAGCACATCGTATGTAAAAAAAGGTATATGTGTGATTGATTTAGCAATAAAGAAAGAAAGTATTGAACAGATAAGTCAACAGTCATATATACGAAGTATTTGTGAATATAGGATAGAGGAAGATTTGAAGAGATATTTAAGAACACATATCAGTTAGGAAAATGAACAAAAAAAATATCTGACATAACAATGAACAAATAAGACACGCACACATATCGACATTCAATATCACTTGGCACTCTCTTTCACAACAGGTACAACAACGGGTGCCGGTACAGGTAGATTTTGTGGATCAAATTGTTTGAAATAAGAATGATTAAGGCATTGTTTAGCTGATATACGTCGCACTGGATCGTAGACAAGCATTTTCTAGAATCAAATATGAAGCGACATTTTACAAGAGAAAATAATTAAATATTTCGGTCAACGAACAAGAAGTAAATCAAGTGCGTCATCACGCATACGATCATTAAGTAAGGATGACAGATCGCTACTTTGTTTCCATCGTGGAAATGATGATTTAAATTCTGGTAACGATACAACACCAGGCCATGTTTCGTCTGTTGGTGTACCGAGTGTCCTACGTAAAATAACTGATGAAGTTCACGATACGAATCAAAACTTCAAATCTGTACCGAAAAATGCGAAAGAGTTGATCGATTTCCGAGTCACCTTGAAACAATGGACGTTTTGTATACATTTCAGCAAAAATACAACCAACAGACCAAACATCAACTATTGAAATGAAAACTACAAAAAGAATAATCATCTTTTCTGCATACCTGGACATGAATAACGCGACGCACCGAGCAATACTTCAGGCGCACGATACCACAATGTCACAACCTGAATAGAATCAATTGATTTCAAACAAAAATCGAATGTTTATCCTCAGCTCACTTCATGTGTATAAATTCTCAATGGAACACTAAATGCTCGTGCTAAGCCAAAATCAGCAAGTTTAATAATACCTTTGGTATCCACAAGCAAATTTTGTGGTCTAAGTATCAAAGAAATTCGTATGAATTGCGAAAAATCGTTCAAATAGTTTCGTTTTACTTCAAATCACGATGAATTATTCGTCGGCAATGACAAAAAAGTAATGCATCGATTATTTGATACATATAGCTCTAAATATTAACGTGAATTACAAGGCAAACCTGATCTCTGATCTTACTCGAATTAAAAGAACATCCATGTCTTCATTTTCACCTAAGCAGTCTAAATATTTCTTCAAATCCATTGCTAAATATTCGAATATTAAATACAGTCGAGCATCAGTCAGAATCACATCACGAAGTCTATTTCGAAAAATGAACACATAAACTTCCTACTATTCACTCTTACTGCACAATATTTTGATGTCGAAGTTCTTTCAAAATTGATATTTCCCGAATAGCTGTTGCCGGCACCCCATCATCTTCGCCTTCCAATCGAATCTTTTTCAAAGCATATATCTGTGATGTTGGTCGATGACAAACTTTATACACAATACCGTATGTACCTGAGTATTCAATGAGAAAAAGTACATTGGGAGTGATAGGTAAAGAAAAAATTAATGCATACCTTCCCCTACTTTACTCAGTCTTTCGAAATCGTCGATATTAAACTGAGAAGGCATGTTAGAACACTGCTCTGAAATCGAAAAATTCCGTGACGATTTGTTTACAAGAGTATGAAAGGGAATGGATCGAAAATAAACGAAAACGAAAATGTGAAGCAAGCGATTGTCAGCCGTCAGGCTGATTATAACAAAGACCACGAGCGAAGTGGACCAATGGATAACGACAAAATCTAAAACTTAAGCAATCGATAATTAACCTTATTTGAATACTCGAAAGATGTCCTATGATTCTTCTCAAGTCTGAATTTTTCTCAAATACTTCATTAAGTTTTCTTAAGTATTACGAATGAGGGCGCCACTTCTTTTTTTCCATCTGTTTACCCTATACACTGCGTACATAAAGCGTGACAGGATGTTGTTGAAACGAAAAATTGCTCTTCTGATTAACATTCGACTCCATGGAAAAACCATGTTCGATTTCGTCGGGATTCAATGCTCGTTGAACAGCTGCTTAATCATCAGTCTCTGGTGACAATCACATCATTAAAGAAACTAAACCTGTTTCTTTAGATCATTTCTCGTGTGTAGTTCGGCAAATGTTATCTAAAGATCCATTCTATGCTGTTCGTTTCGGTAGACAATTATTAGATAATCAAAAGCATCTTGTCCGACAACATTCTTGAACTACAGGTCGAGCTGAAAATCTCTTTTCACAAATAGACAAAGATGATTTGATGTTATCGATAAATGAAAATGAAAAGAATTTACTTCATCCTACAATTGTTACTTTTCCATCTGCTGAGAATAAATTCAAAATGGATTTAGGCACAGAAGATAAAACTATACCCAGTCATGAAATAGCTCGTTGTTTTGGTTGTGGTGCACAACTTCAATGTTCTGATCGAACGAAAGCATATGAGGTCGATGAACAAGTCTATACAGATATTCAAGCAGAAATTAAAAGAGAATGTGTCTTGATTATTTTAGTTGTCGATCTTCTTGGTACACCTAATTCAATTAGCCGATCATGGGCACATTGCGTCGACCAAACATCTCAGCTGACAAAGTCCTCATTGAATATTGTAACTGTTCTCGGAAACAAAGTTGATCTTTTGCCAAACGGTATGTTAGTTTTCGACCTTTTCTGCATATGTTGTTTATATTATTTTGTCATAGACAGCGAATCATACCTATTCGGTGTGCGAAAATGTTTGAAAAATGAATGTATAAAACGTGATTTAGGAAAGCACTGAGTGAAATATGATGGTGTAATCAGTGCCTGAACGAGCTATGGAGTTGATGAATTGATTTCAAAAGTTTTTCGTCATTGGTCACAACATGGTTCGTTTTCCAATACTCTTTGTTTTCGAAAAATATTGAGCTTCTATTTCGAACAGGTGGTGTTTATCTGCCTGGTGCAACTAATACGGGCAAGAGTAGTTTATTCAATAGTTTAATTGATTCAGATCTGTGTCATATTCATGCACTTGATTGTATTCAACGTGTGACCATATCGAATCTTCTCCTTTTTACTCAGGAACGACAGTGAATGTACTTCGATTTTCAATTCAATTATGAACGGGGAAAAATCAGTTCATGCGTGCAGAACGTTTGAAAGGACGCGAGGAAAATGAAACAATCGTCGGTAAGTTTTGCAACGAACTAAAAAAGAAGATTGATGCGAGAGGGAAAGTCGTCTCTAGAAAATATTGAATCTACGGTGAAACGGCGTCATCAATTCTAGTCTGGAATGAATCTGCCAAAAAGTAAAGCATCATATATGTTTTCATCCGGCAACGGCTCGTTTGATGAAGATCGCTCATTTCTCTCACATGAACATAATTACATCAATTATCGATAGAAGAATAGTGAATCTTCTATTAAACGTTGCTCAAACAATGTTAATTGGGCGAATCGCAAAAAGATGAACGAAAAAGCATTGGAAAATGATCAATTTGGAGTAAGCAGTTTACTCTGCGATTAGATCCAAAGGAAAAGCATGATTTTATTTCGAAAAGGTTCTCCAAAATTGTATCAATGATCGACTTCAAGATCCACCTCAACTTCATGGGCCAACCATTGAAATTCTTAGAATTGGAGAAGAAGCTGGAGATATCGTCCTATCATCTGCAGGTAAATATTCTTTAATCAATGTTGCAACGAGACGTTCCGATACAATACAATATCTAGGAAGGGCAAGTGTTCAGTGTAGTCGTGCCTAATATGTCATATTTGATGCAATGACACCAGATGGTCTTGGTATGCATCTTCGACAACCAGCGATACTTAAGAATTTATTTATGTGGTTCACACATGTAACAAACACCATTCTTCAGTAAACATTCTTACGTGGAGGATCAAAACAAACGTGTGATGATGATGATCGAATGAACTTGAAATGATCATAAATGAAGGACTATGGAAAGGAGAACAAACTACGTATCGATGACGAGCAAAACATACATAAATACTTGTCTTATATATTTTGTTATTGTTTTCAATTTTTCCATTGAATAAGATAAAACAAATGTATGATTTACTTTCAGGGTAGAGTCTACATAAATCAATGTCAAAATATGATGAAGATATAAATGAAAACACTACCATGATGTATACAACAGTTGTCTATGTTTAAAAGCGCTCTCAAATTTTATACAATAGGTTTTATCCATACATATAGAAAAGCAATTGCTAAATTACGATTTGATTTCCTGTATTTTGTTATTATTAATTAGCCAAACAAATAAATGTTTTTAAAACTATGATTCAATAGTCAAGCGAACGCTTATGTGACATAACAAGTGCCTCACAATATTATCAAGTTGCTTTGTATTCCTACATTTTCAAATAATTCGCTTTTATGATTAATAGTTCATACAGATTTTTTTCGACTTAAGAATTTTTTCCGAAACATCGAGCATTATGTTTCTGTTTATTCATTTATCATCACCTACAGCGGAGTCAAAGAACTTATATAGAAGCGAACGAACATTGGATATTGTTTTCAAACAAGTTCTCGTTTTGTATAAGAAAGCGACAACTGAAGTTTATTTAGATAAAGCGCTCAACGCTTTTCAGATCATATCTAGTGATAATGAAGATACTGTATACGTCGATTTTCATCAAGCTAAAGTCAGCATAGCGTCCATTCGAATCGACTCACTTGGTCCTTGTTTAGGCTCTTTTACTGGATTTTATTCATGGCGCACAGCCAAAATGTTTTCTCGATCATTATTCGTTTGCCATTGATGAGTCAAGCGCGTCATTGCATGACATATTGAACGTACTTTCAAAATGAATACGTCTCAAACTAAAATCTTTCTTGGATGGTATGCCTGCCATCAGACCTACTTCTGACCGTAGCGGTGTTCATAATGCGAAGCTAATGTTTATCGGAGGTGATACTAATGAAAGTCAAAATATCAAAGCTGCATTTTCCTTATTGAAGAAAAACGATTACGATCTGGAATGTACCATTTTAGAGTTATGATTCGCACTATCTGTTCTCTTTCTCGTAGAGAGGAGTCTTAGAAACATAAATTGTTTGCTTGCTTGTGTGTCCGCACTCCACTGATTGGTCGAAAAATCAGATGAAACTAATAATCTAAATCTCTTTCTTAGAAGTATGGCCTAGGGTTTTTTTGGGTTGAGGAATCCGAATTCGATCTTAGTTTTTTGAAACTTCTAGAAAAAAATTTTTTAGACAAAGGACCACTTTTTTACGAAAAATAATTTTTTTTCATGAAATTCGACCAAAGGGTTTTTTTGGGTCGGAGAATTTAAATCTGATGTTACTTTTTTCAGAATTAAAAAAAAATTTTCAAATCAAGGATACCAATTTTCAGAAAGACATTTATAACCTGTTTACAAGCTCGACCCTCTCTTGCTCCAGACGCTGAACTGAAACGTATAAATGAACTTGACAAAAAGACAAGACGAGAATGTACCTCTTCCGCTTTTTGAACGTGTATAAATCGATACACTGTTAAGAGTTTAGTGTTATTACAAGCATATGAAATGTATTATTATTGTTCAAATTATCTTAAAATAATTATTCTTATATATTCATTTTTTTACCTCTTTCTTTACATTTCTCTTAATTATTGTAGTAATCGTTACTTTTCTCTCATTGTAGCAGATATTTCTTATCGTGTTTTCTTATTTTCTTTTTTCATGTAATAACTCATAATCTACTCAATTTGAGGGTGAGGGTGGAGGGTGTGGGGTTTGATTATAATCAACCCTTTTTTCACAGTGTGGCACTTTGTCCTTCCTGTTTGATGAAAAATTTCACAATTCGTATTCAATGGTTTACACTATTTGGATCAATTAATTTGGCGACTATCAATGTCAATCCCATTGCAAAAAATTAGTGAAATATGACTGATTAACATTTAGTGTTCTCGAAAACAAAACTTTCATAATCCAAATAAATCTCTAATGTAAGTGGTAGAGTTTTTCATATTCCACTATATTTTTAAGTTAAAAAAATTAATTGACACGTATTAATCCCTTTTGATGAAAATCGAATCGCTTGGCAAAAGAGTGAAAGGCATAAAAAAGTTCCTGCGTTTCAGTTCTTATATTTACCATTGTAAATGTCAAGACAATTCACTGCGCATACGTATTCTAATGCCATCTATATGTGAACGCCAACAATTCTTAACAGTTAAAATGATTACACGTCATTTGTTTTCGTCAAAAACATATATATCTACATCAACATCATGAATTACTACTCATAACGAACAAAATCAAATATTTTTCATCGCTTACAGTCTCTACAGCACGGTCTGCTGCACGATTGAAATACAACATGCACACATTTTCCACATTACCTGTCGAACTAGTTTATCGAATTATGGATCATCAAAATGAGCAGACGCTATTTTGTTCAATGCAAAATATTTGTCGACGGCTCAATCAGATCCTGAGGACTTACCAGCGATATCAAGTAAGTTTACTTGGTATCCTAACATTCTTGTCGACTGTGCTATACATAAGCTTAATGGTATTTCATGTCGTAGCTGCCCTCATAGGAAAAGCTAAACTAATTTCATCATTCACAAATAATTTGCTAGGATGAGACAATCACAGCCAGAAGTCATACGAAATCAAGCATTCCATCACACTCTCCCTTCTGTTCTATGTACATTGAGGATGCATTCGATCGATACGCGACCACGAATGAGCAAAACGCTTACTCATGCGTTACCGTTTCTGTGTTGAGCTATTCGATCGAAAAATTGCAACAATTACAGCTTTTGAGAGAACCTATCTACTCAAGCAAACAACACAGTACAGTTGCTTCACCTATGCCAATATTCATTCTCAACAGGCGTACATAAAATCCAACTCCTACATTTGAGAAGAGTAGGACTTGGATTACAGTGGAGCGCGTCTTCAAAAGAGAAATCTCATTACCACCAATAGATATTGAAACTTATGTCCTACCATTTCTATCCCACCCTTTCACAGTAATCTCCAGTCTAGATTCTCAACAAGGCACCTCTTTCCTGAACCACAACTAGCATCATCATCCACCCAAAGAGATTCACATTTACACCCGACTGCTCCTTAAAAATCGATCCAAAACATAATTATTTCAAATCACATACATACCATCAGAAGTGCCATCTGTAACGGCAAACTGGTTGAGTAGCTTACCACCTCTCACGGTACAGATGTTTATACATTACTCTACATGACCAGAATCCGTCTACTTCACAATAAGTCACATGCTTATATGGAGAAGAGAGAAGAAGAGAGATGACCCTGAGATAGTATGATATAGAGGTGAGAGAATAAAGAACAGAAAGAGATGAACGATATCATTATCGTTACATCATCAAAGTTTTTCTTTACTACTTCCGTTTTTCATTACATATTAATTCAATCCAGACACTCACCAAACTTAACCTCAGTAGCCACCAAATCGGTGCTGAAGGAGCACAACACATCGCGGATGCGTTGCGAACGAACGCAGTAATATTGATCTGATTTCATAGAAGACGAAGCACTCAGTCTATCTCACTCCCACAGACGCTCACAATACTTAACCTCGCTTGGAACAAAATCGGTGCTGAAGGAGCACAACACATTGCGGATGCGTTGCGAACGAACACAGTAATATTGATCTCATTTCATAGAAGACGAAGCACTCAGTTTATCTCATATATACAGACACTCACAACACTTAACCTCGTTGGAAACGGAATCGGTGCTGAAGGCTCACGACATATGGCGGATGCATTGCAAACGAATATGGTAATATTGATCTCACCTCATAGACAATGAAGCACTCAGTTTATCTCACTCCGACAGACACTCACAACACTTAACCTCGATGGGAACGGAATGGGTAACGAAGGAGCACAACACATTGCGGATGCGTTGCAGACGAACGCAGTAATATTGATCGCAATTTATAGGATATATAGCACTCATTCTGTCTCACACCTGCAGACTGTTATCACACTTGAGCTCTACGACAACCAAATCGGTGCTGAAGGAGCACGACACATCACGGATTCGTTGCGAACGAATACGGTAATATTGATCTCATTTCATAGAAGACGAAGCACTCAGTCTATCTCACACCTACAGACACTCACCACACTTGACCTCAGTCACAACCAAATCGGTACTGAAGGAGCACAACACATCGCGGATGCGTTGCGAACGAACACAGTAATATTGATCTCATTTCATAGAAGACGAAGCACTCAGTTTATCTCATATATACAGACACTGACAACACTTAACCTCAGTTGGAACCAAATCGGTGATGAAGGAGCACAACACATTGCGGATGCGTTGCGAACGAACGCAGTAATATTGATCGCAATTTATAGGATATGTAGCACTCATTCTGTCTCACACCTGCAGACTGTTACCACACTTGAGCTCTACGACAACCAAATCGGTGCTGAAGGAGCACAACACATCGCGGATGCGTTGCGAACGAACACAGTAATATTGATCTCATTTCATAGAAGACGAAGCACTCAGTTTGTCTCATATATACAGACACTGACAACACTTAACCTCGATGAGAACGGAATGGGTAACGAAGAAGCACAACACATTGCGGATGCGTTGCGAACGAATACGGTAATATTGATCTCATTTCGTAGAAGATTAAGCACTCAGTCTATCTAACACCTACAGACACTCACCACACTTAACCTCAGTGCGAACAAAATCGGTGCTGAAGGAACACAACACATCGCGGATGCGTTGCGAACGAACGCAGTAATATTGATCGCAATAGGATATGTAGCACTCAGTCTATCTCACTCCCACAGACGCTCACAATACTTAACCTCGCTTGGAACAAAATCGGTGCTGAAGGAGCACAACACATTGCGAATGCGTTGGGAACGAACACAGTAATATTGATCTCATTTCATAGAAGATGAAGCATTCAGTCTATCGCACACCTACAGACACTCACCGCACTTGACCTAAGGTGGAACGAAATCGGTGCTGAAGGAGCACAACACATTGCGGATGCGTTGCGAACGAATACGGTAATATTGATCTCATTTCATAGAAGATGAAGCACGCACTCTATTCCACATCTGCAGACACTCACCACACTTAGCCTGAATAGGAACGAAATCGGCGATGAAGTAGCTCAACATATTGCAGATGCTTTGGGAAGGAATATAGTAGGATTGATGCTATGGTCGAAGAAGTTCGAAATTTCTGTTTTACCTCATTCTTAGAGCGACAAGATGCTGTTGTTCTGACTGTGAGCTCAATCGGAGAACATGTGATTGCGGGATCTGATGACTCTTGGCGTAGATCGGATCTTTTTCGATTGAGAACTTAGTAGATATCATTTGTTGTGTGGTTCTGGTGACATTGATGAGTAATAAAGGTATAGAAAACGAATGTTGTTGGGAGAAGTGAATGTGACCTGAATGTTAATACTTTTTTTTTCTGTGAGAAATGCATGTGCATTAGTGAAAATGAATGGTTTAGTTACGAAGACATAACGGAGCAGTGATTGGTAGAAGAGGGGCATGCGTGTATGAGTGCTCGGTTTGGAGTTTGTTTCTGAGAGGGTATGGCGGAGAAGACAACATTACTGTAGACAGCTGGACTATATTGGAGATATAGATGAATGGGATCGATGGTAGTACAGCACGTATGCAGTCCGGATGTTATTTCTCCTAATGGCAAAGTGGTCAGGGTGTGGTACACTGAATGGCAGCGATTCTTCATTAGAAGAAAGCTGTTTCATGTTTTATTCCAAAGCCTAAATGTATTGATTGTTTGATGAGGAGGATTTATTTCTTTTTGTAGTTCATTTTTGTAGAGAGTAGTATTCATCCGCTATGTATGAGTTCTACGGTGCATTCGAAAGAAACGCTGTGTTATAAACTGACTAGAATGTCATAGTGAAGAGAGAATAATGAAAAAACAGCGCACCAAATCGTTCTGTTAGATTAATCATTTTCCACCATCAGCGTAGTCTGAAAACAAGTTATTTTGTCGAATATGATTAGCACTATTCACTCTTGGTGCTTATCCATTTTAAAATATCAGGGAAGTGTTTTTACAGTACTTTATCGTGGAAAGAGCTTTGCAATATATTCTCGAGCTCGTTTGTATATCATTCTGATAACAGAGCTTTGTGTTTATGGTTTGCTTATATCGAACATCTGGACACTGTTTGAAATGCTCAGAAGTTTGAGGTCGTATGAAATCTAATGATAGGGAGCTATTGTACCCTTGCTCTGAGATCTATCTTTTGAATGATGACAAAGTTGAAACCGCTTACCTGTGCATAAGTCAAAATCATAGTCTGTGCGCTAAGATATTACATATATACTCGTAGTGTTCTTTAACACTACACTGTAAGAGAACGTACATTTCATTTGGTTTGGGTACCTGTCTTTGAGTTCTCTGCACGTATCGGTGGTTGAAAACTCACACGAGAGAATCATCATTGAACAGAAGTGGATTTTGACCATCTGGAGCCACCGCAAACTGAATTTATACATATGGTATTACTACGTTTTGAGGTGTATCTGAAATGGTATGTATATAGCCCGCCTGTTTGCAAGGAGTTAACAGCGCTTGGTCAAAATACACTCATATAAATCGAGTGGACTGAAAGTGTGCAAAGAATCATCGTCTAAGTACAGATATTCTTGCTTTCAATCACGGCATTTGCGCATTTTTAGTCTCGGTTTGTTTATAAATGAGTACCAACAACGAATACAACCGTGTAGTAATAGTCTGTATGTGTTGTAGATAAATAATATAATTTGCAACAACCAGCAATGTTATCGACAGGATTTGTCTATACAAATATATAAAGCAGTCGAAGATGAGCGTGCCCGTCGTCAACGAAGGAAAATATATGTATTTTGTTTTCAGTAAATAAAATCGCGCCGTGCGATATTCAAACTTTTTAACTGATTATACAGCCACTTTTTATTACCGCTAAACATAGAGAGAAGAAATTGTCATTGTTAAAGTCAGGTAAACATGCTTGAATTAATTAATGTTCTTTACTTCTCAGTAATTGCAGGAACCTCTCCTAACACATGAAAAATATTCTCCCACATTTGTTCTGATTAGAGAGCTCACGCTCAAAAGTATCATCTTCTGATGGTAAATGTTGTTAAGTTTTCAGTTTAGATCTAATATTTCCAACAATAGCCATGCCCAAGTCCAAGATAACGAATGCGTGCACAATGCTACTTATTTCAGTATCCATATGTAATTTATAAGTAATGCCCGCCAATTGAACTCGCTGGTCTGATACTAAAATGTTAGAACTATATCGTTCAGCATACTTGAAACACCATAGAGACTTGTTTCATCTCATAAACCAAACCACTTGTCTCTTTGTAAGAAAGAGTAGTTTTTGCCTAATCGATTAGAATGACCTATCCATAACATCCTCTGTTTTTCTATTTCTATTCGAATTCAATGAACACGTTTAGTTTTATACCATGTTTAACACCAATGACATCCTACTGTACGTCACATGATGTTCTGTTTTTCAGCGAAGAAGAGCAAGGACTTTACGCATAGCTATCGAATAAGATTCGAAAAAAAAGGTGCACCAAAAGAAATTGACGTCGAGTTTGAGGTTCTGAATCTTAATTGGGCTTTAAGGAATGGCTGCTCGGAGCAAGTACACTCCATCGGACTCGATGGGAATTCGACAGAATCTGAAAGCTGAATTGCTCGTTGTTTATTTTTAATTTGTTTCTAATAATGAACATATTGAAAACAACTTCGATAAAGAATTATATAATTGAATATATCGATTAAGCAGTAAAGTAAATTTGGGAGCAAACCGTATAAACGATATGTATTCAGCAAAGATATGCAGCCATTTGTTTGTACTCATAACTTAAACATGTATTTTTAAAGTAAAAACAATGCTGCAGAGTTAGAACAACGCAACTTCATTCGTTTAATGATTGATTTCACGGAACAAAAAGTAATATTAATACAAAACAATACACTATAACATATTTTCCAAACAACTAATGTGTATAACAACTATATGAAAAATTGGTTGTTGTTTTCACTGTTCATTGTTACTCCATGTCTTCCATTGATAGCATATTCAAACATATCTTTATTATAAATAGAAAAATAATATTTTCCTAAACTATATGTATCATAATATCCCTCCGTACAACACAGTTCTTATTTAAGCCGATTAAACTGTCTTTCTCAAATATATTCTACTGAATTGAAGACTTTCGTTCAACTGTTCCATGTAAGAATCTATAGTGCGCAAGAATTCAAAACAGTCACCTGCAGAACTTCCATCTCCGCGCCCAAAAGCAAGACGCTTCTTTTTTCTTGGAAAAAGACTTCCTCTCTTTTCGAATATCAACTGGAAAGAAAACACTGCCCAGAAAATTCGCTCAACTTTAGTTTTATTTGAAAAAGCTGTGTTTTTTGCATAAAATTCACATGTATCTTCTGTGAATTGGTTTTTATCATTGATAAATTCCCTTCTCTATCGAATAATCCCTTTTGACAAGTTTTCCTTTCACTCGTTCGTAATTTCGCATACCTAGGAACCAACAAAGTGAACTATCTATAATCACTTTAACTTGTCTTCTGTATCACATGCTTAGACTATTCGATAAACATACATCGATTTTTCACTTATTTTCTTCATCAATAAAGTCTAAAATCTCCGAAAAATAGTAATAAAAATATCAATTAGCAAAAATTTCCGATATGAAAAATAGACATCAGTTCATCTGAATTCACCAATTAGATATTTTGTCAATTGTGTATGTGCCCGATGACTTGAAAATTCGCATTTTTCTCAGTTGTATAATGTTCAAAATTGATAAATAAGACATGAAATAGATAGAGCGCATCGAGTTCCACTTGGAACGAACGAAACGAGAGTTAGGATATCCTACATCAAAGATAGGTACGTCAGTTATTTTTTATTTGGATTGGGTAAAGTCAAATGACTTGCGATTTTATTTGAATTGTAGCTTGAAAATCAAGCTTTTTAGATGTGAATTGGTTTACCTTGTGCCAAAAACGTGACGTCTTTCCCGTGTTACAGGTGACTACATACACGGATCAATTTTCGAGAAAACAATGACGCTTTGGATGGAATTAAGATTAATAATTGTTCGCTTAGATTATATGATGTATGCTTGTTGAAAAATGTGACGATGTTTGAAATTTATGAGTTAGCTGTAAAATAGATCATGCATGAAGTAAAATATAGAATCTTTTCTGAAAAGCAATTGATATGGAACTTGACGTAAAAAAACGAATTTATATTAGTAGATGATTGGGTAGATTAATATTGACCATTTGAATTATCGATCGGAACAGATTAAATTTTGTTGCTTTTTAAAGTGATCAGCCATTCAATAATTATATTTTTCATTTAACAACATTAGTGACTAGAAGACGCAAAAAAGCAGGCCGACAATAGTCGTTCTTCTATATCATTTATTGACATAAATCAGTCGTAAATGTATGATTCTGATGATGATTCAAAAACATAGTAATTTTATATACTACAATCGATTTAAGTTTATTTCTGAGAGCAAAAGAGGAATTTCAGAATGATAGAAACAGTAGGACAAGATGAATTTGATTTTGATAAATTCCTATGAATAGGCATCAATAATAAAAAGTTATAATAAATATCTTCAAAAAACTTATCGAAAAGTCTTCGTTCTACAATCATGCGGGTGGGTGGTATAGTTGACTAGCGATACAACATACCGTATCGTACTTCTCTAAGCAAAATGCATTCCCCATTCATAAAAATTTTGAGTGAAGCCGCATCAGCAACGAAACAATAAATTGACATTTTTTAGCAATCAACATAAGTCATTTGTCACTGTCATCCTCACATGTCTTAACTCACGCAAGTGTCATTTTAAATTTGTTTTTCATATGATCATCCATCGTTCATTTTAAAAATAAACTGTCTCCTTCAATCTTTATCAAATCTTCGATTGGAAGCGAATCTACTTGCTTATTCGATTTACTGTAGGTTTAGCCTTTATCTGACGACTAGAACAAAATGATTATCTTGTCTTTGAGGTAAATCTGTTTTTATTTGACAAATTAAATGTTTCGCTTAAACAATTTCTTCTCAAGTAAAATGCAATGCTAAACGAGAGTTAACATATTCAACATTAAATAGTTACGAATGGCCATGATCGAACGAGTCATAAGGACCATTTAATTGAATTTCTCGATCAAATTTCTTGTTATTTTGAATCTATTGATACTAAACGATTCTCTTCATATCAACTTCGAATTTATTTGCTTATTTAGAACTTTTGGCTAATTCCTAATTTCGGTTACTCTTTAAAATTAATTAGACAGAAGTAACCGCATTCCGGAACAGAGTAAATAATGTAAAAATTCTACTAATTGAAAGATGACCGCATCTTATGAAAGAAAATATATTTCACTAATAATTCTCACCATCGAGAGAGAAATATGTTTTACAAACAAGTATTGTGAAAAGCTGTGAACCATTTTCGTTCGATCGTTTTAAACTGAATCGATACTTCTCATACAAAATTCCTGCACTACCTGATTATGTAGTCAATCGACTAAAGCTTTTACTACTTGGCGACATCATGCCAGTGAAATGCATATATCTTGTTATGATTAAGGATGTATTATATACAAGGTTGCAGTCTCAAGAAAATCTTCAGATACGATGGTCGGACACATTCCGATTACAACTAGAAATCAGGAGAACAGCACTTAGAAATTTCCAATAATGCCATAAGAGAGAAAAGGAAAGAAACACTTATATGCATGACGGCATCGAGAGAACAAGAGAAAAAAGTGAAGTCAAATAGGTATGATTATAGGAAAAACTCTATTGATTGAATTATCAAGTGTGAAATTGCGGCCATTTTGCAATCAGAAGAATATTTTCACTTATCTACCCAGTTCCGGAATACGGTCACTTGTAATTAACTGATTAAGAAAAGTGACCGCGATTAGGAAGCAGTGAAAACCATAATCTGACCGGCCAACAATTATCAAAACGTTAGCATATCTTTGTCTTCGTCATTTGGGAGCGAAAATTAATTGAAAATCAAATCTACAGACGCTTATTTGTGTAGCACGAATTGAATTAGCGCAGTTTGTCAATCGGTAGTCAAACTTCAATACAAAAGAAATGTTCAACAATGTTTAATTAGATATAATAGTTGGTGTGTGCTGAAAGATATGCAACGATTAGCAATAAATAAGCGAGTGTTGAAATTTCTGCTGTTGAATTCTACATGATCAATATGTATTTAGATTGTTTAGAACATTAACAGTAGCTATGTGTTGCATTAATGCTTTATTTGAATAGTATCGAATTCGATTTCAAAGTTTTCTCCCACTACTTAAACGACTCAGATCTCAATCAGAACTATATACTCTTGACCATTATGCCATCAAAGAAATTTGAGGTTGTAGTGAAATTCACTGCTGTTTTAGGTTGAAAAATGCTCAACTGAATGCCAAACGGCCAACAAGCTTGCTGACGAACCTACTTTATCATTTGGAATAAAATTAGAAAATTCTTCGATACATGTCAACACATCGATTAATTGCAAGTCTCAATTATTTGTATCGATCATTATCACCCACTATCAAAAGTAAGTCATTTTCTTACCTTTTGAGAGTGCTAAGTATGTTTGTCTCTTCTAACACGTCCAATCCATGTTGACTGTCAAGTCTTCTTCATTTCTCTACTTTTCACAAAGAGAAAACAACTGACCCACATAAGACAGAGATCATTTGTCGCCAATATATGCGACACTGATTTGCATCGGAAAACGATCTCATTCTAATTCACATAGCTCTGCTTGTATTTTATCTGATACTATAGCTGAACAATTATCGGCCACATTGTTATAGTAGTATAAAGACGCATTTGATGTTTCGATGGTACTTTGAACAACGAAGTATAACTTAGCTTGTCATCCTGATAGCATATGTTAACAAACTATCAAAACTGTATAAACAACTTTGAATAACTAAAAACATCATTGGAACATTTCTCAACACCTTTATTCCTGTATACGCCACTAGGCAGAAGCTTCATTTTCGAATGACGAATGACAGAGATCATACAAAAAATTTCGTTCTATCTATTCTCACCACATAACATCACCGAAATAATCGAATTAACTAATTGTCAGTGTTTTGCTTCAATCTTCAATGTCCGACGCTATCCTCACACTAATGCTGTCCTATTCAGCGCACTTTATTCTTTTCCGATTCTTGCTAATATAATATATCAAGATTTCCTCATATGGATTTGTTCACAGTCACACAATAGAACTGTAGAAATGATCAAAGCTGGACGACACGCGGCTACTGTAAGTACAGTGGACCATGGTTCTCACTCCAATACCACTTAATCCATCCCTCTACGCACGACGTTCTTTTATCAACAAAACAACAAAAAAAGAAAAGTGCATATCGATCAGAAATAATCATTACATGAACATTGACCATCTGGATCGAAATGATGAATTCGGTTCGCATCACGAACCACTATGTGACATCGTCGGATGGCAGCGATCAGTTTCGTGGCCTGATCTACAAGCAAACAACGTCATGAAAATATAATGATAAGTAAAGTATCACTCACGACAGTCACCACACACACGCAAGTTCTTCGTTATTTGAATGAATGTTGTGTCGGCATTAGCCACGAAGTTCCAAGCGATTGCAAGCTTTTCGCTATGTCCACAAAGAACGGATTCGATCGTTTCATCTTCTGCAAGTGGTCGCGTGATCCATGACGAGTCATACTCATGGCCATGTTCGATCAGTTCTCGTGAGATCTTCTCCAGTTCCACATAGATCTCGGCACTTCGTGGATGAGATCGATCGTGAGCAAGAAATTGCTAAACAACACCAGTCAGTTCACATTATTCGCTTTCGAACACTTACATATAGTTCACCATTGACTACAGTCCAGCTGAGACCAGGCTTTTTCTTGGCACCAGATCTACTTAGTTCGGATCGAATACTCGACGCTTTGTTCATATCGCCGGTCGATCCATACAGATTCGCAAGTAACACTGTGGCTGATGTGATCAAATCGGGTGAGCGAGGAAAGAGCTTGTTCATCCGTTGGTGAATGTTTTCGACTAACTGTTTGTTTCTCCGATTTCTTGCAGCTGACAGTAATGCCACTACAACGAAAGCAATTCATTCATTCACCCATTTCGATCATGAAGAGAACTGTTTCCATATTCTCAAACACAACTCATCTCATAGTGATCGTTTCGATGCATCTAGTGTCGTTCTTGGCAACAACATACTCACTGTACATGACAGGTGAAGGTGGATGATGTAGTTCATATTGATCGATCAGTTGTTGTGCTTCATCGAACAATGATCCTCGACTCAGACAATCCATCTTCGAAAGAAAAACATGCATCAAAGTCACCTTTGACAGATGCAACAGAATATATCACTTGACAATTACCATTGCAGCATAATGCTTTTCAGTTTTCGCTTCGATGCTGGAGAAGATCGAACGAGCTTGATCGATGAGTCCAGCATGCGAACATGCATTGAGAACACAAACATAAGTGAAATCGGCGAGCAGCGATCGTGGAACCTGATGGAAAAGTTCGACTGCTTTCACACCCATTCCATTGATGCCATAAGCATGAACTAAACAGAGAAATAAAGAGGGAGAGAAAGGTGAGAGTGGTGTTGGTGAAATTAATAGCAGAACTAACTCATTGATGCATAGCCAACTCGATCTATGGATGAAAGATTGGTGAAAACTTGTTCAGCTTTTTGCACACAACCAGCTTTACCCTAGAACAATCCATGAATAAAGACGCATAACTGTTCACATATCGTTGTTTATGTAAGACATACCCACATATCAATTAAGGAGTTGCAAATCTGAATATTAAGAAGCAGATGCTGTGGAATGTCATCCACAATGGCCTGACATTCGGATGCCATGGCAATCTGTGCCGATGCATTGATCGCAAGTAAATAAATGACGAGATTCGACTGCGTTTCCTTCATGTCTGGATGAAGAGAGTGAAGTGAGAAGAGATGTTTTTGCACAACTAACTTACTTTTGATTTGATGATAAAGATCAAGAGCATTGCTGGGTGTTTTGTTAAGAAGATATCCTAATGGAAAACGATTTCAACAGAACTTGTCAGAGAGATTAAATAAGATGGATACAACCTTTCATCATAGCTCCATACATGGGTAGAACCTTGTGTGGTAACTTGTGGAAGATCGCCTCTGCTCCCTTAATATCGTTACACTTCATGAAAGCATCGATTAAAGCCGTAAACGTATGATTATTGAGAAGAGACGCGTTTTGATACTTCTTCCACACGGCTTTGACCAAGCTCAACGACTGTTCCGATGGCAGTTGCGCACAAGCATTGAAGAGTAGCGTGATGATAAATTCATTGGGGTCTTTGATTTGTTTGAAAAGATCAATCGCTTTCTTCGACATATCATTTTTTATGTATCCTACAGAGGCGACAGCATTCAGCAAAATCGTATGGATAAACTGATGGAGAAGCATACCATTCATCATCGCTCCATACATCGATATCGATTTGCTTGGTGATTCAGCGAAAACGACTCCCGCACTCTTGATATCACCACATTTCATGAGAGCATCGATCACAGAGGTCAATAAGTTGTCGCTGCGAAGAGATTTGACTTTCGATTGTTCCCAGATTTTCTGGACTAAATTCAACGATTGTTCCGAGGGTAGTTGAGCACACCCATTGAACAGTAGCAGGATAAGAATTTCATTCGGATTTTTCACTAGTTGGAAAAGATCAATCGCTTTCCGCGGTAGCTCATTATATATGTATCCTACAAAAGTAAAAGTTCTCAGTAAAACTATTCGGAAAAAAACGAAGAGAAAAGACACCTTTCATCATTGCTCCATACATAGGTAACGTTTTGTATTTTGATTGATCAAAAAGTGTCTCTGCGTGTTTCACATCGCCGCACCTCATGAGAGCGTCGATGAAAGCAGTTAGCGCATGATTATCAAGAACAGATGTGTTTTGGTACTTTTTCCAGATGTTTTTCACGAAGTTCAACGATTCCTCGGATGGTACTTGAGCACAAGCTTTGAATAAAAGTGTGATCAAAACTGCATCAGGTTTGTCTACCCCTTTGAAAATCTCAATCGCTTTCTCGGGCTTCCCATTTTCAATGTATCCTAAACACAATATAAACACGTCTCACAGTTCCTTCACTACAACACCGATCAAAACTTCGAACCCTTCATCATCACACTACAAATATACACCGTTTTGTTTGTCGAAATGTGGAATAGAGATTCAGCTGTGTTCATATCATGACATTGCACTACGACGAAACACCATTGAAGATAACATCATCGCATTCGCAAGGAACATACTGTAGAAGTGGATAAGAGATCTCACTAACGAAGAATCAGCTGATAATCGATGTTGAACCAACTGATGAATATCTTGTCCACGTCGAAAGTCACGCACTTGTACACATGCTTTCAACGCCTGATCAATGATGAAACTGGACAGTTGATCCTTGTTCTTCTTCTTTTCTCTCTCGAACAACTCAATCGTTTGTTTGAACTGGTTTTTGTCATTGAGTATCTTCATCTGTTGACCAGGATCGATGGTTCGTGGGTGAGTGGAGAATGGTGATGTGGATGATATGCATGGTGTTTGTTGTCTGAGAATGAACAGAGTTCGGAAGTTGAAATTAACATGAACGAATCTGTTGGACATGATGTTGAGTGTGTTGGATTTACTATGATAAACAAGGAGTAAATCTAGAACTAGAATCTGATGTTCAGGGTTCATTATCAGCTGAAAAGATCATCGTCAATAGCTTATGATTAATTTATATACTGACCATGGAAGGTTAACAGTGATATAAGTATAGCACAACGCTGGAGAGACTTAGTCAGAAAATACGACTTCAAACGTCTTTTCGTTTCGAGAATCTTCGAGCTTTGACTGGAAAATCGAGTCATATGGATTCGCGATCGAGCTACAAGAGAAAGAGAGCCGGGCAACTAGCTTAGAATATGGAAATCGAAGATATTGGATCAGCAATACAGAGAAAAGACGAACACAGAATATGTTGTGAAAGTGAAGAGAGTGTGTAGTCTTGCATTTAATGATAACTAGGGCATTCAAATCCTAATTGCTTGGTCCTTAGAGTCTCCATATACTGCAGCGAACGATCATTCATCGAAATTGAAGAAAGAAAAAGAGTCATGTCGACAGTTGGCGCTCGTAGTCAGTGAGCAATCCAGTATGAAAACTGGTGAAATAGTCCATGAGATGGGTGCGATTCTGCTCACGTCTTTGGCTGTTTTGACTTATACTAGCAGAAACTTCGTCTGAATAGGTGCTCTTTAGCCTGTATCACTTACACAGAGATCAGTCCTTTCTCACGCTCGAAATCCTAGAATCTGGCACAGCAGAGAGCGAATAAAGCACATAACTCTTCGTTTCTTCTGCTATAAAGTCAGTCTGCATTAATTATCGTAAGGGCGAATGTTTTCATATGACTGAGACTTGTAATTTCATGTTTTGGCATGGAGTCTGTTCAATCGATAGAGTTTATCGCGAATGATCTGCATTAGACGTGTTTGAGTTGTGAATGAATGGATGTTCTTCAGAAATACGCAGGTATTGTATAGGGAGATGGACGAGTGACGTCCAAAGTGACTTGATTTGCTCATGTTTAGTTTGACGACTACGCATCCTCAAACGAATTTTGTAGTCATGTGTGTACAAATTGAGGAACTGAGAGAATTAGCTTCATCAGTTATATCATAGTTTTGTGTTGTAGGATCAATCTTTCATGACGAAGAATATGTTACAGAATGAGTCAGGTGTAAGACGATTACGACAATAGCCAAGTAGATGGAGAGAGATAAACATCTCACGAGAGAAAAACGATGTTGGTAGAAATTGAACAAGTACGAATCGAATGCATAAAGCCTGCGCATCCTTGATTATCATACTTTTCATGATCAGTTTCTGATTAAAGAGAGTCTACACGAGGTATTTCTAGGAGTGAATATAGGATAAAAGAAGCTCTTGCTATTCCATTGGATGCATAATAAAGCAGCAACACCTATTCTCAGGGTGGTCCATCGATTAGATCGCTATTGGCAACCGATGTCGATTTCGTAGTAATGTAAGAGTTCTGAATCTCTGTTTGTACAAATGAACATGTTTTCACCAAACGAAGAAGTAAATGTTTACTGAATGAACCATGATCTGATTATTAGATTGTTCTCATAGAGTTGAAGCCGGTTTGAACCTTTATTCGCTCGATGACATTCAAAAATTCACCGAACATGTGAAAGGAAATGAAACTTTTGTTTGATGGTCGATAAAATGATGTTTTTCTTTGAGAGACTTTGCGATAAGTTGTTTGATGAGTCTGAATTTAGTTTTACTTTTTGATACTGTGACGATATCTGATGTTATGCTTTGAAACTAAATCAGATTCGTGTTTTGTATTCATTCAATTGCATTTGTAGCTATGTCGATTTATCAGAGATACTTTTTCTTGTTAATGTCAATTAATGTATATATTTGAAGAAGAAAGCTTATCTGATTATTCGCTATGCATTCAGTCGCTGTAATATCTGTCGGTGCCAAACTTTCTAAGGTACTATTCTAAAGTTCAGAGGATAGTCGACATCCACTTTGTTCTGAAGAAAAAGAACAGCATGCTTGCTACAGACAATCTATGCAACTGATTGATAGGATTGCAGGATTTCAAAAATAGAGAAAATCGGTAGCGAAGACCTTCTAAGCGCTCATAGGCAACAATCCATATGTTCTACCTGTACATGAGTATTCTGTACACGCTACAAGCAACCTATAAAGCTGACCGATAGGATTCGCTGACCTTAATACATAGAGAAGAACGGTTGTCTATCTGTCTGTTCGTTGTGTATTCAGTTTCTGTAATATTTATGGTCGTTAAACTTTGCATGGAGCTTCCCCACGTCCTGAGGAAGGTCGATATAGAGTTGATTTTTCAGATGGAGGGTTGGTTGAGGATATCGGGATGAAATTTCACCCACTCTCACAGAAAGTAAAGAATGAAAATATCATCCTTTTACTCATGTTTAACAATGATAAAAGTAAATCCAAATCGTTTATATGATAGAGATTCCTAAATTCCTTCAGCTTTTTCTCTGAACGATACAGGATGAAAACAAATATTTTCTTTCGTTATATCATACTCATTTATAATTACTAAATGACGTTTACTCTGTGTAGTTTCCTTCATTAAGACAAGAATATTGACTAACTATGACAAAATGAAAAGAACAGCCATGTTCAAATAGAATACTTGTTTTATTTTATTTCAAATTCATCCACGTTGAGAAAATCGACGATTAAATCATATATTTCATCATGATTATGACACAAGATATGATTTTATTAAAAGCGGAATGATTAATCGTGATTTTCTTCGAATCTTGTTCATCTTTTTAAACTTATACTAGCTAGATAATTCGATGACTATTGAGAAATATCGACGTCGGAAGCGCCACACATTGGAAAGCTGCAGAACATAAAAATATCAATACACTACGAATTTCTCCCTCTGCTGTTTTTCTCTTTCTCATCATGTATAACACAAAACGGTAAATTTGGTTATATCTCCTTATGCAAAAGAACTGCACAAACTAATTTTTCACCAATATTCCATTTCAAACTCAGATGTTCACATATCAACCTCATTTTCACCCCGAGGTTTATTTTGAACTTGAGATATAGCTATCATTCGCAGTTGGATTATGCAAACAAGCTCTTTGTATTTGAACGATCGTATTGACGACGTCATAACTCTTTTTTTCGTAAAAGAAAATAAACAACAACAGAAAAAAAGCTTCGGCAAACCCGACGTTAAGGAAAAAGATGAAAAGATAAAGAAGCGTAAAAACAGTTTTTCTAGCAAATTGGATTGATTTTAGGTGGTCCGAGATTAAAACATTGACGAACACGTTTATATGTTTCTACTCGACTCAGTTGATGACTATAACCAGATCCACCATTACATTCCAGATGTCCATTGATAATACGCGTTGTAGCAGCAAAATCACCGCGTCGAGCTGGTTCAGACATTCCTTGTGTTCTGTAAAACCAGAGAGCTGTACTCACGGCTAATTTATCATTGGTTTCCACCAAGTCTGGATTACTCAAAAGATCAACACCAAGCGCTTTACCAGCTGCATCATAGTTGCATGGCCATGATAATTGAAACCAACCACGACCATAATAAAGTTTTCCGGGCGGACCTGTTGTTTTACACCAACTTGACGGCCCACCTTGATAAGCATGTCCACACCCTATTATTTGAAAAGAAAAAATCTATATATTCCAGTTTTCAACTCTGATATTCAATATGATGTATACAGATAAAACTCTCAACATCCTATCGAAGCAGATTCATTAATTCCAGCTACTCCTTGCAAAACAACTCGTTTCTTTCAACTAGTTCGGTATGAGCGCCGATTATCAAAGAATTATCAATAGGTCAATGAAGCATGGATGAATACTTATTCACTCATTGTAATCTCAATAGTCTATCTTTGATCTAAATAATTGTTACCTGGTGCACAATATTCTCTCATTGTTCTTAGGCCATCTGTCTCATGATAAACATGTGCAAGAAATACAGCAGCTTCTTCAGCATTAGCTGGTTTCCATCCCGTTGCTTGTAGACCATGAAAGCGTTGATTGCGGGTTCCCGCATTGAGGTCTTTGAATACACACGCAAAGTTCTGTGCATTTATCTGACCTGATGAACCACCTTGATTACCATTGCCATTGTTGTCACCTCCTGAGCATGGGCCCCCCTGGCATCCTGTCCCACAATAATCGGGTCCTGTTCCACAATAGCCCCATTTCGAACGACAATGATTTCGATCGGGACAGACAGATCCACTATTACCACTCGAACCGTCTTGACAAGGACCACCTTGGCAGCCAGCACCACAGTAATCTGATCCCGTTCCACAGTAGCCCCATTTCGAACGACAATGATTTCGATCGGGACAGGCAGAACGAGCAGCGCGTCGACGAAACAAACTGGCTAGATGATCATCTCCATTAAAGTTGGAATCGTCACCATTGACACATAAGCCAACAAGTAAGAGAATATAAATCACTATGAACTTTGTCATTTTGATACTTGTTTGTTAAAAAAAGAACTAACTTTTTTGATAATAGACGAATAAACAATACGAGATAAATTAGTCCAAACACAGATTTGAGTTAACTTAGAATATCTGGAGAACGTCTTCGATGTTAAAAAGCATAAATCAGTTGTCATATATATATATAGAAGTATATTTTAGTGCGGAGATATTGAATTACATGTGTGGAACATATAGCGAACAGAATTACTAGCTGATAACACTACAGATTCGATACGACGGAACAGATTTAGATTGATCAACGATATATCATGATTATCTAACCCATTCGATAGTGGGACATTCTTTTGTGAATAAGACATGACGATACATAGTTACTCATATTTGCACACTGTATTTGTAAAAAAAAACAATTATTCCACTATCATATTTCTCGCGTAGGCGATGTGGCACCTGTAGAACGAGAAAATCGAACCTTCCCCCATTCGTTTTTCCCTCTGAGGTTTATTTGTCATTTTCGTGATCGGTGAAAAAGGAACTGCGGCGAGTGTCTGTTGTCATCACATCAATACAAACACGCCTTCGTAAAGTTATACTATCATACTTGAGTACTAATTCGAATGATAAATACATGATATAGTAAGATATGTCATGCTTGGGTATTCGCAATAATCTAGAAGTCTTATTCTCTGCGTAATTAGGATGTATGTGACAGTGTCCTGTTGGAACGACTTTTCTGCTGCTCATTCTCGTGCTTCTCACGCTTTTCAATAACTAAACTGAAGAAAAATATATTCACAATGATTGAATTAGAATACGGTTTAAAATCAATCAGTGGACCTACATCCATGTGAGGTTATTACATCAAAGCAAAGGATTGCAGAAAACTTTATATAGAAAATAAGTCCCGACCATACGAATGAGTCCATTAGAGTATTATTATCTGATGTAGAATTTGATTTTTTCATCGAATTTACTCTTTTTTATGGACAAGACTTATTCTTAGTCCGTCGTTCCAGATTTACATCGATATCCAAGCTTCTACATATTTTGCATACATCTATTCAAATAAGCATATTTAGCTAATTGCTCATTGAATTTTTTGCTTTAAGGGTTTTGATTTTTCCCTAATAATCAAAAGTAACGCTCGTCTTTCAGATTCGCCAACCCTTTTCTGAAAAAATTCTCCTAGCGTGGAACGTATTCAAACGCTTTGAAAAACAAATAAGGCACTACGCTTGGTACTCGTCGTCAGCTGAGTCATGACATTTTGTCACACATTCGAGATAATAGAAGGTGAAGATCGTTCTTTTTTCATGAAACGAACCAATTAGCCATTTGTTAGTGAATAGTTTCTGAGTGCTAGCTGTGTTTTACAGTCAACAATTGACTCTTTTTTTACTTTCAGGAGATGATACTATGTCGAATAGTCTCAGTGACGAACATTCGACAAGCCCGTTTTAAAAATCTTTCTAGTTTGATAAAGTTGTTCCAAACGTGTACTGTAAGGTTAATCTGGAATTTTAACCGTCTGACTGCGGGTAACCTTATATAAGATCACTGTGATTTTTAGCACTTTGAAACGTATAGGCTCCTGCATGACATCAGTTTTCATGGAAGCATTTATCAGAGACTTTTTATATTAATTTTTAAACATAGATATCTACAAAGATTTTTAATAAAGTAGAAGTGGAAATTAATTTACGAATAAATATATAGAAAAAAAGAAATTTAATTTCCTTGACAAAACGTCCGCAGCCAAAGAGTTCATATTAACGTTAACGGATTTTCCTCGTTTTGTTGACCGTTAAGTAAGTCGAATTAAATTAAATGGTCCGGCACTAGTTAATACTGGTTATTTGATTTCAGAGAATGAAAAATAGAAAGTGTTTGTTACCTTTTCGAAAAATTCCAGAACACAAAAGTTTGATTTCTTAAAAGGAATAGCACCCTCAAATATAGTCAACTATTGTTAATCTCTCTATGAAAAGGAACCTCTTGAGATTATAGATATAGCGGAAATAGCTGAGAGCGAGCGTCACAACTCAGTCTCCGGCCTCGATTGATGAATCATTCCCGGAGTGGAGCATTCGTAAGTCTGTGATGCTAACTTCACATCGATGGCTCTACTAAATTCTTTTAATAATATCTGTCGATACATGTTTCTCGGTACAGTAACGATCGTTGTTGCAAATGATTCGATAGAATTGAGAAGTCTCTATCTTGAACAGTTCAACTGATCATCATGTTTCACTGATGACTATTGCTTTTTTGATTATTATTTCCATTTTAGATCATATTTGCCGAGTTTGAGTGAATTGGTTATATATTCTTATGTGGTCCATTTCAAACAATTCAATACACTTATCGGCTAATACATTCAACACACGAACGAACTCTGACAAATAATGCATCGATCGTTTCAACATTCATTTCATGTGACATTCTTTTGTCTAAGGTGCAGTCTAGTATTAATCTGGCAGGGCACCAACAACTGACCGGGTGGCTGTTACTGTTTGATAAATCAGTCTTCGATGTAGAAATGCGTTTTCAAGACAAGTGTAGCTGTATAATGACACGAGCATTCAATACATACGATTCTTTTATCAACAAAACACAAAACAAAACTACACATCGATCAGAAATAATCATTGCATGAACAGTGACCATCCGGATCAAAATGATGAATTCGGTTTGCATCACGAACCACTATGTGACACCGTCGGATGGCAGCGATCAGTTTCGTGGCCTGATCTACAAGCAAACAAGGTCACGAAAATACAATGATAAGTAAAGTATCACTCACGACAGTCACCACACACACGCAAGTTCTTCGTTATTTGAATGAATGTTGTGTCGGCATTAGCCACGAAGTTCCAAGCTATTGCAAGCTTCTCACTATGCCCACAAAGAACTGATTCGATCGTTTCATCTTCTGCAAGTGGTCGCGTGATCCATGACGAGTCATACTCATGACCATGTTCGATCAGTTCTCGTGAGATCTTCTCCAGTTCCACATAGATCTCGGCACTTCGTGGATGAGATCGATCGTGAGCAAGAAATTGCTAAACAACACCAGTCAGTTCACATTATTCCCTTTGGAACACTTACATATAGTTCACCATTGACTACAGTCCAGCTGAGACCAGGCTTTTTCTTGGCACCAGATCTACTTAGTTCGGATCGAATACTCGACGCTTTGTCCACGTCGCCGGTCGATCCATACAGATTCGCAAGTAACACTGTGGCTGATGTGATCAAATCTGGTGAGCGAGGAAAGAGCTTGTTCATCCGTTGGTGGATGCTTTCGACCAACTGTTTGTTTCTCCGATTTCTTGCAGCTGACAGTAATGCCACTATAACGAAAGCAATTTATTCACTTATCCATTTCGATCATGAAGAGAACTGTTTCCATATTCTCAAACACAACTCATCTCATAGTGATCGTTTCGATGCATCTAGTGTCGTTCTTGGTGACAACATACTCACTATACATGACAGGTGAAGGCGGATGATGTAGTTCATATTGATCGATCAGTTGTTGTGCTTCATCGAACAATGATCCTCGACTCAGACAATCCATCTTCAAAAGAAAAACATGCATCAAAGTCATCTTTGACAGATGCAACAGAATATATCACTTAACACTTACCATTGCCGCATAATGCTTTTCTGTTTTCGGTTCGATGCTGGAGAAGATCGAACGAGCTTGATCGACGAGTCCAGCATGTGAACATGCATTGAGAACACAAACATAAGTGGAATCGGCAAGCAACGATCGTGGAACCTTATGGAAAAGTTCGACTGCTTTCACACCCATTCCATTGATGCCATAAGCATGAACTAAACAACGAAATAAAGATCAAGGGTAGGGAGAGAGTGGTGCTGGCGAAATTAATAGCAGAACTAACTCATTGATGCATATCCGACTTGATCGATCGATGAGAGATTGGTGAAAACTTGCTCAGCTTTTTGCACACAACCAACTTTACCCTGGGAACGGTTTATGAATAAAGACGTTTAACTGTTCACGTATCGTCGTTGTTTATATAAGACTTACCCACATATCTATGAGAGCGTTAGATATTTTGCTATTAGAAACGATGTGTTGTGGAATTTCGTCCACAATAGCCTGACATTCGGATGCTATGGCGACTTGTGCCGATGCATTGATTGCAAGTAGATAAATGACGAAATTTGACTGTGTTGCTTTGATATCTAAATGAAAAGACTGAACAGAATGAAAATATTTGGTATGAAACGCTTAATTTTGATTTGCTGGTAGAGATTAAGAGTCTTGTTTGGCGTTTTATTGAGAAGATATCCTAATGAAATGTTTCAAATGAGTTTCTTGAGCACGATGAAAACAATGAATAACCTTTCATCATAGCTCCATACATGGGTAGAACTTTGTGTGGTAACTTGTGGAAGATCGTCTCTGCTCCCTTAACATCCCCACACCTCATGAAAGCATCGATTAAGGCAGTCAGCGCATGTTCATGGAGAAGAGCCGTGTTTTGATACTTCTTCCACACGGTTTTGATCAAACTCAACGATTGTTGTGAAGGCAGTTGAGCACAAGCATTGAAGAGTAGTGTGATGATAATTTCACGGGGATCTTCGACTTGTTTGAAAAGATCAATCGCTTTTTCCGACATTTCATTTTCAATGTATCCTGAAAAACGCTGGAAGTGGATAGACTCATATGAAAACAGTGAACAAAAAGCATACCTTTCATCATTGCTCCATACATCGATAACGATTTGTGTCGCGATTCGGCGAAAACAGTTTCTGAATTATTGACGTCGCCACATTTCATGAGAGCATTGATAAGGGAGGTTAGTGTACTTTCGCTTTGGACAATTTTAGCGTTATATTGTTTCCAAATAATTTTTACCAAGTTCAGTGATTCTTCTGATGCCACTTGAGCACAAGCTTTGAACAAAAGTGTGACCAAAATTTCATCAGATTCATTGGCTTGCATGAAAAGATCAATCGCTTTCTGCGGCATCTCGTTATCTATATAACCTAAAAAGACAGTGCAAATGAGATAGATCATAGAAATAAGTGACTAAAAGGAATACCTTTCATCATGGCTCCATGCATCGATGACACTTTAGTTGAGAATCCGTTGAAAACTGCCTCTGCGTCCTTGACGTCTCCACATTTCATTAGAGCATCAATTAGAGACGTCAAGATGTATGGATTGAGAAGAGGTGTGTTTTGATACTGTTTCCAGATGTTCTTCACGAGGTTCAACGATTCCTCAGATGGTACCTGAGCACAAGCTTTGCACAACAGTATGATCAGAACAGTATCAGGTTTTTCTAGTCCTTTGAAAACCTCAATCGCTTTCTCTGGCATCATATGTTTGATATATCCTGCAAATAGGAAATGGCACATGTGAAGAAAACTATAATCAGATAAAGCAGCAGAGTACCATTCATCATTGCTCCATACACAGATGACACTTTAGTTGGGAGTCTGTTGAAAATCATCTCTGCTTCCTTCACGTCCCCACATTTCATAAGAGCATCAATCAGAGATGTCAAGACGTAGGAATTGAGGAGAGGTGTCTTTTGGTACTTCTTCCAGATACTTTTCACCAAGTCCAACGATTTTTCAGATGGTGCTTGAGCACAAGCTTTGAATAAAAGTGTGATTAGAACAGCATCGGGTTCGTTGACTTGTTGGAAAACATCAATCGCTTTCTGAGGCATCTCGTCATCTATATAACCTAAAAGAACAGGAGAAATGAGCTAGATGATAGCAATAACTGACTAAAAAGAATACCTTTCATCATTGCTCCATACATAGGTAACACTTTAGTTGACTGGCCGTTGAAAACAGCTTCTGCATCCTTGGCATCCCCACATTTCATTAGAGCATCAATCAGAGATGTCAAGACGTAGGAATTGAGGAGAGGTGTGTTTTGGTACCTCTTCCAGATGTTTTTCACTAAATTCAACGATTCCTCTGATGGTACTTGAGCACAAGCTTTGAATAAAAGTGTGATCAAAACAGCATCAGGTTTGTCTACCCCTTTGAAAATCTCAATCGCTTTCTCGGGCTTCCCATTTTCAATGTATCCTAAACACAATATAAATACATCTCACAGTTCCTTCACTACAACACCGATCAAAACTTCGAACCCTTCATCATTACACTACACACATACACCGTTTTGTTTGTCGAAATGTGGAATAGAGATTCAGCTGTGTTCATATCATGACATTGCACTACAACGAAACATCATTGAAGATAACGTCATCTCATTCGCAATGAACATACTGTAGAAATGGATAAGAGATTTCACTAACGAAGAATCAGCTGATAATCGATGTTGAACCAACTGATGAATATCTTGTCCACGTCGAAAGTCACGCACTTGTACACATGCTTTCAACGCCTGATCGATGATGAAACTGGACAGTTGATCCTTGTTCTTCTTCTTTTTTCTCTCGAACAACTCAATGGTTTGTTTGAACTGCTTTTTGTCATTGAGTACTTTCATCTGTTGACCAGGATCGATGTTTCTTGGACGAGTGGAGAATGGTGATGTGGATGATATGCATGGTATTTGTTGTCTGAGAATGAACAGAGTTTTGAACTTGAAATTAACATAGACGAGTCTGTTCGACATGATTGGGATACCATTAGTGAACTAGTTGTAATAAATGATGTATAAATTCTGAAAATGAAAATCGGGTATCAGTGCTTCGCGGCCTATTTAATATTTCTATCGAATCGTCATGACTCATGACGTGTTCTCTTCACACTTCGCAGTTTGAATTCCGAGTTATTTAAGTAGAAGAGAAGTTTCTGAAGAGTAGTGTAATCGTTATTATTGCGAACATTCGTTTATTTCCATACGGTCGAAATCAAGAAAACAACAACCTATTCTTAGACTACTTTGTGTGCCTCGTTCTGCTACCTCTTTTGATTTCAATTTGAGAGATATTATGCCTTTTGAGAAAGTTTGTAAGAGTACACAGCACAGGATCAGTTGACGTAAGACAATGGATAAGTATCACCAAGAATAGTTAGAATATGGTAAGATACAAGATGAGATCTCATCGAAAGAAATGTATGTCCATCTTCGTGTAGCAATATAAATAGCTAAGTGCCTCGTTCGAGTCACAATTCATCCATAGGCTGTGATCCGTCTCCACACGGTGTATAGAACGAGTTTTAATTGATTGAGACGAAATAAACGAAGGCCGTCGTTTCGACAGATAGCACTAGTAGTTAGTAAATCTTTTGTGAAGTAGTAAAAGATATATGATCATTTGTGTTCAGTCGATGGAGTTCATCTTGATGAAACTTCGGGGAAGTTGCTTTACTTTCAGAAACACTCGAACTTTGTATAGGAAGTTGAACAGTTAGAGAGCTTTGCTGAAATGTTAAGGCGTGTTAATTCGTATTTCGATGACCATATGTTGTCAGATGAATCTTTATCAACTGAGCAAAACTCAATGGAGAACATCATCCATCGAACGATATGTATGTGATTATTTCATTGAAAATCTTGATTAGGTCAAATGATGGAATGTCTCTTTTCGCCTAAATCATTGAGTTAAATATAGTTTTGACGAAACAGATTGTGTGATGATGTGTAATAAGAAGCAGAATTTTACTTGAATCTAAGTATTCATTCAATTATTTCTACCTCTCGTTGTCTTTTTGTCGCATAACTTAATACTATTTCTGTTGGGTGAGGGTGTTTGTCTCTTCTAACACATTAAATCCTTGTTGATTGTCATGTCATCTTCCTTTCTCCACTTTTCACTCACAGAAAACGACTAAAAAGGTCCTTCAGTCGTAACTAATAAAACTTCAATGAAGCCTGTTTAAAACGCAGATGATATGATGATTCATGTCCATCGATAGCCGTCTGAGTAATCGGAATAGAAAATCTCCTTATCATAAGAGCGTGACCGTAGGTTAAGACATGAACGAGGACGAAAGCGAAACGACAAGATCTATTCGCATTCATCTAGACATGACAATTTCGTCGCGATATTCGCTTCTCACCTCTCCAGAAGGACAACAAGTTCGGGGTATCTTGATACATACCGACGCTAGAATAGTGTGTCCGAAAGTTTCTTCAAAACGAGACTACGTCATTGACGACCAGACAGAAATTTAGTTAAAGAATGTTTGATGAGACAAATCATGGAGGAAATTTTATGAGATCTTTTCTTACCATGCACTATGATTCCTACTTGCCACTGTTATCAAAAGCATCGAATCATTAAGTGACCATCCTGATTCTTGTTCAAATGATATATAAAGATTTCCTCATATGGATTTGTTAACAGTCACACACTCAAGCTGTACAAATGATCAAAGCTGGACGACATGCAGCTACTATGACTACGACGGATGATGGTTCTCATTCGAATATCACTTTATCGATCCCCTACGCACGACGCTCTTTTATCAACAAAACAAAAAAAAGAAAAATGCATATCGATCAGAAATAATCATTACATGAACAGTGACCATCCGGATCAAAATGATGAATTCGGTTTGCATCACGAATCACTATGCGACACCGTCGAATAGCAGCGATCAGTTTCGTGGCCTGATCTACAAGCAAACAAGGTCACGAAAATACAATGACAAGTAAAGTATCACTCACGACAGTCACCACACACACGCAAGTTCTTCGTTATTTGAATGAATGTTGTGTCGACATTAGCCACGAAGTTCCAAGCGATTGCAAGCTTCTCACTGTGTCCACAAAGAACCGATTCGATCGTTTCATCTTCTGCAAGTGGTCGCGTGATCCATGACGAGTCATACTCATGACCACGTTCGATCAGTTCTCGTGAGATCTTCTCCAGTTCCACATAGATCTCGGCACTTCGTGGATGAGATCGATCGTGAGCAAGAAATTGCTAAACAACACTAATCAGTTCACATTATTCCCTTTGGAACACTTACATATAGTTCACCATTGACTACAGTCCAGCTGAGACCAGGCTTTTTCTTGGCACCAGATCTACTTAGTTCGGATCGAATACTCGACGCTTTGTTCATATCGCCGGTCGATCCATACAGATTCGCAAGTAACACTGTGGCTGATGTGATCAAATCTGGTGAGCGAGGAAAGAGCTTGTTCATCCGTTGGTGAATGTTTTCGACCAACTGTTTGTTTCTCCGATTTCTTGCAGCTGACAGTAATGCCACTACAATGAAAGCAATTCATTCACTTATCCATTTCGATCATGAAGAGAACTGTCTCCATATTCTCAAACAGAACTCATCTCATAGTGATCGTTTCGATGCATCTAGTGTCGTTCTTGGTGACAACATACTCACTGTACATGACAGGTGAAGGTGGATGATGTAGTTCATATTGATCGATCAGCTGTTGTGCTTCATCGAACAATGATCCTCGACTTAGACAATCCATCTTCAAAAGAAAAACGAGCATCCGAGTAATCTTTGACAGATGCAACAGAATATATCACTTGACAATTACCATTGCCGCATAATGCTTTTCTGTTTTCGGTTCGATGCTGGAGAAGATCGAACGAGCTTGATCGACGAGTCCAGCATGTGAACATGCATTGAGAACACAAACATAAGTGGAATCGGCAAGCAACGATCGTGGAACCTTATGGAAAAGTTCGACTGCTTTCACACCCATTCCATTGATGCCATAAGCATGAACTAAACAACGAAATAAAGATCAAGGGTAGGGAGAGAGTGGTGCTGGCGAAATTAATAGCAGAACTAACTCATTGATGCATATCCGACTTGATCGATCGATGAGAGATTGGTGAAAACTTGCTCAGCTTTTTGCACACAACCAGCTTTACCCTAGAACAGTCCATGAATAAAGATGCATAACTGTTCACACATCGTTGTTTATGTAAGACATACCCACATATCAATTAAGGAGTTGCAAATCTGAATATTAAGAAGCAGATGTTGTGGAATGTCATCCACAATGGCCTGACACTCGGATGCTATGGCAATCTGTGCCGATGCATTGATTGTAAGTAGATAGATGAAGAAATCTGATTGTGTTTCTTTCATGGCTGTATGAAGAGAGTAAAGTCAGAGAAGCTGTCTTTGTACAACGGACTTACTTTTGATTTGACGATAAAGATCAAGAGCATTGCTGGGTGTTTTGTTAAGAAGATATCCTAATGGAAAACGATTTCAACAGAACTTGTCAGAGAAATTAAATAAGATAGATACAACCTTTCATCATAGCTCCATACATGGGTAGAACTTTGTGTGGTAACTTGTGGAAGATCGTCTCTGCTCCCTTAACATCTCTACACTTCATGAAAGCATCGATTAAAGCAGTCAGCGCATGATCATGGAGAAGGGACGCGTTTTGATACTTCTTCCACACGGCTTTCACCAAGCTCAACGACTGTTCCGATGGCAGTTGAGCACAAGCATTGAAGAGTAGTGTGATGATAACATCATTCGGATCTTTGATTTGTTTGAAAAGATCAATCGCTTTTGTCGACATTTCATTTTTTATGTACCCTACAGAAACGACAGCATTTAGCAAAGTCGTATGGATAAACGGATGGGGAAACATACCTTTCATCATTGCTCCATACATCGATATTGATTTGTGCCACGATTCAGTGAAAACAGATTCCGCACTCTTGGCGTCACCACATTTCATGAGAGCATCGATTAGGGAAGTTAATGTATTTTCGCTACGGATGAGTTTAGTGTTATATTGTTTCCAGGTATTCTTGACTAAGTTCAACGATTGCTCTGAGGGTAGTTGAGCACATGCATTGAATAGGAGCAGGATAAGAATTTCATTCGGGTTTTTCACCAGTTGGAAAAGATCAATCGCTTTTTCCGGCAGCGTATTGTCAATGTATCCTACAAAAGTGATAGTTCTCAGCAAAATTATTCGGAAAAACAAAGCGAAAAGATACCTTTCATCATTGCTCCATACATAGGTAACACTTTGTGTGCTGATTGGTCAAAAAGTGTCTCTGCGTCTTTCACATCGCCGCACCTCATGAGAGCGTCGATGAAAGCAGTTAGCGCATGATCGTCGAGAAGAGATGTGTTTTGATACTTCTTCCACACGCTTTTCACCAAATCCAGTGATTGTTGTGAGGGCAGTTGAGCGCAAGCATTGAACAAGAGTGTAATGAGAATTCCGTTGGGATTCTTAACTTGTTGGAATAGATCAATTGCTTTTTGTGGTATCTCGTTATCTATGTATCCTACAGCAGCGATAGTTGCCAGTAAAGCTATAAAAAAAGTGAACGAAACGGATACCCTTCATCATCGCACCATACATTGATGGTGCTTTGTTCGATCGTTGATTGAACACGTTTTCTGCACTCTCGACGTTACCATGTTTCATTAAAACGTTCAGTAGGGAACTGAATGCAGGATTATCGAGAAGAGATGTGTTTTGGTACTTCTTCCAGATGTTTTTCACTAAGTTCAACGATTCCTCGGATGGTACTTGAGCACAAGCCTTGAACAAAAGTGTGATCAAAACTGCATCAGGTTTGTCTACCCCTTTGAAAATCTCAATCGCTTTCTCTGACTTCCCATTTTCAATGTATCCTAAACACAATATAAACACATCTCACAGTTCCTTCACTACAACACCGATCAAAACTTCGAACCCTTCATCATCACACTACAAATATACACCGTTTTGTTTGTCGAAATGTGGAATAGAGATTCAGCTGTGTTCATATCATGACATTGCACTACGACGAAATACCATTGAAGATAACGTCATCTCATTCGCAATGAACATACTGTAGAAATGGATAAGAGATTTCACTAACGAAGAATCAGCTGATAATCGATGTTGAACCAACTGATGAATATCTTGTCCACGTCGAAAGTCACGCACTTGTACACATGCTTTCAACGCTTGATCGATGATGAAACTGGACAGTTGATCCTTGTTCTTCTTCTTTTCTCTCTCGAACAGCTCAATGCTTTGTTTGAACTGGTTTTTGTCATTGAGTATCTTCATCTGTTGACCAGGATCGATGGTTCTTGGACGAGTGGAGAATGATGATGTTGATGAGGTGCATGGTATTTGTTGTCTGAGAATGAACAGAGTTCTGAACTTGAAATTAACATAAACGAGTCTGTTTGACATGGTTTGATATGGCTGTTAGAGCGGTAGTGATTATTTATATATGTAACCTAAAATGAAAATATAACATTACGTGCTGATAACTTAATGCGCGTCGGTATTGACGGCTTGCAAAGAATGGTCACACGCTCGTGATCATTATTTCTTATTTGGCTAAGTGAGTGTATCTTGATTTCCAGGAATATTATTTGATTCTCATTAATAGAGTTCATACTCTCTTGTGTTGGTGTTGATCGAACCAGAGTATGTATATAGTCTACTATTTACGGTTCATGTAATTCTTCTTTCCCCTTTTATTTTGTCATTTTGTGCTGATCGTTGACTAAGAGAGAAGGTTGAGTCGGGTACTGTAGGACAAGTTAATTAAAGGTAATAGATAGATGGATAGATAGCCTAGAGATGGACGTGATGCAGGGACGAGGGTGTAATATCTAACTGGAGCGAGTGTATTCACAGATTGATAAATGACTTATTCAAATCGCAGTTCATTGGTTATGCCATTGTCCAAGTATTATTAGTAGCGAATTAGTATTTTTCGTCAATGTAACAAGAAAAATGAACTATTTCGACAGTTGGCAGTAGCAGTAGTTAGAGATTTTTTTTTATTCGCACTCAATTTACTGTATTGACGTTGTTGTGAATTCTGATCACCTTTAGGGTGATATTCATTGAGCATATCTGGGTGACTGGATAGATCGTCACCATGATGAGTTGTCGCCTAATTAATATAATTTACAGATAGAGGATGAGAGCTAAATATTGCACGAGGGTCAAAACAATTGTAAAAAATGCACGATATACAATGAGACAGATTGAACAAATATGACTAAAAATCTCTTACTATTGAATAAAATAATATCAGGTAATAGTATTTTCCTAATGAAAAACAGATTTACCAGAAATTCCCAAGGCTTGGTAGTTTATCCTATACACTCTAGCGTAGCTGTGCCAACTAAAACTGCCTTCTAATCAGGATCTTCGTTGGGAAGTAAAGCTCATTGATGGAAAGTCTTTTCAGATTTCTCTAACAATAGAAGACATATTTCGAAAAACAGAGAAATATTTGTCAAATGAACTATGATAAAAATCGCCCACCATTTTGCAGAACTTTTTTCAGTCAGAGTTCCTTCGAACTTCTGCTTGGTTCACCGAATTAAATAATTCAATAAAATAGCAAATAAGATGAAATTTCTGTCTTAAAGCCAATTGAATAGTGATCTCCATTCGAAGATTTAGTAGTTTTTTTAGTATTCAAGTTCTGTATTCTATATTTTGGTGATTTCGAAACATTCTGTATTAAGTTTTCAAACAGTTCATATTTTCTTTTACGCAATAGCATTAGATGATTAGGCTCCATCTAATGTTACTGACAAGAGTGATGATGATAGCATATTTTTCCTATTAATTGAATTACATACATAACTATCCAATGAATGGCCCTAGTGCCGCATAATTTATCTAGATCTGTCCCAGTTTAACTTGGTTCAAACTGTTAGCGAGCAATATTTTAGAACAACTGATTGATTTAGTATGGTACCCAGCGCACACGAAGATATACTGTCATTTCCGAAAATGTCGCTGTACGAATTCTATTTAATTTTGGAACGCGTTATGAGATAGCGAACTTCGTCGAGCTTAGTTTTCTTATGTTCTGTCAAATCAATTATATAAAAACGATGAGTATAGCTAAAAGCAAATATTCTTCGAAAACTTCTACTCGTCTGATAGCTTTATAATTATTAATGCAGAACCTGTACGTAAAAGCTTCGAACAAAATCAAACCGACATTGTTAGATATAGACGAGTGTAGTCTTGAGGTGCGACGAGAACACATATTCAGCTTACGAAGATCAGTAATTTTCTTTTCATTTTTATCCGACTTATAGACAGAATGAATTTGATAAATTCTAGTTTATTAATAATACACAGAAAACATCGAATATTAACGTCTTAGACGCATATCAGCTTTCCAAGAGCTGTTAAGAATCATATTTCTTCCATTCCATTCCCTTAAAAGGACATTGAAATGTTTTTTCGTGTAAAACAATAAATCATTGCTTACCTCAGGTGGTTCGCAAGTAATTCGACCTTTCGATACCTCTTCCCAATTCATATTTAAACATGTACCACCGGATTCATACTATAGATAACTAAATGGATTAAAATCACTAGTAAAAATATATTTACCATTGATTTATTCATAGCGCGACGCGTATTTTCATCACTATCGCGATAAAGTCGTTGGAAAATCCTAAAATAATCAGAATAATGAAAGTTATGCCTGATTCGACCAAATCTTCACATACGCATTTGCATCGCCCATTTCATCTTGATTTTCTTTCTCATCCTTTTTTATTTCAGCTTCTACTTTATCCCAATTCTTAGCACGTTGACTTGATGATGGATAAGTAGGTGCTTTGTCAACTAGGGGTCGATTCATTGTTACTAAGGAACAAAAACAACAGATTGATCTAACAAAAAAAAAGAAAGGATATACTACCTGGTGGTAAAGCTTTATTTGTTGTTGATTGAGCATCTAATGATGACCACTGAATCGCTTCTCGTTTGTATAGTTTGATTTCGATCTAAATTGCATAGTAGATCTCTAAAAAAGCCACTTTCATGTGACATTATTCGCTTACATTCGTGCCAGTGACATTGAAAGTAGTTCGTGATGAATCGATTAGATATGCAAGCTCAAGATCAAGTAAATAATCACTACCTGATGAAGGTATCTTCGTATTCACATACAGCTACGAGATTGATGAAAATCGTTTTTGATAAAAATAGAACATTATTTGTATACGTACCGTTTTGTCTGTTGTGTCAACTTTAACTTGATCCTTTCTGAGACATTTAATAGGAATTTGAACCGTTACTATTCTATCACTTTGATAGAATGAATGTCTATTAAAGCAGAGTTTTTAATTTTCATAAGAATATTGAAGAAAACATACTTGACTTTCACCGGTGGAGCAGCAGGCTTTGATTTGATTTCTACACGAAGGTCAAGTTATACCGATGCATTCAGCTGTAAACTATTCACGTACCTAACAACTCTTTTTCACATTTTTCATACCATACTTTCGATTGTTCATTTGTTGCTACGAAAATTGAAAAAGTATAAAAGTTTTAGTTTCAATTGCAAAAGTAGTCAATTTACCATCGTATTCGAGTGCACGAGCAAATACTTCTAGAGCTTGTTCCTTGAAATTTTGATTATATAAGGCTACACCTTTGCGGAGATATGCTTTGACATTTGTTTCATCAAAATGAAGTGCTTCATTACTATCTTTCAATGCATCTAAACGGGAATACGTTAGATTTGGTATATGTTTACTCTTCTATCTACCTGAATAGTTATTCAGCTTCAATGAACATTGAGCACGAGATGCGAATATTTTCGATGTAAACTGATGATTACTTCTATCATCAGCAGCAAGCGCCTTGGAATAGAGCTAAAAAGATTAAAATTCCATTGATCACAACCGCTGTGAAAATCCACTGAGAACAAACTTCGTAGGCTTCTTGATACTTTTCATCAATGACAGCTTCGATAGCTTCTTCAAAAGCTTGTCTGGACATTCTTTGGATCGTCAGATATTTATTGGAATGACTGAAGAAATGAGTGAAGGATGAATGAACCAAAAGAGGTATATATACAGATGTGTGTTCGAAAAAGAAAGACTTCACATTTCTTTGTTAACTCGCGTTGCCGGACGTATAGAACGACGTCCGATGCAAAGGAAAAAATAGATTGTTCTAGAAAAAAAGTAGAAGTTTACGGCATTCATCTACTGTGAATTGAATAGGCATTGAAATTTTCGACATATTCCTATCTGCTAATTTTATTTTAATTCTTAATTGTGACATAATGTAATTTACAATAAAATACTGTTCCTAAAACAAAACTTCTCTAGTTTATCTATCTTATTCAGATTCTTTGTCTACTGAGCTTGCACCGTTTCCAAAAAAGAATGAACTAAATGTTGCATTAGTTGTCGTTCCAGTATTTCCCAAATCTAAAAACATATCAAGTCCAGTAACAAATTTAACAAAAAAAAAGAGTTTCGAAAGCATACCATCATAATTGAATGAAGGAAATGAGAATGATGCACTAGGATTATCGTCTGCATTGCTTGCTTGTTGTAAAAATGCTGAGAACTGCTCATTTGAACCAGGTATCAATGGTGAACCGAGATGCGTCCAGTTACCAAAGCCAATCGGTGATGTAAACTCTGTACCACTGGCCGGTGCATCACTTGTTGTATTATTATTGAAGCCGAAATTGTAATTGAAACCAGTGTATCCTCTAGCAGAAATGATTGTCAATGATCTAGTGAGTGATAAAATTCATGTCATACTCGTCGGTGCTTGCAGTTGATTCGATAGATGAAGCCATAGAAAATGTCGGTCGTTGCTGCAGTTGTTGTGGTCCATCTTCCATTGGCTGACTTGCTTCGTCCTGATTTGGCGATGGATCTGATGAAAATGTTAATAACATCTGTTGAACGTCATTACTCGTCACTTGTGGCTGAATAGCTGATGTGATCGTTCGATTTGGATTGCTGGTAAATGTTATAGATGAATGTGATTTATCGACGGTAGCAGCATCCATGGATGGTATTGGTAATGATTCAGGTGGCTTCATCGACGCTGAAACAGTTGTAACTTGGCAATGATTCATATGCGTATCTGTCGTTGTTGGTACGACGAATGCTTGTGTGCTTGGTGGATCATCGTGAAGACTCATTTGTTCTAACTAGACGTTTTTGTTTTTGTTCAAAATAAAGGAGAGATTATGCGAGAGAGACTACATACTTGAGTTGTAGGCGGTGCTTTTCGACGAGATGCTGAAAATAATTCATCATCATCGTCATCGATGGCTGTTGTCAGATGGAGAATGGAAGGCGGAACAGATCGAATCGATTCAATGACCATTGGTTCAACTGCTGATGGTGATCGTTGAAATCTACCGAAGGTCTTTGTAGATAAATTCATTACTTATCTCGGCATTAATCGTGGGAAAACTTACGTGACCGACGGTTTTGAATTGATTCGTTCTTGTGGAATCAATTCGACTTGTTCGTTTTGTGGAGTTAAGTCTGTTGGTGTCATTGGTTGTGACCATATATCCTGTTGAATTTGATTGAGCGAAAGTGTGAAAACTTGATCGATATTCGTTTGTAAACAAAAATCCATCAAATCGCGTTTCATGGGTTGAGTATAAACACTTTCCCACGCTTTCATTTTATCCATTTTACTTTCCATCAATTGCTTATCTTTATTTTGTAATTCAAGTAATTTCTTCTTCATTTCATTGATATTATTCAATTGATCTCGTCGAGAAATATAAGATTTCGCAACCGATACAATCGATTCGCTAAGTTTTTCTTGCGAACAAAATTCTTGACGACGCGAACAATAAACTTTGTAAGCATTTTTGTGTGCATCCAACAGTGCTTCTTTACGTTCAACTAAACAATTATAAGCCGTATCACTTTGTTTCAAATATTGATAAACTTTCGATTGTTCATATCTAAAATACATCGTCGATCAACAGCACAGACTGAAAAATTGTTCCGAACTGTGGTTTGAAAACTTCAATCCATTGTTGTTTAGTACGTTCGAATTTCTTGATCAATGTCGATTTCTCCTGTTCATATTTGTGTTCTTCGTTGGAGTAATCTCGTCTGATTGAGTCTACAACAATAAGATAAAAGAACTTTTGACCTTTGACGATGGTATCATAGTATGAATTACTGTTGTGTTCATCTAACATTTGGATGTTCATTTGTAATTCTTTGATTCGACTTTGTTCAGATAGAAGTTGTTGTTCACGAGCAGCATTTTCCTGTTCAATATGTGTCAACTTCGCTGTTAATTGTATCACTTCTGTTTTTATGGCTTCATTTCGTTTTTTCTTTTCTATTATGATTAGTGATTTAAAAGGAAATCTTTTCACAAGCAAACAAACCTTCGTTAGCTTTCACTAGTTTTTGCAGTTTGAATCGTTTTTCTTTAATTTTTTCATCTAGTGGAAGAGAATCACATTAACACATAACACAACTGATGAGAATTGAATTACTTAAACATTGTACCAACAATTCAGCACGACTGGTATCAATATGATCAGGTCCAAAAACAACTAAAGGTGATTGTGTTGAATCCATCGAACAATTTATCGGAATTATCTCAATTGAAACCGTCGGTCATTAATTTCCACAATGAGAAAGAATTCATTTAAAAAGACAAGATCCCGCACTTCGAGAAACATAGATGTCGTTCGAAACTTTTTACTCTGTTTCCATTATTGGTTGCGTCGTCTAACCATTGATACGAGGGCTCATCTTGCAATCGCAGTGAGTGCAATTGTTTTCTGTTTTTCTTACCAAAAATTTTCGATGCTATGTTTAAAAAGCTTCGATCGAAATTACCTGATTGGAGATTTATAGCTTTTGTTGTCTCGAATTCTATACCCGGAAAGAAACTTCTCGGCGATTGGCGGTTTCCACCGATTTTCTTCGTTGCTGGTTTTCTCTTCGAAGTTGTTCTTTGCAAATTGCGCATTAACAATATTAACTTTTGTATGTCGATGGAAACGTAACAGAATTTTTCCTTCAATCTGGTTTTCTTCCTAGACGACGTTTACAAACGAAAACAGGCGCACGAATTTGTTGTTAAAAAACATCAACTTGACGATTATTTGAAAACAGTTGCTCTTCAAGCATCACCTAAACCGAGCACTACTCCCAGCGTTTAGTATGTTCAAAAAGAAAGATTTCAACTATTTCAAAAAAAAAAAGAATTGATCGTTGTTTTCATTTAGAAATATGTTACCGGTTCGACGTCTTTTTTATTTGTCTTTAGCAAATGCTCTAACCTTTATTATTGGCTCTCAGACGGCTCATATCTGGCTGAATCCGATGAAAGATTATAAAGATTTCATTCAGAAGGCGGAGGCTGACTATCAAGCTCAGCAGCAAGAATTAGCTGAAGTAGAAGAGTATTTGAAGAAAAAACGAGAAGATCGTTTGAAACAGATTAGTTAATTTAGTATCTTTTTCTATGTTTTTGTTTTGTAACCAAAAATTCGAATATAAAAGAGTCCGGTGTAAACAAACAATGTTCACGTTTACAATGAACTCTTTTTTTCACTTCAGATAAATGGCTTCAAACGATAATCAAGGTTCGTCATTTCATGATGAAGCACAAAGTAGGTCTGATGAGAAATTTTCATCGAATCCTATGCTAAACTGAACTGATCTATCTTTAGATGACGATCCTCCTCCAACCAATTTTGAAGATGCTGTTGAGCAGCAACCAGATATAGATGAAGAAAATCGGAGACGCTTTCCACAAATACCTGCGTTAGCATTTCATCCCTGGGAAGGTATCGAACAAGAACATCTAGAAGAAGATGAAGATGACGATGATGCCAATGATGAACACGAAATGAACGAAATAGAAAATAATCTAAATCATGAACAAGAACAACTGAATCGTTTGCAAGGTAAATTCCCGTCTTGAGGGGATGCATTTTTAGACAGATCGATGTTTTAATATAGAGCAAATCCGTCATATTCAACGACATTTACTGTTAGATTTAAATAATCGAGCAGAACATTTGGAAGATATGGAAGATGATGATAATTCCGATGATGAAGATTGGGAAGACGCAGACGCTGGTAAGATTGTCTTTCATTTTAACATTCTCGTCATATATCACAGACAAAACTGTTTTTTAAGATTCATCTTCGACAGATCATGAGAACCGTGAAGAAACAGTCACTTATGATCGTCTATTACCGACAACACATTCATATATGAATGTAGAAAATTTTCAAGAATTTAGTGGTGTTTGTTTATTATCCGACGATCGTCGTTGTCGATTGCATATCGTTGAATTAGCAAACATGATCTTGATACCAAATCAAACCGTACCTTGGCAAGTGTTCAATACTCGAACAGCACGAATGATCAAAGAAGTGAAACAAGAACAACGGTTATTCGGTGTTATCGATGCTTGTTCATCGTTTCTAACGAATGATCCAAAATACGGTACAACAGCGGAAATTGTTTCCTATTACGAAGAAATTATTGATCAATCCTTACAATTAAAAGTGATTGGACGACAACGTTTCGTTATTGATGACCCATCGACAATGAAACGCGATTTGAACGGTGTACTTCGTGCTGATGTACGAATTCTTCCAGATGTTCTATTGAGAAATCCACCATTACCAAGTTTAAGTCAAAATTACATACATACAATCAATTTTGTTTTACAATATGATATGTGTTTACAACGACAAAAACGGCTCAACCATATCGATACTGACGATCAGCAAGCAACTGGTTGTGGTCAAGCATTGATGAAATTAATTAAACGCAAACGAACAACATCATCATCATCATCTACTACTTCACAGGAAACGAAAAGTACGATAATATCTATGGATTTGATGATAAATTCTTCGAATTATCTTCTATCTTAGGTATTACCCTGACTCAGCCTTCGAAACAACGTCTATTTCGGCTGCGATCTCGCCAAGCTCCATGGTCTTTAACACCTTATCCATACTGGGTTGTACGTCAATATGATGCTGTTTATGTCATGTCATTAGTTAAACTTGAATTGAACAATACAATGTTAGCCAATGATGATGGATCATTGCCAGTAACGCCCGATCGTTTTGCTGATTGGTTATTAATGAATATACCGTTTGAAATTCAAACTGTACAAAAAATACTGTCCTTTCCAACAACGATTCAAAGATGTAAGGAGAATTATTTCGAATCGAATGAAATCAAACTTTTCGTGATATTTTTCTAGTACGTTTCATTCTATCTTGGTTGAGACGTTACAAGAAGTTCGCTTGTCGGCATTGTGCGGCTGATATCTGTGAAGATCGTGATATATTTTCAATGTCTGCTTCGGGATTAATGGCCGCATATGTTAATCCTCATGGACAAATTCATGAAACATTGACTGTTCATCATGCGAAGAATATTCGCTTAATTGGACATGAAGTAGCTGAACATTCTTGGTTTCCAGGATATAAATGGACAATTGTCCAATGCCGTCTGTGTGGGAATCATCTCGGCTGGCGTTTTCGCAACCCATCGTTGAAACCGTCGACATTCTATGGTTTGACTCGTAATGGTCTGATTTTTGCGAGGAATGCAACAGAAAATGATGGCGAAGGAGACGATTCCGAATTAAGCAGACGTGTACGACCATCGACAAGCTTAGAAGAATAATTTTTATTCTGTTTTGTAAATAATCTATTGTATATTTGCTTGATTTTCGTTTATAAAATAGATGATAGCTATGAGTATCATTAAATTTCATTCTTTTACATGAAAGTCAAAAAAGACCAATTACATGGCTATAACTTCGATAAGCAATCATGTTTTTTTTTCAAATAATTTTCATATGGAAATGTTTACACTTATTTCCTGAAGAACTACACTCATAGTGTTTGAATCGAACTTTTCTAGAATCTTTTTTGTTCATCTAGTTAGTGAATTGTTCTTCCATCGCAACATTTCTAATTGTCTATCAAACATAAGAATGTTTGACACGAGAAAATCACGTCATTTTCCATCGTTAATCAATGTTGTCGTTTGAAATCGTTTCTTCTCTTTGTCAAGTACAGTTTGATATCTTTCACTACTTCTGTACCTTGATGGGCAATTACTCTGGCTCTGATCTTCGTAAATCTAGAGAGTCTAGGTGAGTGGGTGGGTGAAGGAGTAATTACCTATCCTCTCGTTCTCTTGTTGATCTGTTCATATTTTGATGTGATAAAACATTGAAGAGATAGATGGTGACACTTGTCAATGACAGTTGTTTTCAACTTTTATTATAATACTATTCTCGAATTAGTTTTCTCATAGTTGAATTAATTTAATTTATTTCATATGTGCAAATTTTCTTTTTGAAACAAGTTCATTTCGATTGTTCAATTTTGATTCGTCGATGGTTCATATCCATTGTATGTGTAGCAGTATTGGGAAAGTGCTGTTTACTTTCTTTTCTTTATATTCATTTCAATATTATTTCAAGTGTCTGATTCCTCGCTGTAGTTTACATTTAAGATTCATATTTCAAACTTTGCATCCAATGTCTGGATACGGACGTGATTCCGGTGGTGATGGGTAAGATTTCCATGGCTAAGAATTCTTTGTTTGATTCTCTGTATTGAATAGATATGGTGGTGGTGGTAGTAGTTATTCAAGTAATGATTATCATTCAGGACGAGGTGGTGGTCGAAATAATTATGACAATAACAGGTAAATGATTCCTTTATTTGATTTTATATAATTTAGTTCCGTATTTCAGTGGACAAAAACGAAATTATTCTGATTCACGTAGTGGTGGAGGTAAACAGAAAACTTTTTGATATATCTTGTATGTCAGTTTTTGAAACCCAAAAATTGACAATTCATACAGGATGATGACTGGCAGCAGTCCACACTTTGTCCTCTCTGCAGGTCATGGCAGCGACAGTGGTTACAGCCGTGGTCGAAATGATTACCAAAGTAATAACGATGATAGTGGCGGATACAATCGCAGCCGTAATGATTATCAAAATAATGATGATAGAGGAAGCGGTGGATATAGCCGTGGCCGAAGTAATAACGATGATAGAGGAAGTGGTGGATATAATCGAAGCCGAAATGATCATCAAAGTAATAATGATGATGGTGGCGGTTACAATCGGGGTCGTAGTGACTATAATAGCAGTGGTGGCAGCAATGATTCAGGGTTGGAAACTCAACGTGATACGATATTCATTCAAAACTTACCTCGAAATGTCACTTCGGAACAACTTAGAGACGTTTTCAGTCAAATTGGAGTAATCAAAGTAGGATACTGCTTGATTAATACATAGATATTTAACCATTTCTTGTTAGAATGATAAGAAAACAGGTCAACCGAAAATTTGGATTTACAAGGATAAAAATACTGGGGAAGGTAAAGGCGAAGCAACAATCACATACGAAGATGAGGAAGCAGCACAAGCAGCTATCAATTGGTACAATGGTATGATCTTGTTTTGATTTTCTATTTCATAAGATGGAATATTTTATTGTTTCTTTCCAAAATAGACAAAGAAGTTCTATCCAATATTGTGAAGATCTCATTAGCTACTCGTCGGGCCTCGGCATTTGGCGGCCGAGGAGGTTTTCGTGGTCGTGGTGGATTCCGTGGACGAGGTAGATATAGTCACAACGAACTTCTATGTCCTTTAACTATTCAATCATATTTACTATTATCCTAGGAGGTGGTGGTGATCATGGTGGCTACCGTGGCAGAGGTAAATATCATTATGGTCTTTTTCGATTATACATTGACAGATCACTTTTTTCGGTTAAATAGGTGGAGATCGAGGTGTTGACTATCGCGGTGGCGGGGGTGGAGGTCGCGGAGCCAGTTATGGTTCCAGTAGAGACAATCGCTCAAATCCGTATTAAAAAGAAAACTTTCTGATATGTGAGGCTGCTTGTTCCAGCAACAACGACATTGTTCATCATCATAATGCACAGTGTACTTATTTTTTGTTGTTGTTGTTTTTCTTTCTTTTTCACCACTACTACTCTAAGCTGTTTCTTGCTGAGGATGATGGTTTTTTTGTCTTTTTTCGCTGTTCTTTGTGTACAAGTGCGTCTTTCTCCTTCTCTTTAAACAAAAAATATAGCTAACAAACAAACAATCCAACCTATAAACTAACTAAAAACATTCATCGTGGTTATCCTGTATTTTTCTTTTCTATAAGTGTAAATGTGTGCGTGTATGTCTGGCAACAATAAAAAGGACTGTGTATCTATTTCAAAAGCTGACACCATCGTTAAGAGACAAAATGACATTTTTTTAATTCTTTCTATAATTTGACACTCAGAAGAAGCACAATACCAACAAAAAGAAAAATGATTGCTAAAGACGGACATCTATCAGTTGACCTTCGATCAGAAACAATGGCTCGAACAAAAAAAGACGATTCTATCACTTCGTCTATAGATAATATATCAATAGTATAATCGTTATACGTTCTTTCTAACAGATACACATTGCATTGAAGTCGATACTTTTCACATGACTTCGATATTTAATACCAGTAGTTTGCCTGATGTCATGCAACGTATGATTACACCTCACTATGAACAAATTGTCAATGAAATAGAACAGATTTATCATCATCCTGACACAGGTGATTTGATTTTCATCCGAAGCAGAAATTTCTACATGAGAAATATTTCAGGATTGATTACAATTGCACAATGGCTCGGTGTACCGATTATAGCTCCAAATAAGAAGATAAGTATATTGCTCATCGGCAATCATAGCGCTGGTAAATCTTGAGATCATCTTTACTAAAACAATCGATGTCTGTGATTTTGTTTTCTTGGATATGTTTAGGTAAATCTTCTCTTGTGAATTGGTACATCGAAGATAATGTTCAACGGACTGGAGTAGCAATTGAAACCCAAGGTAATGCAATCTGGAACCGAAGATAGTCTTATCTATTGGAATTTTCAGGAGTTTCAATCATCACAAGTGGTAAACGACGAGAATCACTAATGGTAATACTAAAACCAGCTTCTGAAGCCTATGAAGATTGACTTCTATAAATTAATTTGTAGGGTCCAGCTACAATGCATTTATTTCCTTATCTTCGTCCTCTAGGAAATATTCCTGGTCTGTGAAGATTTTGATTTTTTTCTCCTTCGCATAGTAAACTTTTCTACAGGTCTTATGAATTATTTAACAACAGAAATCTCATCTTCAAAACAAAAGAAATTTCCTCTCGTTTCGTTTGTCGACACACCAGGTCTTGTCGATGGTGCCATGGCATACCCATTTGATGTTGAACAAGCCATTCTCTGGCTCGGTCTGTTCAAGAAGTCTATGCGATCCTTTCTTATAAACATATACTCCCTTCTATTCAGGTAATCATGCTGATTTGATATTTGTTTTATTTGATCCCATTGGCCAAGCACTATGCAAACGAACCTTAACACTTGTGGAACAATTGAATAAATCCAATCCCGAAAAGATGCATTATTATCTAGCGAAAGCTGATGAAGCTGGTAGCGATCGTGATCGACATCGTGTCTTAATGCAAATCGTTCAAAATCTTTGTCGACAACCGGAAATCTCCAAAACGAACTTCGATATGCCAACTATTTATCTACCTGAACTAGCCAAAGTACCAATTCATTCCTACTCCAGCGCCTGTTCATTCACTATTTCAGGAAACACGGTGTACAAATCAAATTCACGAAGTTTGTTCAACTATCGATCACGCGGTATTTAGTAGTGTACAAAAATCGTTGAATACTTTACATAATGATTCCAAACGCTTAGAGCAATGTATTGCTGATCGTTTAATATTGCACGAGTAAGTTTGATGAATCGACTTCTATTTGAAATGTTAATCAAATGAATAGAAAAACTCAAATTAGACATCGATCGTGGAATATCAAATTGTCGATCGTGCAATTTATTTCATTACTATTGATGATACTTTCATCGATATTGATCTTTCGACGTTATGTGAAAACATCTCATCTAAGAATTCCATTGTTGTTCCCAGACGAATTTTCAACCACATGGCAAATCGATTCGACATTGGTAAGACTTGTCATACTTTGAATTGAGATTCTTTCGATTCTGTTCTTTCTTAGAATGTTATTGATGATTTTCTCTTTTATCCAACTTATTCCCTATTATTAATCATTCTTCTAATCAACGGAATCATTTTTTCCCTTGGACAGTTTATTCGAAGGTAAATTATTTTATCGAATTTAGTTTGATGACATTAAATGTCTCTTTCAGTCGTCAAAAGGATGTTCTTAATCATCGAGAAAAGAAGATGTTTACAGCATTCAAACATCATTTACAAACAAACGTTGGCGTCAAACAAGTACCGAATTGTTTTCCTCTCACATTCATCGACTAATTTTCTCATTTTTAGAAAAACTTATATGAATCCTTTCTGGCTGAAACTATTGATTAACTAAACAAATCATATCTCATGTCATAAATATTATTTTTTTGATAAAATACATTAGAAATACGACAAACCAACTACGCTCTGATCAATCAATGATTGTACTAATCTCCTTGATTGAGAATGAATAACGGATGAATCACCCAACGTACTTGAAATTGATATCTAACTGGATATGCACTCAAGATATGCTTGATTGATTACCATAAAAGATCAACAATCATATTTTTGTCTGCTATTGAAAGTCATCGAGATCGTTCCGATGGTACTAATTCAAAATGAGTAATTTCCCCGAAGCGACACTTCAGATGACTTCACACAACGTTTTTTCTTTCAGATAAAAGGACAGACTAACTTCGCTTGAGATTTAGATTTGTCAATAAGAAAACATTTTGTATTTACATATCTGTCTAGCATTTCGTATCGTCTAATTGATGTATAAATCATGACGTTTGAATATCATTCGATCTCAATTCTTGTGATTGTGTTTAATTGAACTTCAATTGTCGTTGATTATTCATCAGATAGCATACGAAAGAATCAAATCATCGCAAAAGATAGATACACATCGTACTTGTTTTTCATCATGCCTGAACAGCAAAGAAAAATACAACAATCAATCACCTATGTCTACCGACCAAAATGCAACTAACATTCCAAGATAATGTAGACAGAAGAAAGAGAAAATCATTTTCTGTTAATCGTCAACAACCTCATTTACTAACTATGATGATCTCATGTTCGTCGAACTTGTTAATGATCATTAACTGATATTTTGTTTTCTTAAATGTTATTTACTGTTTTAGTCGTATGATATTTTAGTCGTCAAGGTACATGTTCTTTTTTTGATCGATTGTGATTATGTACATTGAAAAAGTAACACATTTCATCAGTGGATATATGTGTAAAAAGAAACGTTGGTTCGAAAAATGATTTTTGATACCAGCACAGCTAATTACTGCGTGTTGACTGACGCACACACGCTGATTAATTAGCGATGATGTCTAATTGATGTTAATCTACGTCAAAAAACTGCTGTAATAGTTTTATCTGATAGAACGATAGGTAATAATCAAGTAAATAGCTTTTTTTCTACTGAATCATCAAGGTTTCCGACGAATTCGCGAAAATAAACGAAATCGTGTCATGTTTATTGCTTCTCACACCATAGATTTGTTTAATACATCAATAAAAAAAGTGACTCTATTGCTTAATGATTGGGCTAATGAAAATAATAGTTTATTTAATCGATGTAAACAAAACTATGTATCTAAAAAAAGTTTTGTTATGATATTTTGTGTTTTCGATTAACTTTAACGATTCGGCCAAGCATCGAATAATCGTCATCCATCATACAGCATGTATTTAGTCGTTCGCTTGTTGATGATTATCTCTCGCTCAGTGTTGATAGTCATCCTCAATGTATAAAGACAGGTTCGATAATGCAAAACAAAACAAAACAACCGCACACACGAGTCAAGACGATAACCTTCAAAAAATGTTTTAATTACTTGAGCATTTTCAGTTTTGGCGTTGGATATATAATTAGAACAGGCAAAACATCATCACAGGGCATTTCGATATATGTATTTTGATAGGAGAAGGTTTTCAATAATAACTTTGGAGAAAAAATTAATATTTGTCCGTCGGAACAATTTTTCTTTGATATTTTTATATTACAAGTCATTAGACAACGATTTTACGCTTTGTTGAGACATTATTTGTTATTGATAAGACGTTTTTCTTCCAACCTTCATATATTTTCTATGAAAATTATGCGTAAACACACGTCAATGATCGAAATATTCACATTAAAAGCAAGAAAAATTAACTTTAATCTTCTACTGAGCCAAATCGTGTTTTTCCATTTATTGAATTCATGAAACTCTACTTTTCACGAGCATTGTGTCTTGGTTTCTATATAATTGATCATCAAAATGCCACGTCAAGTAAAAGAAAAAAACGACACCTGTATAATTACAACTACAGCATTCTTCTTTTAATAAATATCTCATTGACTATTATGTCAGGAAGGTGTATAATTGTAAAGAAAGAAAAGAAAATGAACATTTGTGCTGTATTGCAGATAAATCAACTGCATGATACATCTGTCCTTGTCTGCGTCTTCATTCAATCACCTGTTCTTTGTTTAACCTGATAGAAAAAAAAATGGAGAGAACAATGAAAGACAATAGATATGTGTCCATATGGATGCATCTTTTTTGCATCAAACGTTTGCTTTTAAAACTACTGTCCCTGTATAATATCAATATGGCCATGACAAGATAAATTGCCATCATCTAGATGACTGATAGCTGAACACCTTCGTTTGCACTCTATCGTTAGTTATATCAACCATCAACAATTACAAATGAGCCTTTGAGGGTAAATGTTTGCTATATACAATATGATTAGATCATATTAGAAAGATTTACTCGCAAGTCGAAATGAAAATAAACATCGTTTCAAGGTAAATATTTTTCCTGTTCTCTGATGACTTTGACTTACACACCCGTAAACATGATGGATGATCAAATGAAATAATAGATGAATGACTGAATGAATAAATATGCAAGTGATGCGCATATACCTCAGTCGTATATAGGAGCATTCGACCTTCGATCACAATCAGTTGTAGTACGAGTGTGTAATTTTTGTCTTTACTTGCGTATCAAACGTAAAACCGTGCATACCGATACAAGACGATGTCAACGAAAAGTATTGACGACAAGAAGAAAAAAAAGAAGAGAAAGAAAATTCCACACCCGACTAAACACCATATATGAAAAAAACAGAGACACTAACAGCTCATTCCCCCCCATTACATATAAAGTGATTTGCATTATCTATATTGTACAGTTTTTTTTAATAGATACATAGAGAGCCTCCTAGAAAACAATCATCAAGTTAACGCATAGAAATCAACTTTGTTGATCTTGCTTGCTTTCATCTACTTATTATCTTCAGATTCTTACTGTTTAAGCGACATATTATTCATTTGAAACATGTCCTACGAAGAATCGTCATCATCGTTCTATCAAAGTAGTTCTGGTGTAAATGGAATAAACGGAAGTAAGTTCATCTGCGAGTTAATGAAAAGGAAAGAAGAAAAACTTACTGCTAAACGTAGTTTCGAACGGAATATTTACGAATTTGTCAGGAGATTTGAATGTGAAAATGGTTTGGTTTGCTTTTTTTAAGACGACTTTGGTGTTGCTGTGAACGGTGGTGGAGCCCAAGAAGGTTACTCAAGTTTTCAGTCATCCTCTTCATCGTCCAATTATGGAGCGGGTGCTGGTGAAGCACTTTTAAATGGCGATGTTGCTAATGGCGCTAGTAATGGATTTTATTCATCGTCATCTTCAAGTTTTAGCGGTGTTGGCGCTGGTAGTGCTTCAAGTGTCAATGGTTTAGATACTGGCTTCGCCCAACAAGGTCAACTAGCAACTTCGTCGACCAGTGAAGCCGGTTTTGGTTCAAATAATTTCGAACAACGTTCGTTCGCACTCACAACCTACGCAACTGATGCGCAGGGTCTCTTCAAAGATCCCAATCCTGAAATCATTCGACGACCAGCCCCAGGTGGTCAACAAACCTATACCCAACGAGTGATTGTTAAATTTCTACAACCTCCACCCATTCCAACGCCAGGCGTATGTATATCCTAAAGAAAATCTTGTCAGCAAATTGTCATTACAATTGAATTTAATATATTCTAGCCTCTCATTATCAAAGAAGTCCGTCCTCCTCAACCCCCTCCACCTCCTCCTCTTTACATTCGTACGTAAAAGATCTGTTTTCATACACACGAGTAATAGTCTTCTTGAATAGGTCAACGTCCACCTCCTCCTCCAACATTGCCACCTATTGTAATTCGTGAAGCTCCTCCCAAAGTTCCAGCAGCAGTCGGCACACAAGGTACGATCAAACAAATCGTTTACAAAAGAGAAACAGATTCGTTATTGTTGCCTTTTAGTCATTACAAAAATGCTCCCAGCTTTACCTGTTCCACCCCGTTCAGTCATTATTGAACGTCTTCCTCCTGTTCCACCTAGACCACGTGATGTCATCGTTGAACGTTGGCTACCGTATCGACTAACACAAAAACGCCAAGTCATCGTTCAACGTGCTCCACCTCCAGTTGTACAAAAGCCACGTAACATTATTATTTAGTATAAATAGAACCTTAAGTAATTGACTGACACTTGTGCTAATTGCTATTTGTGTATAGTTATGAACCACCCAAGGCTCAAGTTGTCCGTCGCTTTCAAAACTTGGGTGTACAGCGTGCTAATCCTGCTGAATATGTGGCACGATATGGTGCTCAATTAGAAGACGCTCAAACTCTGATTTCACATGCTCGACAAGCTGGTGTTGTGGAAGATATCGTAAGTAAACACTATAGCTTTCATGCAAGAGGGTATCATTTCACTGGAATATTCGCAGTCACCTCCAGTTCATTCAGCAACCTCGTTTGAATCCTCGAACTTCGAAAGTTTTCAATCAAGTGGTACTGGTTTTGACCTCAATTCATCCTCACTTAATGGTCTCTCAGCAGTCGGTGGTGCTGCTGGCTTTGATGTCATCAATGGTAATGCTGCTGCTGCTGGCGGTGGCGGCTTTGCATCTAGCAGCTACGAATCCTCATCGACTTTTAGCACTAGCGGCGGTGCTGTTGGTGCCAATGAATTTACTGGAGGTCTCGATACTCAATTCGGCAGCCTTGGTCTTGCTGATGCAAGCAATGGTATTGCTGGTGGTGGTAGCAGTAGCTACGAATCGTACTCCTCTCAACAAACATTCACTCAATAGAGCGCCTTTTTCTGCTCACTTTTCTTTTAGAATAAATAAAACGCTTACTACTTCGGAAAAATACAAAAAAAGAAATTGTTATGCACGTTCTTTGCTGTTTTTTTTTCTCAACTTATTATCACGCTTGTTGTTTTCATTTACTTTTATTTTCATAACAAACTCAGTAACTTAACATCTGAATAGTTATTCAATGTATTTATTTCAATTGAACCAACTGAAAAACAAGCAATTTTACAAAAAAATATACATAACTCTCAACCCAATAAAAAAAAACACATTTCTCTCTCTCAATGAGTTTTCTCTTTTCTTCTCCACACCCTCTACAATCTCACACAATAGTTTTGTTCGTTTATATATTGAACCAATTGAAATCGAGCGAACGAACAAATGACAAATTCTTTTGTTTAGCACATCGATTACGATCTTGCTATACAAAATCTATACGTATAGATTGATTTCTAACACATCAAGATGACACAATTACGTCGAAAGAAACATTCATTACATAAAGAAAGGAAACTTCATCATTGCTGCAAGGTAACATGTCACCGTTCATTACCATTGAATCATCCAGCAATGTATACAAATGGTCTATGTGAACGACATTTTTTCTTAATTGATCTTCCAACGAATGATAATGATAATGTTAATGTTGATAATTATTTAACTAATGAATCGAACGAAAAACAAATTGAACAAACAGAGAAACTCGATGTACCATTATGTGGTGATGTACGGTTAACACGCGAAGTTTATGATGGTCGTCAATGGTAATCGAGATGTACAGTTCAAGGTTATTTATCTAGTCGTTCGGCTTTCTTTTCATCTAATTCAGGACCATTTTTCAAGAGACGATCGATCATCAGATGTCATCTAATGTGAATACTGATCAATCGAAAATGATGACGGGAAAAGATAATCAGAAGACTTTATCGGACATCTTAGATTTATTATCGAGTTATAAAACTCTTATCGATGATTTAAAACAACGAATTCAATTATGAATATCGATAGGAAATTCGATTTTTGTTAGAAACAAATAGTAAACTAGGCCAGTTTCGCATTTTTTCACGTTTTGTAGATGAATACACAGTCGAATGGATGAGAAAAGACTTCAAAGTAATATACAATAGTCTACTATCATCTCGATCAAAGTGTCTTTTTCATTATTGCAGAACTCTTCAAAGAAGCTGAACGAATTCGTCATGCTGGCGGGAGAAATCCCAAGGAGAAAATCGATATTTATCATGAAACAGCTGAAGCATGTCGATCTCTTGGTAAATATCTTTATTTCTTTTTTTTTCAATTCCAAATTTCATCTCGTATCTTTTCAAGGAAAATACGATGAAGCAATTAAATATTTTACTCTCGCATTACGCGAAGCTCAATCAGCGGATCTACGCGAAGATATTCTCTATTATCATCGATTCATTGGCGAATGTTATTTTGCGAAAAATGAATTTAAGAAAAGTGAAAAACATCATTTGAATTTCCTTTCTGCAGCACGTGAATATGCAGATGACGAACGAACCGAACAAGCTTATACATGCTTAGCACATACCTATTGGGTTTGGTTAAGTTATTTACAAGATGATGTCTTACATGATTCTGAACGTGATCAATTTCCACGTGAAATATGTAAGAAAAGCTTAGATGCAGCGAAAAATAGTTTATTGATGATTGAAAAATTGGATTATCAATTAAATATCGATATGAAAAAGAAACAGGGCATGAAAATCAAGGATTTAGAAAAACGACAACAGGATTTAGCGCTGAAACGCGTACGAGCTTATATCAACGTTGGTAAAAACAGTAGAATTCATTTTCCATTCGCTAAAACTTTATTTTAGCCAATGCCATGAGTGAAAAGTATACAACCGGTGATAAATCCGGCTCAAGTCTCAAAGCATTGAGTCAATACATTAAAAATGCTATTGAACTTGCCAAGTAAGTATCTGAATATTCTGCTTCAAACGTTCCTCTATGTGTTTGTTTTCAGAAAACATCAATTACATGAAGAATTAGCGCGTCTTCATTCATCGGTCTCAACATTTTACCTTAGTGTACCAAATTTCTTACAATATAAGAAAGAAATTATTACAACTATGGAACAAGCTGTTCGATACGCTCAATTAGCAAAGAATACGACAGAATACCTTTCTTGTTTGCATGACATTGCTCAGGTAATGAAGTTCATGACGGACAACCTTTTCAGGACATCTTGATCGATGTGTGTCTAGGCACTTTTACTCTTCGATGATTATCAAGGTGCAAAAAGTTATCTGTTAAAAATCTATCGATACCGAAAAAATGATCCAATCAAAGACAAAGCTAGACGAGATCTAGCTGATGGTAAATCTTATCTGATTTCAAGTGCAAGGAGAGAAAAATACAGGATGATTTTGATTATAGTGCAACGAATTCTGACTGGATTGGAAGATCGATATGAGCAAGAGACGAATCTTCGGAATAAGATGAAACTGGCCGAGAAATGTGCGGATGTATTTTCTCATTTGAAACGCAATGAGAAAAGTAAAACCTATTACTTGAAACAAGTAAAAAGTCCCCGGCAAGTGAAATCCTGTTGAAAATCAAATCGATTTCCTTTAGTTAAAACATGCACAAGAGATAAATCTCGATGAAACTGAAATGGCTGATATATATTCATCACTTGGAAGTATTTGCCAAGATTTACAAGAATGGCAAGCAAGCATTGATTACTTTCGACGAGAAATGAGTTGTCGAGTTGGTTTAGGTTCTCGAGCTGATATCGAAGTAGAGATATCGTTTCACGAGAAATCAAGAAAAACCCATATTCTCTTGTTTTAGCAAGGTTATTCACTTTGTGAAATCATTAAATGTGAATATCGATTAAAAGTTGACATTGAAGTACGAATCACAACATTTCGACGAGTGCTAACTCTTGCTCGATCTACCAACGATCGAAGTTTAATCGTAAATACGAAGAAATCAAAATTTCTTCTATGAATTCGTTCTTTGATACATATAGAGAATGGCTGTTGCGCTGGTCTTTGCTTTGAAACTACGCGATCTGAGTATTCATTTGGATGATGAGTTGGAAGAATTTATCGGTAGCGTTCAACCGCCGATTACGGAGGAAAATTACAGTGAAATTTTACGACGAGCGGAGCGAACAACCAGTGAAATAACGGATTCGTTACAATCGAACAATGACGAAGATGAAGACGAAGGAAATGTCGACGACGATGATGATGAGAGAATTCTAGAAACACTCTCGGATGAAACAGATAATGAAGATGATGATGGGGGTGAGGATGAAAATGAATTAGATTCTACGCTACGTGGCAAAGGTCGACAGGTAAAATAGTGATTTTGTTTATGAGTGACCCATATTGTTTTCTTGATAGAGAAGAAAAATATGGAGAAATTGCTATGGTGAAAGTCGTTTACATTTAGCTTGCAAAGAAAAGAATGGCCTACGAAAAGTCAAACAATTCATTTCCGAGGGAGTAAGAATCATTAGTTACCATCAGATTTTTCAAAGAATATAAATATAAATTTAGGATGATATCAATCTTCAAGATAATCATGGATGGACACCATTGCATGAAGCAGCTAATCATGGTCATGTCGATATTGTTCGATATCTATTAGATTGTAAAGCTAACATTAACATAAAAGCAAATAATGGAATAACTACCCTGATTGATGCATGTAACAGTGGACGATTGGATATCATTGAAGTTTTGCTTTCGTATGGTGCGAAAACAAACATTCGAACTAACAATGTAAGATTTTGCATTTTCTAATAAAAGCCTGTGCTGACGTTGAAGTTGTAGGGTTACACAGCAGTGGATTATTTGACATTGTATGATGAAAATATGACGCCAGATGATCGACGAAGATTTACTCGATTGAAAGAACTACTTTTGGTTTCAGTGAGAAGTACTCACTCGTAGAATTTCTCTTCCATTTGTAATCATTTTTTCAATATTTAGAGGATGAGCCAACATATTGCACGCAGCGTGTTATTCGTAGTGATTTTGGAAATGAATCTGATGAAGAAGACACGTAAGAGAAAGAATTGAACTGCAACTGATCTTTTTCTTTTGTTTTTCATAAACAGTTTAACGGGCGAACATAATTCGAATAGTAATGATAGTATTGAAGATGTCGTCGAAAAGCATGCGGATAAACGACCACAATATAAGAGTATTATGAACAATATTCGACGGGGAATTCGAACGGATGATGATGTAGCAAATAGCAAACAAGTATGTTTGATAATTATTTCAATTAAATCTTGTGACGAGTTCATTTAGTCACCAGTAAAGCCAAAGAAATCGAAGTTAACTCCATTTGTATCCGATGCTGAGTATGAACGAACTACCAACAATGAGAAGAATTGGGTTGTTGCTGATAGTGAACCGATCGAAGTTGAACATTCAACAAATACCAAAACACGCAAACAGCGACTTCAACGATCACGTTCCCCATCCGTCTCATCATCACACACACCGGCTAGTAAACGAAGACGAACGATAACTGATACAAAATCTCCAGTAAAAGTTGTTCCACCGCCTCCACTTCCATTACAAACATCAACAAACAACATCGATCTCATCAATTTCGATGATATGGATTTATTTTCACCCATGAAAAAAGACTCACCTGCTGCTACACATCCAACTCCATCACTTTCTCCGGTTCTACAAGTCATGACGCCGAAATCAATTACGCTATCCCGTCGTCCATCGTCCACATCATCGACGAACACCATTGCCACATCAGCCACGACAACATCCGTCGTCCTTCCACCTTCCATTTCACATGATTTGTCCACACGAATTATCCGATGCTTAGCAAATACAGCTCAACGAACACAAGACGATAAAAAACTTCGAATACCAATGTAAACTATTCCATTGAAGTGATCAATTTTGTTTTCTAATTAAATCTTCATTTAGGTCTCCGTCAGATACGTTAACCAGTCTTCGTTATCAAGTTCTCAAACGTTTACATGATAATTACAATGTCTACGCTTGCTCTGTGACGCTCTACGATCGGCAAGATTGGGAATCTCATTTCATCTACGTTTAGATTAAAGCGACATATGTGGACAAAGATCCTGTTCTTGTTTATGAACAACTGTGCAAAGAAAATAAAATGGGTAAAGATATCGTATCGATTGGATTTATTTTTCTTCAACGTTGTATGTGCTTTCAGCTGCCTACTCGAATATTCGAACAGCATTAAAACAATTTTTCGACAAGTTTGAATTATCACTACAACGGTTAAGTTTGCGATTACAGCAAACAATTTGTATATTACAAGTCTTTGAAAATTTCATGTTTATCCATTCAATCAATCTATCGGGTAAACAGATTTGAATCTCCATATTTCTGTAAGTCTATTCTTTTTTCGATTGTCTAGAGAATAATCTTACGGATGGTATATTTGATCAATTGGCGAAATTGTGTTTAGATCAATTGAAAATATTAAATCTCTCGCAGAATAAATTCACGTCGAATGGAATACGTAAATTATTCGAACAAAAATCAATGGTAAAAGACGCACAACAACAACTTAATTTCGTAATTTTTTCATCAACTCTTTTCCTTAGAATAATTTACTCGTACTTGATTTGACTGGAAATACGGATATTGATTGTGTTACATTAACATTCCTCCGCAGTCGTCATCCAAACTTGACTATATATCATTGAACAGATTCTATCCTGTTTATTTTTGTTTACTGAAAAAATATCTATACATAAATATGAATTTATTATTGAGAGAAATTTACATTGATTAGGGTTTCGTTTCTAGATATGACTTCATATCTATGGCCATCGGTCCCGTTCGTAACAATTACTATTCTAGTCGGTCTCCATTGTCTTCCTGCTGGTTATCTTGGTCTGCTATGCAAGTTCTACATTGTAGTGTACCTTCTTTTTATGTTTATCGGTTATCTCTTCTCGTCTAAGAAACAACGTCGATGTTTACCTTCAGTTGCTAGTTCGATGTCGTATGCACTTGTTACAGGTGCTTCGAATGGCATTGGTGCTCAGATTTGTCGATATCTTGTTCAGCGTGACTTTAATTTAATTATGGTAGCGCGATCACGGAGAAAGTTGGATGCATTGGCTGAAGAGTTTCAACAAATGAATCGAAAAATCAAAGTACATGTCATAGTTCTCGATCTTACAGAATCGAATGCAGCAGAAAAACTAGTCAATCATGTGGATTCATTGAAAAATGTGAATATCGATATTCTAATTAACAATGCCGGTCGAGGTTGTACAAGACCATTTCTTCAAACAGGTTCAAATATCAATGCTTTTGAAGAAATGATAGCTTTACATGTTTCCGTTCCAACCTACCTCATTCGTCATTATTTACCTAAAATGCGCGACCGACCATCACGTATTGTTAATATTTCCAGCGAGATATCTTACATGTCTTCACCACGTGCTGCTGTATATGCGTCGACAAAAGCGTATCTAACTCAATTGACAACTGCTCTTTCGTATGAGATTGAACAAATGAATGACAATTCAAACACTTCATTTCTATTGGCAACACCTGGACCAACGCTAAATACTGAATTCGATCGTCATGATGAATCTATCGTGTTTCGTTTTCCATTTGTCAGTTTAACCGCTGAACAAGTTGCGAAACAAATTGTCGATGCTTGCTTGCGTGGTGATCAGTTTTGTACACCCGGTTGGGCGAATCAATTAACCATATGGTTAATGACTAAAGTACCATTGTCTTTCGCACATTTTGTCTGTTGGCTTTTATGGGCATCGTGGCCTGAAGTCAAACAATGGCTGCATGAACGTCGTCATTTAGTGATCGTTTGTTTCAATTTAATCTTTTTTCTCTTTTTAATTGCATGTTTCGTTGCGGTGAAAATAAGTCGGCAATTATTTTATCGATTTTTCTAGCATCTAAACTAGAGAAATGCTCTATTTCTATTCCAGATGGATAAACTTCTGGAAAATCTTAGGAAGCAATTGAAAGAATCTCAGCCCGTCACAACAGAAGATGGTAATTTCAGTTTCTTCTTCTTCGTTGATCGAAACATCTCCTTCGTGCCATCTTCATTTCAGAACTGGACTTATTTACAAAATATCTAAAACAAGAACGTGATGTAACTCATCCTGATGCACCTATATCACCGAGAAAACTCGACACGCATAATGATATAACGAAAGCATACTCACAACAGCACATGCCAACGATACCACAATTTTACGAACACGTATGCAATTGTATATTGACAATGTTGTTATTATCGACTTCTGTTGTAGATTCCAAGTGATCCGCTTGGCAGAAAATTACGTGAAGAAGCACGCGCTTTGTTTTTGCATAGGAAAAGCCAAGAAATTGTCAATAGTGATGAAGTTCACGTAAGAATATATTCAAATTCAGAAGGAAGCTTCAACTGATGAATGTGGATGTTCTTTTCTTGTTTTATTAGTCCTTATTAGGATTATTAGAAGAGAATGCATCACCACCACTTGATCCTGAATCGCCCAAAATAAATTACGACGATTTCATGCGAGTGGTTCGTAAATCAAGTCCGGATATCGCGTATGCTCGAACAAATCATCTTTTCTCATTCCAATTTCTATCTATTTCTTTTCTAGCAATCTTTTCCCACCAACGATCTTCGCTGATCTCTATCACAATGATCCCTATGGTCGTGTACGTATTCTTGATCTTTATCAGTACACAATGCGGAAAATGTGGTACTATCATTCTCGAATGGGTTTATCACTCTATGACAGTGTTGGTCAAGGTTATCTTCGAGAATCTGTGAGTATCAGAATTTTCAATGATAAAAATGAAATTTTCGCTGTATAAATTGTTAGGACCTGGAAGATTACATATTGGAGTTAATTCCAACCATGCAACAATTAGCACAATTACAAGCAACATTCTACAAATTTTATGTTTGTACCGCAGTGCGAAAATTCTTTTTCTTCTTGGATCCTTTACGTACAGGACGTATTGCTATACCGGATATACTTTGCAGTGGTTATTTAGACAAATTACTCGAAGTAGGTGTTAGAAGAATGACAAAGTTCCTATTGTAGAATATCTTTTCGTTTAGTTACGTGAAGAAGATGCAGATGCTGATGATCTTGAGATGAATTGGTTTTCTTGTCAATCCGCATCGAAAATTTACACGCGTTATTTGCAATTAGATAAAGATCACAACGGTCTGTTGTCACGAGACGAATTAGCCAAGTAAATTTTTTCGAAATTTCCTTCCAAGATTTTTATCAAAACATTTTTAGGTACAATTCAGGTACTTTGACGCCAGTGTTTATCGCACGTGTTTTTCAAGAATGTTTAACTTATGGTGGTGAAATGGATTATAAATCGTATCTCGATTTTGTTCTTGCACTCGAAAATCGAAATTCTCCACAAGGTCTTCGCTATATCTTTCAAATTATGGACATTGACAATAAAGGTTATTTACACCCAGGAGATTTGAATTATTTTTATCGAGTAAAATTGTGAAGAAGAATATTAGTCCGAATGGATTAGATACGTCGCTCTCGTTTTCTGTAGGGTATGATTCAAATGCTATCTACACGACCATTAACAGAAGTACCACCATTCAATAATGTTCAAAATGAGATATTTGATATGGTTAAACCTGTCGACTCAATGCGTATTACATTGAAAGATCTCATCAATTGGTAAGTAACAATCTTTTCGTCTGTAAATTAGAAAATATTTACGGAATCTGTATTTTCCAGTAGTCAAGGTGGTTTAGTACTGTCAATATTGATTGATATTGGTAGCTTTTGGACATATGAAGTAATTTTCTTCAAGTTTTGATTATCTTTATTGAAAGAATTCTTCATTTAGAATCGTGAAAGTCTCATTCCTCAGCAAGCACCAAACAAAGACGACTCAGTTCACGTCTGATAGATTTCCGTCCAAAGGAATGACATTGAAACAATTCAATATTTGTTTTTGTATAACTAATTTTTTGTTTGTCTAACTAATACTCAATATGAATGAATCAATGAAAATGAGTTTTTTTTTGTCTTGTCTAAATAGATGATTGAAATTTTCTAGATTGACTTTTTCTCATGATATGACTACGAATAAAATTTCTTCTCCTTCTATACATCATTTCTCTTGGGAAGAATGGGATGATCAAATGATTGTGATTTTATACCGGTAATCTAGAACGTTTCTTCTGTCACTCATTTCGTTCTATCTTCGAATAGGTCGGATCAACGTTTCGTCGTTAAACGCTACATAGAACGTGTTCTTGCTAACTCTACTCAATGGCAGCGAATCGCTCGGTCATCGTTTGCAAATCTGGAGCCTATCGCTCAAGCGTACACAATGACAGAGAATGAAGTGAAACTCATGCACCATATATTTTCTTGGCATTTGGATGGTACTTTAAAGTTTCCAATTATCGGTGGACGTAAGCAAAGCGGTTTTGATCCAGAAGACTATTGACGTCTTTTTGAATTAGTCGATCAATTGCTTGATTGGGAAGATGTTCTGGATTTTATTGCACATTCACAACAAATGGCACAGATTAATCAACACGAGGAATTGGTTTCAACGAACTCGCCAGCGATTTTTCCAACGATTCCTGTAGGAATCAAGAAAAAACTTCAAGAGAAAAACGACAACGCGGAAAACACACTGGCGAAAAAAGGAAACACGACACCAATGAAGAAGAATAAAAAAGGTATTTTAGAATTCTCTTTGTATTCATCATTTGTATTTTTCTTGTTTTCCAGTAATTCCACGACAGTTGTTAGATGAAAGTTCAGCAGGAAATCATTGGGTACAGATCAACAATATCTGCGTTCCCTATATCATTAAATCTGAACAAACGCGTTTTCTTCCCTATCAAGTCATACTCGATTGTGAACTACTCAACGATCAAGAACAAGCGTTTCTCATTGATTTTACAGTCAAAGCTAGTCCAAACGATATTCGAACATTTGAACGAATTATATCATCATCATCTTCAATTGATTTTTCATTAAATAAAGATCTTCTACTTATCGATCTCTACCATTTAATATTCGGAATATCAAAAGTTGTTTATGTTAAACTAGTTAACAACCAACGCGATGTCAATAAGGGTTATAAGACGTACGTCAAATTTCTAATTTCTACTCGAGTTACTTTTGAATTTTTTAGTGTCTTAGCACAATGCGGTGGAACGTTTCAGTTTCGTTCTCAGATGATTCCATTCATAAGTCTTGGTAAATTTGATTATGTTCTTCTCGATTCAATCTCAACTATTTTACCCTCGACAACAAAAATGATTTCTAATCTACGTCGACATACTGTGTCTGCTCAAACACATGAAATTGACTACCTTCGTCTTATACAATTTTATCATTCCAGACATTATCAAGACCCGAATATTTTGATCGATCAGCAACAATCATTAATAAGCACACATGACATTCACAAATACATCGAGAAAGACGACTTAATCGTAGATATGTCATTAACACAATATCAACAGCATGAGTATCAGATGATGCGCAAGAGAACCGATGGAGTTGAAACTCGGTCAATGAAAAAATCGACGAAACGAAAGGCGAGCTCGGCCATGGCTGATGTACAGAACACGACTTGAGTGATTCTTTTTTTTTCGATCCAATGTCAGATATTCTATCTTGATTTGAAATTCTTGTGAATTGAAATGTTTTCATACGTTCGAAAAAATATTCAATAAAATTTTTTTCAATGCCATTTTCTTTTTCTATCGGATGCGTTCTGTTGAATCGACGGCTTTCTCGACCAATAGAAATCATGGTCAGAGCCTCTCAAGATAGCAATTCAATAATAAACAATATTTTTCTAAAATTGTGTATGAATATTCATAATCAATATTCTTTTTCTAACAGAATTATCAATCTCTTTCTTGCTAGAAATTTCTTTCGTATAGTAATTCACTATAACCAATCCCGATCTGCCAAAAGTGCAACGATCATCATCACTTGTATTCTATCCTTCTGCCAGCGATAAAAACATACGCGTAAAATATGTATTCGATTGTATTTCAATAACTGTATACGACTTCTTTTATTTTTCTTTTCGAGATTTTGAATGACTATTTATGTTTCACGATATCAAAAACAGGTATAAACTAAATATCATATACCCGATCTCATTAGCACTGCTTTGATTACTTGTTTCAATCAAGCGCAAAAGTCAACATTGACTTCTATACAAAATCTCTTCGTTTTCAGATCATCATGAGAGGATTGATACTCATCGGATTTGTCTTTGTTGTTTATATTGCTTCAACAGCCTTTGGTGCTGATGATAAGGTAAGATCTTTATCGTTCAATGAATTCGTTTATGTCGATTTTGTAGCTTTATGTAACGAAAAAAGTCTACTTCGATATTGAAATCGGTGGTAAAAAGGAAGGTCGAATTGTTATTGGTTTATTCGGTGATGTTGTACCGAAAACAGTTGAAAATTTTGCTCAATTGGCTACTGGCGCCAAAGGTTTCGGCTACAAAGGTTCCAAATTCCATCGTGTTATCAAGAGCTTCATGATTCAAGGTGGTGATTTCGATCGCGGAGATGGTACTGGTGGTAAAAGGTAACTAATCGACTATACTTACTTATCTCAAAAAACGATCCGACGTATTATAATTTTTTAGCATTTACGGTGCTAAATTCGCCGATGAAAACTTCAAATTGAAACACTATGGTGCTGGATGGCTTTCGATGGCTAATGCCGGTGAGAATAAATAATTGAAGCACGAATTGTTATTTCAGGAAATTCTCTTTTAGGTAAAGATACAAACGGTAGTCAATTTTTTATCACTACAGTCAAAACTGAATGGCTCGATGGTCGACACGTTGTTTTCGGAAAAATTCTCGAAGGTATGTCAGTCGTCCACAAGATTGAAAATACCAAAACCGGTCCAAATGATCGTCCAGCATCTGATGTTGTCATCGCTGATAGTGGTGTTCTCGATGTTCCAAGCAAAATCGCTATCGAACGCAAACCTGTCGATGCCAGTGTTTAAAAGAACACATAATCTTTTTATTGTTAAACACTCTTAGTTTATTATCAACGGGAATTTCCTCTTTTTATTCTGTTTGTCACATGCTTCATATGATTTGTTGTTGTTCTCTTTTCTAAATATATACAACAGAGAATAATTGCTTTTTCCTCTTCTTTTTCGTTCTGTTTTTTTCTTCTTCTCAGTATAGAAAGAAAGACTGATTCAATGTAGATGATGCAATGTAGACGGATATATCTCGTCAGAATAAATTCAGTGTCATTTTTTCTTGAGAAATGAGTTCTATCAGAAGACTTATTCGGGTAGGTTGTTTGAAAAAAAGAACAATTATTAAACATGTCTTATTTTTCTTATCTAGACTATTATTTTTCGATCATTGTGTATCACACCAATGGATGATCCGACGAAACCTAAACGTGACCGAGCGAATAAAAAGAACAAAAAACAACAAAAGAAAGAATCTACAATTGAAAAACTACGTACGAACGATACGAATGAGAAAACTCAGGATGACAATGATGATAATGTATTCACTGAAGAATCACAGCCACAACAGGTTTATTGATTGTTGTATGAATGTCTTGCCTTTTGATCTTCGCATGATTGCTTTATTTAATCAATCTATATATTCGTTTGATTTGTTGGCATTCAACCATAATCATCTACCGTATTTCTCTTTCAGAAATTACCTGAATCAAACGTATCTGCAGAAGTTCTCGCTACAACGACTATCATGTCTTCAGCGCTTAATCGCCCTGCATCTGTAACCTCAACAGCAAGTAATCAAAATACTCCTAATCTAAGCAAAAAACAAGTCAAACAATCGAAACCTGGCTCAGAAGCAAGCTCCATAGCTGATGTTTCAGAAATTAGTTTGTCTTAGGTTTAATTTATCTCAATACAAATATAATGTATCTTTATAGCTGAACGCATGGTTAGCGCAACCATACAACAAAATCCCAATGGCCTTCCAACATCTATTCAACCTAAACCTCAATTAACTCGAGCCGAGCGTCGCGCTGTACAAGTAAACTATTCTAAGAGATAATTAATAGTGAAAAAGAAAATTTTCGACTATTTATCATTCTGTTAGGAAGCACAAAGAGCCGCCAAACAAGCCAAGCAAAAACCAGGCACGCCTATTCCGAAATCCACCGATACACCTCAACCATCTGCGACATCAAAAAAACCTATTGCTGATCATACTCCTACGCCGTCTATTTCCACATATCAGTCAAGTAGAAATACGTCACATATTTGACCGAAATATGAAAAATATACCGATTCTTTTCTCATCATTTTCAGCCATTCATCGAGTTCAATCTGAAGCTGGCGAATCAACTATGTCAGTTAGCTCCAAACCTTTGAGACTAACGCCTGCTGTCGGTGCTCCTAGCGTACTTTCTAATCAATCTCAACAAAAGCGTCCGCCAAAGAAGACGAATAACGAACGAGTAACACTGTTTTCCCATCTAACCATTTATACCCGCAATCTGGAAATACTCTCAGTTAAAGGGTATGCGAACTAGAGTCTCATTTTACAATTCTGGTTTATTAAATTCGATGTCTTTTCAGTGACTCTGACTTAGTACATCCTGCAATTATCAAATTAGGTTTACAGTATGCTTCAAAGCAAATAGTAGGCTCGAATCTACGCTGTGTTGCATTTCTTGTTGCTATTCAAAAAGTACGTTGAAGAAAAGCCTTTGCCTTTCAACTCTATGTAAACAAATCAACATTTGTAGATGCTCGAAGATTACGAAGGACCACCAGGGTCAAACAACTCTTCGATACTCGATCCCGGTGATCTTAACACAAAACTAAAAACCAATATCAAGTAATTGGAAATTATGGCATCTTCTTTGTACATTCGAACTTTTCTATTTAGCTTTCTAACTAAATGCCGTCCCAATGCAGTAACCATGGGTACAGCTATACGTTATTTGAAGACGCATATTGAACGTATACCACGAAATATAACCAATGAGAAAGCAAAAGAATTGCTCAACGACGTCATTCAAAGTTTTCTTCGAGAGAAAATTGAATTATCGGGCACAGCTATTGCAGAGACGTATGCCATTACGAAAATTACTAATGGAGATGTTATATTGATATTCGGATAGTAAGTATTCAAAATAAAAACCTCGTTGTTTTTAATCGCTCGTTGAATATTTAGTTCTTCATTAATTATGCGCATTTTGGAAGTGGCTGTGAAACGTTCGATTGATTTTCGAGTTATTATTGTTGATTCTCGTCCACAACAACATGGTAACTACTTATTCAAATACCATTGTTATGTAGATCAAATACTTTTCTGTAGGTTTGAAATCTGCTCGAAGGTTATTAGCATTAAACGTCAAGTGTACTTATATTCTAATCAATGCTGTACCATTCATAATATCAGAAGTAAACTTTTTTTTCTTATTCATTGAATACGCTCTTATTACCATATATTTCTGCACTAGGTAACGAAGGTTTTACTCGGTGCTCATGGTTTATTAGGTAATGGCTATGTTATGAGTCAAATCGGTACAGCACAAATATCACTTATTGCAAAAACTCATAATGTGCCTGTACTTGTCTGCTGCGAGACATACAAATTCTGCGAACGTGTTCAAACAGATAGCTTCGTTTCTAATGAACTTGGTATACCGACTAGATCAATTTGTATATGAAAGACTCAGTTGAATATTTTTCCCATGTTTTAGGCGATCCCGATGACTTAACTCGCGACCATCCACTTCTTCACGATGCGGTGTCCTCAGCAACGTCAGCAACGGAAAACTCCAATTCCAACCTAAATATTCTCAATATGACCTATGATGTCACACCACCAATATTTATCAGTGCTGTCATCACAGAATTAGGTATTCTTCCATGTACATCGGTTGCCGTAGTCATTCGTATGCAAAATAAACAACTAGATGAAATTTGGGGACACGAACAGCAAGCAAATACATCAACAAATTCCAACACGAGCGCGCATAATCCTTCTTCAGAAACTGTTCAATAAAAGAGAGATCGTTTGCATTGTTTATTATATTCTTTTTCTTTCCTTCTATCTCAGCACGGTTTTATTCAAGAACTAAGTGCTGTCTTCTTTTTCCTAAAATTTTATTCGAATTCGAAAAGATCATCTACATAGCATAAAAACGAAATATTTCGTCTCGTATGCAGATTATGCCTGAAAAACTAACTTTGACCTATCAGCACATGCGATGACGTCAATCAGATTTCTTTCGAAACAGGACATCAGTATTTTTGTGCAGCATGATGCAAGATTTTGACAACATGTTTATATATTTGAAGATAAGTATTGCAATTTACAGACGAAATGGATGATTTTCAATATCAACAACCGCAACGTTATCGAATAACGAATAGACAACGCGATGAGGAGAAAAAAAGAAAATCAGGCTCATCGGGTGGTATCCCAGATCGGTAAAATCTCGTTTTTTGCTGCGAACTCCTCTTTCGAGTATTTTAGATGGCTGGATTATATCGGTGTGAACTCTTGGATTGAAAATACACGTTTTGTCGCTTTCAAATGCCCATTAAAACCGGTTTGTCATCTTGTCGTATCTTTTCGAAGATTCAATCTTTCTCGTCGAATTTTTAGGAAATGCAAAAACATCTACCTGATGACCGCCGCTTCACATTAGGAGATCTAGTCGAACGTCTTGATGATAGAGGAAAGGAACTTGGATTAATCATTGATCTAACAAACACCGAACGATATTACAAAAGAACCGTTAGTTTTCTTCTCCATTTGCCTGATACTAACACTTTTCTTCCAACAGGATATCGAAGATGCACAGATTGAATATCACAAACTGATGACACCTGGTCACAATCAAATTCCGAACGAAACGTGTTATCAAGATTTTGCAGCGACCGTACGAAACTTTCTTGATAGGAATAAGAATAATGGTAAGATTTTTGGAGAAAACATCTGCAACGTGAGATGTTGACATTCATGTTAGATAAACTCATTGGTGTTCATTGTACACATGGACTGAATCGAACTGGTTATCTCATTGTCAGGTAAACGAAATCTATAGAAATTCTTTTTTTATGCAGCTTTTTATGTAGATACATGATTGAGGAAATGAATTTCAAACCAGAAGAAGCACTAGAAGGTACATGCATGAATGCCAAATAGTTTTCTCTTTTTTCAACATGTACGATTCATTTTTAGCTTTCAATCGCGCTCGCGGTCATTCTATGGAGAAATACACAGAAGATTTACTTCGACGTTCAGTTGTTTCATATCAAACACAAAATAACTCAAATTCAGTGTCAGATTCTGTCACCAACGGAGATCAAATCCCATGGCCGTCGTTGTATTCTTCATTAGAAAGTATGTCATTAGATGAACGCCGTTCCTCGAAATATCAGCCCAAATCGCCACATATCCCAGCATCTACCTCAATGCAACATCATGAAAATCGAAATGAACAAGTGCATTTCCCAAGTTCAACTCTTGTTCACGATGGAAATCACTCTTTTCAATCACAAGGTCATGGACGACCAACTTATCATCAACCAAATTCGATAAATAACGGTTTTCGTCGTCAAACATCAGTTACACCTCGTGTTTTAAACGCATCTTACAATGATGATCAACATTCCATCCAGTCAGCATCGGCCTACTTCGGCTCAGGCAGTAATGTCGGTCGTGGTCGACCAATGACTGGTGATCGATGAACATTGTTTGGTTTTCCTTTCATTTATGTTTTTCAAATAGAAAAAAATCATTGCAATCGTATGCATTCATGCAGATAAGTGTGAAGTAGGAAGTACTGTGCTCTATAATAGCTTCGGATACTTCTTGGTAACCAGAAGCAAAAAAACTTAGAAAACATACATTTTCCTTTTCTTCTTCTGAATAAGTAAAGCCACAATTAAATATGCCAACGGAAAGTTCAAACAGGCGTAATTCAAAACTACGTCTGAATGTACCACGAAGCTCAACCAATTTCAATTATTATGATAATTTTTCGAATTCCCGCCCGCATCGACAATCGACACGTGCTTCGTTTTTGCAATTAGGTCACGACCAGCAGCAGAATCGGTATGAAAATTCTTATCGAATGCAACCGGATGATGATCACAAACTTGATATAAATCGAATCAAACTTGTGGCTATGAACACTCTTGAAACAGCAATGATCGGTTATAAATACCGGCAAAAAGAAGTTAAAGCGTTCGCCGAATTATTAGCAGATAAAATACGAAGTCAAATGAAATTATTACAACTTTACCGATATAAAATAATTACGCAGGTATCTGTTGGAGAAAAAAGAGGTGAAGATCTACGTATTGCCAGTCAATGTTTATGGAATCTTCAAACAGATGGACATGTTACAATAACAAAAGAAACTGTCAGTGCATATGTTACTGCAACAATCTTTTTTGTGTATACAGACTAAAGGGAAAACGAAAAGAATTTTCTAAGGTCGATGACTAATAAAACATTGTACTTTTGCATCAAGATTACAGAGAAAGCGATATCTATTAAGACTCAATTTTGTTTTGTTCGTAAATGAAAACCAACAATAGGTGGATCGCTGACAATGACAACAACTTGGTAATTTGAGCTACAGATTTTCTCATGCTGACTTCTACTTCTATGTAACAGATTTATTTAGTATTGATTACAAGTATGTAGGTAAGAGGTCCTGTATCAATATATATATACATCTATTCAAATTTGACGATCGAAAATACGTGACTTCATCAATTACTTAGTTTTCTGTACGCTTACAGGCGATGTGGTGTTCGATATTATTCTACACATTATTGATAACATTTGTTCGCGCCTCATCAAATCGGACGAGTTCACAGACGAAAGTTGGTGAATGTGATAGTCTAAATGGAAATGCATGTGGTTTTGTTACCTGTGAAAATGGTGGTCAGTGTAATGAAGATCCATCCACTGCCGATTGCTTCAAATGCCACTGTCTACCTGGCTTCTCAGGCAAGGTCTGCCAAAATGCAATCATCCTTCCGCGTATGCATTGTCTCTCGTCATTTCCACTCGACTTTTCTTTCATTTAGCTGGATGTGGATCCGGATGTCAAAATGGAGGCGCCTGTATCGGAAATATTTGCAACTGCCAGCCTGGATTCACAGGTCCGTTCTGTGAAACAATCAACAACTGTGCTCCTGTCAATCCGTGTGGAAATGGTGGCCGATGTTCATCGGTTGGCAACACTTTTGTTTGCGATTGTACTGGCACCGGGTTCACCGGAAGAGACTGTACCGAACCCATCGTCACGAATCCATGCACAACAAATCCCTGTCAAAACGGAGCACAATGCTCGTGGAATGGAGTCTTGGTGACTTGCGCTTGTGTTGGTGGTTTCTCGGGATCATTCTGTCAAATACCACCAGGTAACACTGCTCACTTGTCAAACGAAGTGTGTTATACTCTTGATTGTAGTCCCATGCGCAGCCACACCCTGTGAGAATGGAGGTGTTTGCGAACCGACTGGTGCAAATACGTATGAATGTAGATGTCCTGCTGAATACACTGGTATTCGATGCGAAACATACATCTTGTGTGAGTGACTATTTGAGTAGGATTTGATGAAGAGTGATGTTGTTGTTGTAGCAACTCATCCATGTGTAACGATGGCAGACAGGGTGTGTCAGAATGGTGGCGAGTGCACGGTGAACGGCGATGACTACCTGTGTCGATGTGCTTCAGGTTGGGGTGGGCGAAACTGTGAAGTGAGAGAGGGTATGTAGTACATGATGGGCGAAATGAGATGAGTGAATACATGTACATATTATTAGAGCCAAATACATGCAATCCAAATCCCTGCGGTGATCATGGAACTTGTGGAATAGCTACTATAGCAAGTGGCACTGTTGCGATTTGCTTCTGTGATAATCAATGGACAGGAAGACGTTGTGATATTCAGATTGGTGGTGAGTAACGTTGTGTACATTAGATGAACGTATCACTATCTTTCATTCTTTGAGAACAATGTTACGATGGTTATTGTATGTCCGGTGGTGTATGTCGAACAAGTGGAAACATTCGTTATTGCGAGTGTCCAGTAACGCATATTGGTGCACGATGCGAGACACCTATTACTGGTGTCACTACCACTACAGCGGTACCAGGTAAAGTTGTTTATCTGAATTTTGAGCGGATATGTATAATTCTATGCATTCGTTAGGTGTGCGACCATGTTCGTTGGCTCCATGTCGCAACGGGGGTGCCTGTTACGGTGACAACGTTAATTTTATCTGTGTGTGCCCTCCAAATTGGACAGACCGAACATGTTCAACAGCTATATCAGGTACGGCTCCTACGAACACTATTTGATATGCAACGAGAAATGTACTGTTTTCAGTTGTCGACCTCTGTTCTCCAAAACCATGTCGAAATAATGGCGCATGCCAGACTAATGGTATGGTTTTTGTTTGTACATGCATACCACCTTGGACAGGTTTAACTTGCGAAAGTTATCAACCAGCGGCAATAACAACAACTACCGCTATTCCTACCAGTATGTGAAATCACATGATACATTTCTGTTTTATCATCAGCCTGTTCTTTTAGTTGGAATGACATGCACTGATATGCCATGTCGCAACGGAGGCGTATGCTATACCATTGCCAATGGTTACTATTGTTATTGTGGGGCAAACAATCTTTACACAGGCAAAAACTGTGAAACAATTGTACCAGTGACACCATCAAGTGAGAAGAGCTTTTCGAATTTACAGCTGTGAAAGTTACTATTTTTATATATAGATTGTCCGTTGAACTGTGCACCTGGTTATTGTGTACCTTCTGGTTCGAGCGCGCGACCCTATGTCTGTATGTGTGATGGAACTATGAAACTCAACAGTTGCGCCTAGCGAAATTGGATTGTCTCGAACACTTGAACAATAAAGACTCCGTATATTCTCATATTTTTGCTTTATAAAATCAACTATATTTTAACATGCATATAAATATACAAGATACTAACGTACTCTCTCTCTCAAATTAAGTATAAAAAATGGAAAAAAGTGCAATAATAACGTTTCAGAGCTGATTAATCTGTGTATATCAGTATCGTTCGTGCCATTTCGTATATCCAAGATATCATGTCTTGCTTTCCAATGCCACCCATACACGAACAGATGTCCTTCATACACTTGTGTTTCTTTTTCCTGCCTTGAAATCATGATTAGATGGCAAACATATTTGATAACGTGTGTGATTGATTTTTCTTTGACACTAAGATTAGCGAGATTCGTGTTTGACGAGATTCGATAGAAGTATATAAATAGACTTAACAAAAAACGATATATGCAATTTGATTGAAAAATACACCGGTAGATATACCAAAATGTGGAGCAGCGTGGCAGCCTCTCCATCGTTACTTATTTCAATGTTTTGTCTTGTGTTCATTACAGTTGTTCGCGCCTCATCAAATTGGACGAGTTCACAGACGAAAGTTGGTGAGTGTGATAGTCTAAATGGAAATGCATGTGGTTTTGTTACCTGTGAAAATGGCGGTCAGTGTAATGAAGATCCATCCACTGCCGATTGCTTCAAATGCCACTGTCTACCTGGCTTCTCAGGCAAGGTCTGCCAAAATGCAATCATCCTTCCGCGTATGCATTGTCTCTCGTCACTTCCACTCGACTTTTCTTTCATTTAGCTGGATGTGGATCCGGATGTCAAAATGGAGGCGCCTGTATCGGAAATATTTGCAACTGCCAGCCTGGATTCACAGGTCCGTTCTGTGAAACAATCAACAACTGTGCTCCTGTCAATCCGTGTGGAAATGGTGGCCGATGTTCATCGGTTGGCAACACTTTTGTTTGCGATTGTACTGGCACCGGGTTCACCGGAAGAGACTGTACCGAACCCATCGTCACGAATCCATGCACAACAAATCCCTGTCAAAACGGAGCACAATGCTCGTGGAATGGAGTCTTGGTGACTTGCGCTTGTGTTGGTGGTTTCTCGGGATCATTCTGTCAAATACCACCAGGTAACACTGCTCACTTGTCAAACGAAGTGTGTTATACTCTTGATTGTAGTCCCATGCGCAGCCACACCCTGTGAGAATGGAGGTGTTTGCGAACCGACTGGTGCAAATACATATGGATGTAGATGTCCTGCTGAATACACTGGTATTCGATGCGAAACATACATCTTGTGTGAGTGACTATTTGAGTAGGATTTGATGAAGAGTGATGTTGTTGTTGTAGCAACTCATCCATGTGTAACGATGGCAGACAGGATGTGTCAGAATGGTGGCGAGTGCACGGTGAACGGCGATGACTACCTGTGTCGATGTGCTTCAGGTTGGGGTGGGCGAAACTGTGAAGTGAGAGAGGGTATGTAGTGCATGATGGGCGAAATGAGATGAATGAATACATGTACATATTATTAGAGCCAAATACATGCAATCCAAATACATGTAATAACAATGGTGTATGCTCTTTGGTTCAAATAACTACGGGATTAACAGCTCACTGCAGCTGTAGAGATGACTGGACGGGAAAATACTGTGACGTTCGGATTGGTGGTGAGTAACGTTGTGTACATTAGATGAACGTATCACTATCTTTCATTCTTTGAGAACAATGTTACGATGGTTATTGTATGTCCGGTGGTGTATGTCGAACAAGTGGAAACATTCGTTATTGCGAGTGTCCAGCGACGTACACTGGTAGACGATGTGAGTCGCTCATCGGTGCTGGAATAACAACTACAACCCCTGTTAGCCCTACATTAGTACCGAGTAAGTGTTTGTTTTTTAATATGCTGAAGGGTAATTCAATATCATGGTCAACATATAAGGTGTCGGAAACTGCTCGCCAAGCCCATGTTTGAATGGAGGTGCATGTTTCAGTGACAATAATTATTTCATCTGTTTATGTACATCGCCATGGTCGGGACGTATATGTGAAGAAGGAGAAATGGTAACTACAACAACAGTAATGACAAGTACTACTACTATTCCGTCGGGTAACTAATTTATAGCGTAGCACTTATCTGTGTGCAAGAGGTTTTGATATTTTGTGTTATATTAGTTTCTCGTGACTGTCAGTCGAATCCATGTCAAAATGGTGGCACGTGTGTTCCTATCGGTACCTCATATTCTTGCTTTTGTGGATTAGACAGTATTTATACTGGTAAAAACTGTGATTCAACTGCTGCAATGTCGTTCCTTGGTAGAAGAATCCTTTTTCCTTATTTACATGAGTATATAATCTCTTTTTGTATTTTAAAGAATGTCCATTGAATTGTGCACCAGGCCGATGTATATTTTCTGGCTATGCAGAACGGCCATACGGTTGTTTATGGAATGGAATTATGCGACCTGAAGGTGGTACGACGAGATAATTTGCTTTCTTATCTGATAATAAAACTACTCTATTTTAATAAATTCTACTTCAAACTAGAAAAATGCCTACTAAATTGTATAATATTCTTGGCATTGCGTAGTAATGTCTACTTAATTATTTTCTCTAAGCTTTACTTAAAATAAGTTGCCTCGGCGCGGCATGAATGAAGATGTGAGTAACAGAACGAGCAATACCATCACCTGTAACTTCTAAATACTATCAAAATTATCGCTAAAAATCACTTTTTCATTCCTAGTTACGCTCAAATAATATTCAAAGATCATCGTTGACTATTGAACGCCATTAATTAGACCAGAAACTACTAACTATAAGACAACTTCAACATGAAAAGCGTGAACCTTTCAAGGTTATAATAATATCACCTGAGATACATAAAAAAATGATAAACAATAAAAGACTTGATGCTTCTACACAAGCGTGAAGAAAACATTTTCTTCAATACTTCAATCAATGACCAAGACTACATACAACACTTAAGCTGTGACTTTGCGAGCCACTCGTCGTCATTCGACACATTCGTAGCTACCTAAATAAAAAAAGGATTATAAATCACGATAAATTGAGATTCGACCATCGTGCATATTAAAAAAAGATTTCAAGAATTCGAGTCTACTATTCAACAAATAAGTAAATATGAAATATACCAGAACAGTCATCCGTCATATAATCTAACAATAGAATACATTTCACATGAAAAGCCAAATGTGATATCAACAGGTTCACGCTGACGTAAACACACAAGTAGTTCATTGCTGAATTTCTTTTTCAACACAACAAGCTCCAGATTATTTAAAATGAATCATTGAACTAAATATGACACTGACATTCAAGTTTTTTACAGGTGGAAAATGGGTATATAAAAAAGATCAAGCGTTTTGTCAACATGTTCAACAGCAAGGTAAACATAACAAGTGATGGATGTGTCAATCAAAGCATTGTCTCCATGATTTACTCAGTTTAAAATTGTTTGATAAGAACAAATACTGATATCACTTTTGCAAAACAAAAGCCACTTAAATGAGAAGCATTCCTATTCGTTTCTGACGAAATGAAGCAATCAGTTACATTAAATAAATCTTTCAAAACTTATCTGCAGTGTTCTCAATGATATAGAAATTACTTTTTGTAAATGAGGTGAATCCCTCACGATTGTTGTATTATACATCGATTTGCTTTAGTGCGAAAAAGTCGATTCCATTGTGACCGACCACACAATATCTGTGTCGAACACATCATCACCAATCGTATAGCATCTCCGTACTCTCTTTATGCGCCTCAGAGATTAGATGAAGACGTTTATAGCTGAGATTTCAAATGGAACCGTAGGCCAGTTGTAAATCTGATGCAGAGGAAAAGGAACAGACTCGTCTAGAATAAAACAGGTCAAGCACGAGAAAATTCTCACACCTTTCTTTCTTAAACTAAATTTAAAAACCAGCAACAGTGTTTTCTTATGTTGTAAAACAAAATTGCGATCATAGTTAAGCTTGCTTTCGTTTTTCAACTATTAAATTGAAAAAATGTTGATTATTACAGCTTCTTGTCTCTTAAAACAGTAGCATCGAGCTCGAAAATTGAACTCAGTTATATAATTATCAAAGAATTCCAACCATCTAGTCAGATATACCAACCAGCTATATGTTATATTGATCTATCATCAATAGAATCAAAACGTAATTTGTGCTAATTATTGTTGCCAACAAACTTCATCGCACTCTTACTCAACCAGTTCAATAGGCCGCTTCAAAACCTCTTGTGTTCGATTACAATGATTCAATTGAATGGCTGTCTATTGTGGCTATCAGGGCACAACACATCCATCAAATATAATTTCGTTTCATAAGAATAGCACACTCCCACCCTCACACAGCATCTAGAGGAGTATTCTGAGTGAGTTAACTGCACTCAAAGACATTAAACGCCCGTGATCAATTTCATTCAATAAAAGCGCCCTTTTATTGTCCGTATTATTCGGTATTGTTTTCTCACTTAATGTAAAAGTAATCGATAAAAAATCACAAAGACTATCAAATACATATATTTCACAGCACAGGTGGTAATCGAAATAGATCCCGAAAAAATAACGATGAATATTTATTGAAACAAAGACACACATGACGTGAAAATATACCTTAATCTTTCTTTGTATTGATTCCCGCACTTATATAGTCTGTTATTAAGAATCATAGCACCTATTTTCCTTCGAATTCCAAAGAATATGAAGCGACATTTCACTATCTTATCCATAGCAGCACTGTTGGTGTCTTTGTTCACTGCCATTCATGCAGAACATCGTCCGTCACCACGTCAAACGCATACTGAATGTTTAACTCCAGAAGGTATTTCATCATTTTTAGGATTCTTACTCTATAACTTTAATCGCTACCACATTCTAGTGAACATGTGTGATTATGTTAAATGCGCTAACAATGCGATATGTAGATCCACTAACACAAGCCGATGCTTCGAATGTATTTGTCAACCGGGTTTTACAGGCACAATGTGTCAACAAAGAGAAAATATTACTGATATAAGTAAAATGCTTGTTAACTTGTTTTTAAACTTAACATAGAAAATGTCACTTTGTTTTCAGTAAATCCCTGTAGCAGTGTCACCTGTTATAATGGGGGCAGCTGTTTGATTCTTAATAATGAAGCTTTTTGTGTCTGTCCATGGGGTGTCACTGGTCACCAATGTGAGCAGGTAACATCAACTAATCCATGCGACAGTTATCCATGCTTCAACGGCGGTAGCTGCATTGCACAAAATGGACGTTTAGAATGTATTTGTCCACCAAACACAAGTGGATATCAATGTGAGTATATGAACATAAGCATTTCCAACAACAGCAGTGGAATTGCGGACAACTCAACATTCTACCCTTGCAATAATTTTACCTGTTATAATGGAGGCAGCTGTGTGATTCTTAATAATGAAGCTTTTTGTGTCTGTCCATGGGGTGTCACTGGTCACCAATGTGAGCAGGTAACATCAACGAATCCATGCGACAGTTATCCATGCTTCAACGGCGGTAGCTGCATTGCACAAAACGGACGTTTAGAATGTATCTGTCCACCAAACACAAGTGGATATCAATGTGAGTATATGAATATAAGCATTTCCAGCAACAGCAGTGGAATTGCGGACAACTCAACATTCTACCCATGCAATAATTTTACCTGTTATAATGGAGGCAGCTGTGTGATTCTTAATAATGAAGCTTTTTGTGTCTGCCCATGGGGTGCCACTGGTGACCAATGTGAGCAGGTAACATCAACTAATCCATGCGACAGTTATCCATGTTTCAACAACGGTATGTGCATTGCACAAAACGGACGTTTAGAATGTGTTTGTCCACCAAACACAAGTGGTTATCAATGTGAGTATATTAGTGTTAGCAACAACAATACGAATGTTGATCCATGTGAAAGTATGACGTGTTATAACAATGGTACTTGTTATACATACGGTAACGAATCTTTCTGTGCATGTCAGTTGGATATCACTGGACGTTATTGTGAAGAAATATTAGCACTGAATCCATGTTCATCGTCGCCTTGTATGTCAGGAGGTACCTGTATTTCTGGCAATGGTACCTATCAATGCATTTGTCCAGCTGATAGAGCAGGCGAACTTTGTGAGCGATACAGTGCTCTTCATCCATGCGCTTCTTCACCATGTTTGAATAACGGTTATTGTGTTGGTGTAAGTAATGATACGGATTTTTTTTGCTTCTGTGGTTATGATAGAACAGGACGTTTTTGTGAACAAGAACTCATATATGATCCATGTGGTTCATCACCGTGCGAGAATAACGGCAGCTGTATTATTACTAATAACACATACATATGTCAATGTCCACCAGGCACTTCAGGATACAACTGTGAACTTAGTGACTCCTTAGATTTATGTAGCTTTTCGCCATGTGACAACGGTGGAACTTGTTATAGTATCGGAAAAAATGGTATAAAATGCATCTGTCCATTCAACACCACAGGACGATATTGTGAACAAAATTTTGGCGAAGCACACAACCAAACCACTCCATGCTTTTCCTCACCTTGCGCAAACAACGGAAGTTGCATCGACCTCAACGACTCATACATGTGTATCTGTCCGGATAACGTTACTGGTACAAATTGTGAAATAAATTACCAACCATCAGGTACTACAGTTTTTCACATCTATATCTTATTATATTTATTTGACAGGGTGTCCACTAGATTGTGGATCGGGCAATTGCATGGCTACTTTCAATTCACAGCATCCATATGCGTGCATATGCAACGGTATTCTACATCTCAACAGTTGTCCCGTGGAATAAAAGTCTAGGATGGACAATGAAAAGCTTGTTTTAAAATTTTTCGAATAAAGCGGTTTGACAAATGTTCGAGAGCGCCATTTGTTCGAATAAAAAAAAACTTTCTTTCAATTAGAGGAGAAAATGTCATGTGGTGATTGTTGTTCTTCTAGCTATCCAATACATAGAGCCATTCAAATACTTGACAATGAACTTCGCCTTCGTCCAATACTCAATCCCAATCATGCTACTGGATTTGATGAATTAACACATTTTTTCAATATTATCAATGGTTTATTTCAGCAATCAGCATTGACGTTGGGTTTAAGTACTAATCGTTTAGCTACTCTTTTACATTTGACTGAGTTAAATGTTGGAGTGAATCTGCAAATGAGTCAACAAAAGTTGACTAATACCACATTGTACAGTTCACTTCCGAATGGTGTAATAAAATTGCATACACTAGATAAGAACTTAATGTGTGGTATCAATCATCGTTGGACTCCGTCATTAACTACAACAATTCGTTGCGGAACAAAGCCTCAACAGCAACACCTTTGGTCACATGTCGAATATCGATGTCCTGTTGGCTCATATGAGTTCACTGGTGAATACACGACACAACAGCAATCATCTGGTATTCGATTTCGTTGTTTATCATGTCTATATCACCATGTGAACTTTCAAGTAGATGGTGGACTTGATCTTAAAGTATGAATATCGAATAATCACTAAACTAACTCAATACAGATTTATTAATTTAGATAACTGCTAAAGATAAGTTAGCAGATATAGCACTTCGTCTGAAACGTTCTTCAGATTCGTTGGTATTCAAATGTAATCTCTATCATCCATTAGAAAATTATCTAATCAGTATTCAACGTTCCATCAACACAAATTTAACAGTTGGTTTACTAATTGAAAAATGTGTTGATGATGATCGACATCAACATATGAAATCCAGTTTTGCGTCTCAATGGGATTTGAATACAGTAGGCCTACGTATAAATACATTAATTAACACTCAATATGAATGCGGTCTTTCTCTAACTTATCAATTGCGTCACTTCCCGCTCGTTCTACAAGCATTCACTGGTTATTCATGGACTCGAGAGAAATATAAATGTGGCATTGGATTGCAACTACTTATTTGAATGATATCGACGTCTACTTCTTTGGATTTCCTGTTCATTGCGACATTTCTTTCTGAATAATGTAGGCATACGATTTTGTTCATTGTCTAGCTCAAACAAAAGAATACATCTTTGTTTGTCGCAAGGTAAACATTCTTTTCTTCCTTACGGACGTGACCGATTACTAATCCCTCGCCAACGTTTGTTGTCGTCAGTATATGTATACATTCGATGTGGTAAAACCACAATGACGGTAGTTTTATTCTATCTCATTCTAATTGGAACACAAATACATGTTCTCAATAGTCAATTCAATGGATTTGGTCAAGCACCAGTACAATGTTGGCGTTGCGATACACTAAAATCTGATCAAGAACGATTTGCTGCATCGCGTAAATTTGCCTGCCTACGTCATTTTGATTTTACACAACATTCAGCTGAAACATGCGATGGCAAATGTTGGATGTCGTATGAAGTGATCGAACCGAAGACGAAAGCGGAACGAGAAAAAGCGATACGAATGGTTGACGAAGTTCCCGATACAGATCGACGATGCTTTACAAGCGAAGATTTGACTAAAGCAAGTATGATTGGATTGAACGCTGCCAATGGATGCCGCGATGTGAAAATGAGAGAAAAGGTGAAGAAATTCTGCTTTTGTGACACCGACTTTTGTAATGGGACTTCTTTAACTAATCAATTATCATTACTTCTTCTTCTATTCACACCTTGTCTGTTATTCTTTTGTTTATGACATGTGAAACAGGTTTATTATCTGAAGAGAAAAAAACAAGAAGGCAAACAAATGTTAACGTCAACTATAACTTCTGATTCTCGTGATTAAATAGAAAAACCGTGTAATAATCATGAACCATTTTGCCTTTTCTTCAAGAGAGAGAAAGGCATCGATAATAAGCATACAAAACATACAATTTTGACTTCAGAAAGTCTCTTGATTGTTAGACATCGATATGGTTATATACACAATAGAACAACAGCAACAATTTTATCGTTTGTTTGCCGCAATCGTTTAAATAATACTTGTTTTATTGACCATCATACCGCTTCAACGTACCTGATGTTGGATTGTAATGTCCAACAAGGTAGAAGTCGGCCTCTCCTCTTCGTTTACCATAATCCGTTGCCTTTACATAATCGTCGTACGATTCGTAGATTGTACCTTTGTATTTTATACTTGCGATAGGATTTTCATCAATATGCGTACTTTCATAAAGAGCGCCCTGCAATGAAGAACGTTCAATAAGAAAGAGAAAGCAACTGTAGAAACTTACAGTTAGATCAGTTTTTCGCAGTCCCTTCGGTGTTTCATGTGGACTGTAATACCATTGAATTTTAACCATATCTTGTTCAGTTGACTTGTTATGGTAGAATCTCAGCACCTTACCAATATAGGATAACGATTTATCGACACCGTGTAATACAATACAATCACCAACTCGAATAGTTTCTTTATTGTCATGACGACGTATAGTAGAATTTCGAAAATTTAATGTCCATGGAGGAACTTTGATTGGAGATGTTCTTACTGGTCTTAACCGTTTAACAGAATCAGTTGTACTATTAGATACGTTCGACGATACTCTACGTGATGTTCGACGGCTCGATGACGACGAACTTGAAGAAGACGTAGAAGGAAGTTGATAGGAAGTGATACGCCATTCGTCGAGATTAATTCCTAGAAAAGAAAGAACTCATAACGTATAAAGTTATCTAGAATGTTCACCTTTAATATCATAATCATCCGGTAGCAGACGTATTTCATGAAGTTTAATTAAACCAATATCACCGTCATCAAATATTAATCCAACTGTTGATGATTCATCGATTTCACTGGGTATTTTATCGATAGTCGCCGGGTGAAGTCCACGTAAACTCGTACTCCAAAAGGCACAAACACGTAGACCTTTTGATAGACTCTGGAAGTCTTCAGGAATCATTTTCGGACATGCCAAACGACATAAATCATGGATGGGTATCAGATACGTTTGTCGTTCATGATGCAATCGTACGAGTAATAAATCATCATAATTATCAACGGGTTGAATAGTTGCTTCATAAAGGAAACCATCGTTTGGTATCAGTATGTCCAAATTGGGGGTAATTCGGTTAGGCTTCAGACGAAAACAGATTGATCTTTTCATTTTCCTCCTTCGAATATCTGACAGTAAGAAATGACAATTCGTCGAGTTGGATAAGATGTTTTTCTTCGCTTGTAAGATATTTATTACTGAGATGATGAAATGGAGAAATCGATTTTTGATATTCACTCTCAAATTTCGATAAGACCGTTTGAGAATTTTCTTCTTTTGATATTTTCGATCAATCTGTTGGATCATTCGATAGCATTGTTCTAACAATAAATCGTAATTTTTCGATGTTAAACTAGTTTCATTCAGTAGTGATCGTGTCTGACGTGTATCAAGTTTACATGCAATCTCAGCTAATTGTTCCAAAGCATCGATTGTACAGAAATTCTCAGATTTGCTTATCTGATTTTGTCGTTTGACTAAATCATTATAAAAGTCGAATATATATCGCAGAAGTGTTCCTTGAGGTTGCTGAGAATCATGTGATGATGAAGATATATTTCCATGCTTTTGCCGTTTTCTTCGATGAAGTATTCGATGAAGATAATGATCAGAGAAATGACGAAGTTTTGTCTTGGAAAATATACTTGGAATATGTCGGTATCCGATGGAAAGTAGTTCATAGGTTGGCGAACGAAATGATGAAGAGAGAATATGTTCGATACTAAAATTTGAACATTGTTTATTGGTTTTAAATACCGAGCGAGATGCAGGAAGAAACTGTTGTTTTTCAGGATTCGATGGAGCCATCAAGGAATCGATTAAATCAACAGATTCACTATTTAGATTGGATAATGGTGGCGATGAAAGAGAGTATTTACGTAGTGCTGTCGAGGAAAGATCGACCGGTTGGTAATCACTCTCAGATAAATCTACAGAGAAGAAAAACAAGAAGAAAAATTGGAAATACTGATGAAATTACACAACTAACCAGTGCAGATTGATGTCGGTGTAATGGAAATTGGTGGCGATAGGAGTTTATTGGTTGTCGTCACAAGTGACTCTGACGGAAAATGTGTGTTTAACCAACTTCCTACGAAAAACAACAATCAAACTAGAAAATATATTTTGAGGACAAGTTCTACCTGATACGTTTGTTTCTAGCGGCAATAATTGCTGAATCTGTGGTATCATAATATTTAGTAACGAAGACGATGAATAAGTTGCTGATGTGTACGCCTTCATCTAGTTGCACTCATTCTTCTTCTTTTTTTTCATACGATTAATGACGACGCCATTCGAGAACGAGAATTGCTAGCATACAGCGAAAGAAAAAGCAAAAAAAAAACTAGGAAATATCTATGGTAAGAACAGAACGAATGTAACTCAAATGAGTAATACGGAGAAAAAGGAAAAGAAAAAAAATCGACTTGCGTAATTTATTGCACAGCAAAAGTATTGTCTCAATCAATTAATTAACAAATTAAATCAGTAGATTGTTCTATCAGGACATAATTATCATGTTCGAAACGACGTTATGTACAAGTTAGAAAGTGCATGAGGTCTGATACAAATCCAAAACGCACTAAGAGAAAAAAAACAACTACGTCAATTACGCACTACTTGTTTTTTTTACGTGCTCTGTAGTTATGTTTGACACATATATGATCCAGCTATTAGTATTTATATATGCTACAGTTTGTTATATATTATTCTTTCGGCGACATTTTTTTGTGTTCTTTAGATAAACACTTCCATTGATAGACTATCAACTTGAAAATTTCACTCTGAAATCGATTAGTAAAGAAAATTGTTTTTTCGCATCGGCAAGATATTTCCTGACTTTTTTTATTTTTATTTTTCTTTTTCTCAATATGACACGACTAATCGACGCGTACGTCATTATCCTTTATCGTTCGATCAAGCGTGGAGCATAGAAATCAGTTAGAATATTACTACATTCTCAAATATTTATTGTTCGAACGAACATGAGGCGAATATTTAATACAAATGAAAGTGTTCGTCTTCGACAGGAGATTTTATCTCAATGTATATGGAGTGACACGTACAGTTCATTGAAACATATTCTCAAACGAACAGCGCACCAATTGCCATTGCTGATCTCATTTCTCGATCCACATGCCGAACAAAATCTTGACGAACAACAAGCAACGAAAGATAATTATCGAACGATCTTCTTCTTCGATCGAAATGTCTCAAATAAACTTCTATTAACTCCATTGAGACAGTCCGAACATCAACCAGATCAGTTCGATATCTATCCTGAATATTGTACATTTGCTATAACAGATTTATTCAAGGGTTTGTTCGAATTCATACGAAATGGCCAACGGACGGCGAAAGTTTTTATCAACCTTGAACAATTGATCGCATTCATAACAATCAACGTACAGTCGTCAATCGTTTTCATCTCGCGTGATCGTGTCGTAGGTTACTTTCAAGATTCACCTCAATGGTCAAGTAAAGAATATCCTCAAGGATCTATTTTCCGAGCTGAACGTGTTCATCGTTCATCTGTTCTGACTGGTGATGGTCATCGCATTCCCAATGATTATCTGGAATGCCGCGACGAAGACGGTTATACCGTTTTCTTAAAAACCGATCAAAACGGTCGTTTTTCTCTCATATCAACTTCCAGCGAACAGCAACAGTCACAATCGGAAATGTACGTTCATTCAACTCAAACGCCAAATATTGGCCAATTGATTAAGCATATCACGGGTCACAATGATAATGGAAATCATAACAATTGTATTCGACTTGTTCGTGGTTCCGTTCCGCAGAATTTTCTTTGTCAATATTTTCAACTCGTCCGTCAACATTCGCACGATGTTTTGGTCGGTTTAACGCAAGAAGGACTGGTGATCGAATGGAATCTCGATAGTCATGTTCCATGCCGATACGCTACGAATCTCAATGATATTCTCGACACTATTGATGGATCTACACTTACTCAAACACTTGAATCATATGTCGACCAAGCTCGAGCACATTATCGAGAGAACTTTCAATTGGATATGCAATTAGTATCAACAGTAGATTGGACAGCATTTTTTCAGTATTGGAAATCCATAGGAAAACTACGCCGAAAATATAATGATGATAGACCTATTCCATATCAAAGTCGCCATCGATTCCATCTTGTTGGTTCTCTTCACGTAGGCAAAGAACGTACTTCTGAAGTTTTCACGTTCAATTGTTTTACTTTTAGGATCTATCAGATCATCCACGAACACTCGCAGCAGCATTTCGAAAATATCACAATTTGTTATTAACAGACGAAAATAGTATTGTTCAGAATAAGAAATCTCTTTCGCGTAAACAAAGTTCTTTATTCTCCCAAATGACGAAATTGATCCCTGTGCCGTTAAATTCGAAGAGACAACACTCAGATCGCTCATCCCATCGAAATCCTCTTGCGAATGCGCTACTATTTTCAACAGGTGAACAACCGTTCGATGAAAGTATTTACGATTCCAATCATATTCTTCCAACATCATCAAAAGATCATCTGATTCAGCCAAACCGACGAAAAACCAAACGTATATAAAAATAATCGAGCAAAGCACGCGAATTTAACAAAAATCGATTTTCTTTTTTTAATAATTATTTTCATTTTTTTATTATTTCATATTCATCTGTATGAGTGATGATAGATTTATATATTTCGAAAAAACAAATTTCATATGCATATATGTACGTGTACATATGCGTAGGAAAAAAGTACATGAAAAGGAACAAAAGCAGAAGAAAAAAGAGAATACCTCACTGATACTGTTATTGAACAAACAATATGCATACGTTTTCCTCTCAACAAAACAACTACTCAGCATTCAAAATGCACGCTTTATTGATCGAATAGGACAACGATCATGACTCGCATTATTTGACCTAAAAGATTTCCGTTTTTTGTTTTTTGTTTAATGTAGAACATAAAATACTTCGAGAAGAGAGAAAAAAAACGAACGACAACGAGAAAATAACAAAAAGATATGTGTACACAAAGATGAAGTTTTTCTTACGCAATATGAACAATAAATTAAAGAAAATAGTCCGGCGTCTTTCGTGTTACGTGAGGTTCACCGCGTCGTGGCGCAGGATCGAATTGAAGAAATGAGTATTTCAATGAATCATCTAATTCCATAATGGCAGCTTGATTACCACAACGATAGCAGTAATTAGGTGCGGAAAATATCGTTACTACATTCTTCTCATGACACCAATTGTATCCTAAAGAAATTATCGGAAGTTAAAGTATGAGAAAAGATATATAAGTTCTTCCTGACCTTCCATGACAAGTTGATGTGCTCGAGAAACGAGTTGTAAACCATTTGTATGATTGAATGTTTCCGATATGTCTTGTCCGAAAGTATAACCAGCACCACGTGGTGAAATACCCCAACCACCCCGATCATCTGGATCAGACCTAAATAAACAGGATGTATATCGATGGATATCAATCTATTCTTTCTACTTACCATAGTAGATCACACATAGGCCCTTCGTGTGGCACTTCTTGAATTCGATCTAATGCTCGGATATGATCCAGCGTGTCGATCGATGGACTAAGACCTCCATGTAAACAGAATATTTGATTATCTACAATTGCTGTTAACGGTAGATAATCGAATAGATCAGTAAAATATTTCCAGACATTGGCATTGCCATATTTTCTCAAGCACTCATCGTAAAATCCATAGACTTGAGTAATCTGCCGAGATTCATGATTTCCACGTAAGATTGTTATACGGTCTTGATAACGCACTTTAAGTGCGACAAGCAATGTGACTGTTTCTACTGAATAATACCCTCTATCCACATAATCACCCATAAATAAATAATTCGTATCCGGTGCATCACCGCCAATTTTGAATAATTCCATGAGATCATGAAATTGACCCTAGAAAACAAAGAAAATATGTGAAGAATGTCGTATATTTCTTTCATGCTTCTTGCATCTCTATCTTACATGTACATCACCACACACTGTTACTGGACTTTTTACTTCTTGCACATTCGATTCTTTCGAAAGAATATCTTTAGCACGATCACATAAGAATTTGACGTGATTCTCTTGTAACTGCTTGCATTCTTTCAGTTGTTCAATCCACGAGTCGAGTTCTTTCGCTGATTCTTTCTTTTCGTCTGTCATTCTATTTCCTCCTTTTTTGTATTTCAATTTTATCTAGAATAAATAGAGATGCTCTTTTGTTGGTGTTTTTTATACGATCGTTTAAAAAGCAAAGTGCAATTCGTGTAATGTTGGCATCCATGTCATACAAAACAATGTATATATATATAGTCACTCGTAGGTGGGTGAAAAAAATAGAGATGAATAATAGTGAAATTCTCTTGACTCACAAAGAGTAAAAGAGATAAAAATAAACAAAGGTATTAGCGAATAAACAAGTGCTGAGATTCATTGATGATACGCTGTGTTCTTGAATTCATAGATTATTAACGATAAATTTGGAAGAAGAAAAATTGAAAGATTGAATTTGAAATAATTTAATCTATGATGCATCGCTCTCGATAGATGTCGTTAATTTCGAAAACATCTCGTATATGAATAGAATTAATGATTCAACAAGCCGGAAAGTGATATTCGAATGAATAGGAAAGAAAACTTTGAATTATTCAGATCATAATAAAACGCGTTGTCATCGTAACCGATCTTTCTTTATTGACGGATGGCTATTTACAGATTCGATCGATTCTCTTCCTTTCTTCTGCGGTTATAGAGAGAACCGATTACACATTTGAAAACAAATTTATTTTTATTTTTGACACGAATCAGTTTTTATCAGGAAAATTAGTAATGGCCAAATCAGGTAAAGTCTATAAATATTCTGTGGAACTTGATGTTCATGCTGTTGATGCGCCCGGTACTCGATTAACAACTAAAGGTGATATTTTCGTTAATATTTGTCTATTGGGTGTACATAGACGTTCACGTTTATTGCCACCTCATTTGCCCATGCAGATTGATCAGAAGTTCTATTTTGAAAAAGTAGTTCATCTTTCTCGAATCGTTTCTTATGTTAAACAAAGTATTTCTTCTCAATAGACTTTTAAATCTTGTTATGATCCTCGAGATATTATTGAACGATTAAAACGTAAGTATTGACAAAGAAAAAGTTCTGACAGCGTGTAAGAATTGTTTCTACGTAGGCGAACATGTTCTTGTCGAACTTTTACAAGCAAATGGATCGGCACCCACTGTACTCGCAAGTTATGAGACAAGTGCAAAAGATTTTCTTTATCCGTACTCATGGGATCGAATTCAATATGCGGGCTTACGACGTTATGTTCTGCTCAGTCGAACAGTCGATTTTCCAGGAGTATCGCCTAGTTTTGAATTTACCGTTAGTCCATCGATCCAAGAAGGTGGCAGCGTTCGGAAATCAACGAAAACTTATAAACTACCGGCACCAATCAATTCTGGCAGTAAAAGTGTAGGCTTCACTTTCTCTGTTTTCTCACAAATGACCAGGAAAGTGTTTGATTGTTTCAGCCGAAACGGGCAAAATCACCTGTGTGGAGACCATCATCTGCCTATCCAAATCGGTAATTGAATCTCTTCTCAGATGTCGGAAATCACGATAATATTGTATAGATCTTCTTTGAACCATTCACCGAATGTATCTCGCTCAGTAGCATCGCATACGATATCGTCAGCAGTGAAAAATGATTATTCACGTCATGACATACAGGAGAAACTGAGCGAACTAGCTGTTCCAGGTGAAGTTAGATATGTTGGGCCACTTAATAAAACACTCGGACGAGAACCGTTCGTTGTACGACATGTAAGTCTATTTCATAGAAAGCAATCTCGAAAGAAACTGTTCGCAACTAGGTTGACAATAGCCTGATTGGTCGTACGCCTAAGTCCCATCTTGTGATGGATGATGGGTTGATTGTTAATGATTATTCCTTATCTCGAGCTGGAAGTTCGGCTTCCTTATATTCACAGGATGATGTTGCAAATCGTTCACGATCGACTTCTCCAATGTATAATCGAGGTTATCGATCAACCGGTGCACGAACACGCTCACCATCGCCAATACGTCGTTCGGTACGATCATCGCGCTCTTTTGATTTCGACCAAGAAAGACCACCTGAACGACGTTCTCACACACGATTATATAACAAATATAGCAATGATAGTGGTGATGATTATCATGATCGAGAAAACGGTATATCACAGATCTCTACGTTTTGCTTGATGAATATCTTTTATATAAACAATCTCTAGAGTATCATTCGACTAAAGATTGTGCGATATGTCGATTACATCGCATTCATAGCGAACGAAGTCGAAGAACAAAATCTATAGAGCAGGTTGTCCATAAACTCGTAGCAAAGATTCCCTCAATAATCGAGAAAATCTTTATTTTCTAGCAAAAGTTCGCTTCAGTTTCAAATCGTAGATCATATATACCGGGTAAAATACATGTCTGAGTTCGTTTGATTATAACTTTAATTTCCATGTTGCACACGTTTTTCTGAACATGTCGACTAACTATTTTCGATTTCTTAGATATCTACTCGAGTCCCGTGCCACGACCAGTAACAAGTGCGACATTAGTCCGTGATCCATTTCGCAATCGTCATCGACAATCACCAGCAGGCGAATTAAGTGACAAGGTTATTCATACACTTCGACGTAATCTCGATTCATATGTAAGAAAAATACATTCTGAATGTCCTCGGGAAATAAACAGATCTTGATTTTAGAGTACACAACCATGGCATAGTTACTATTCCGCTTTTCGTTACTCCGATGGTCATACCGATGATGATGAATTACTTGAACGTAGCCGTCGATTAATAGAAAATTAAATACTTGCTACGTCGATCATATATAAATATTTCCATTGAATTGTGCTTTAGATTAGTTAAGCTTTTTCGTTTTGTTGTGTTTTCTTTTCACACACTTCAGACTATCTTCTTCTCCCTCAGGTTGCTTGCATAATCATAGAAAGAATAATAGAAATGTTGTCTTTTTTAATCGAAACAGTGAACAGTGTTATTTGTAATGTGATCAACAGTTATTCTATTCGGTATACATGCATATATATTTTTGATTAGAGAGTATATAGTTTTATTCCTGTTGAAGTTGTATATGAATACATTCGAAAAACTTATTTTTGTATGCGTGTGTGTGTTTATGCTTGTCTTTTACTTAGACGTCTGCAAAAGAAGTTTTTCTCGTATTTTTCTCCGTTCTTCGATATTATTATAATAAAAGTCTTCGCTACTAAATACCTTTTATTGAAAGTATGAAATGAAGTGAAAAGAAACGTTTTAAAATCGACTCGACCGTTTGAATAAGATTCTAATTACAGAAATCATCGATTAGAAGATTTCTCTAATTTAACCGAAGCCGAAAAGCTCGCGTATTACAGACAAGTTTTCATTTTTCATGTCAAGGCTATTTATTAATAAATCAAAGTCAAGAAAGAAATGTCTTTTGAATACAAAAGCGACGGATTACATTTACGACGGATTGTTTACAATGGTATCGAGATTTTCATTGGCAAGTAGTATAGCCTTTATCTTTTCGGTTAAGTCGAGACCATTACATTGACAGCGAAGATGTTTGGGATCTTTACTCCAGCATTGGTTTGTTTGAATTCGATAATATTGATGTTCGAGACAATACTTCTGACACGTTGTTTCCCAAGCTGGATAAAGGCATTGACCAGATGTTTGTTCTAATATGAACATGGACACGATAAAGACAACCAAGTATCTCATCGGATTAGTTTGCATAGTACTAATCTATAGGTGAGCGTATACGAGAATGTTTCGTTTTTAAATGAGCATTATATATTTCACCTTCATGCTTCTGCAGATAAAGCATTTTTATTGTTATGTTGTACTCGCAAAGAAAAAACTACACCCATATGTGAAGGACATCGGATATCAAGGTCTGTGGAAATCAATACGTCGATAAGATATTTATTTCATATAAATAAATAATTCACGAAAACATGCTGAATAACGAATGAATTCAAATTTTTTCATTGCATGCTATCATCTCCTGATGTATTCTTCGTTTTTCTTTTTATCTTGACATTTCTTTTGAATGTTATCATGTACTACAAAGCACTTCACCTTGAGAAATGCATTTTTCATAGCTTGAATCAAATTTAGCCTCGATTTAATTTTCATAGAAGTGGATGCAGAGACAAGATTGGTCGTTTCCGTTTTTCTTAACTATCACATAAATGTTTAAAATTGACGTTCACAAGAAACAAAACAATTTCCGTAAGATGCGCACACGTACATTTACACTAAAATGATTTCGGTGGGGAGAAACAATGTTCGATTAAGTGCGCATAGGCTTCTCCTCACAAGTTATATGAATCCAAATAAATAAGCAGTTAAGAGAACAAAATATATAGAAAGAATTGTAACGAGGAGAAAAACAAACGAATAGAAACAGAATGTGTGTACGTTCGACAACCACCCAGAAAAGGAAAACAAGCATAACAATGAGTGAAAGAAAGAAAAGGAGGAGAAGAAGAAGAAGATCTCATTCGAGAACCACAGTCTTAAAAAACAGTGAATATGATCAATTATCTCAAAGTTTTTGATCAAGATGAAGATGGTGATTGTTCATAATTGTCTGTTGTTGATTGTACGGGCTCTGAAATAAAGAAAAAACGAGATAGAATCGGATGTTGAATTGGTCAATTCATGAAAAATTCAAAGTAAACAAATAGCTCTGATTCCCGTCATGAATAAAAGTGAAGTGACTAACGAAACATGCGTGTTAGTTAATGGCTGATTTTTTTTCTTGAATGTTAGTGAAACTATGTTACATGAGAATTGATCCATGACACTTCAGCATCTGTTGAGTCATTTGCAAGTCGCGTTTCTAAAGCAGGGGAGTCAAGACAAATGCAATTAGGAGGAATAAGCTGTTGGATTATCGAACAAGAGGCAAAAATAGAGGTAAAAGAAAACTTCGAATCGAAACTAACGTGGTACAAAGTAATTATTTGCTTGATTGGTTGATGCATGGGTTGGCATACCAGCCGAAGGTGTCGGAATGAGATCATTGAGAGACACATTAGGATTCGGTGCAGTTGTACCTATGGTTCCAGCAAGTACATCAACATAACGGGATTGGTTCGCTGGAGACAGAGAAAAAAACAGTTTTTCATGAAAATCAAATTCATTGTTTTAGAAAATAAGAACTTACGACGATTTCTAAGAGAATATTGATTTGACGCGGCAGCTGGTGGAGCTTGACTTTGTTGCTGCTGTTGCTGCTGCTGTTGTTGTCTTATAGCCTGTAGGCGTTGTTGAGCGGCAGATAACTGTCCAGGTACCCTCTGCTGCTGCTGCGGCTGTTGTTGTTGGGGTAGATGGGATTGATTTACAGGTTGAGCGGCTGCAGGCGTTGATGCCGGCGCCATTGTCGTGGCATTTGGTTGTGTAGGCCAAACAGCAGGCGTGACTTGAGAAGGTTGTGTGTTTGTATTGGAGGTGGTCGTTGTTCCAGCAGCGAAACTGGATGTTCGAATTTGAGAAGGTGCGGGTGGTGCTGTGGAATGGAGTGTTGATGTTGGCTGTTGAGGCATACCAGGTGGCATTGAAGGACTAAATGAAGATGATGGTTGTTGTAGCTGTGAATTAGGCGCTGCTGGAGCTGCGGTGTTCAGTTTCGATGCCGATGGTGGTGGTGGAGGTAGTGTCGCTGCTTGCTCGCTTGCAGATTTTGATGTATCGATCCATTTACCTGTTTTTTCATCGAATTTGAACTAAAGAACAATCAAGAGAGCAAATGTTTGATTATTTCCAATGGAAAGATATCTTTTTCGCTTACTGCTTTGTTTTTGTCATCGGGTAAATGAGCTTGAGGTGGTCGTTGCAGACCGAAACGTTTCATAATGTTTCCGAACATACCACCTTTCTGTGCAGCAGCAGTCGCAGCGGCTGCAGCAGCTTGACTGGATGTAGTTGTATTGGTTTTTCCGTCGGATGATTTAGGTGCATTATTCTGAACGTAAATAGAAAACAAGATTACAATTTCAGAGTTCCATCTATTGATGTAAGTTTGTCCTTACTGGAAAAACATCGTCACTATCATCAAAACAAGCGTGCTTCTTCTTAACTATGCCATTCGTTTGTTGATGTTGTTGTGGTAAATCATCAGATATTGAAGATGTTTGATTATTCTAAATAGACGGCATACAATAATCACTAAAGATTACTTTCTCAGACAATAAGAAGAAATAATAAGATGTAAAACGTGTTCTGTTAGAAATGTGACATGGAAAACGAAGCATAAGTTAATATATATGCACAAGATAATATTCGAGACAAAGAAGTGTTTATACCGTCGGATACGACATTAATTGAGTTTGTTGATAAAGAGAATTAGTGGACTCGGGAATATTTTTGATATTATTAGTACTGAGATTGGATTGTGTTGATGTCGATGAAGTCTTTCTACTATTTATCATCGCTGCTGATGTTTGCCAATTTGATGAGGATATAGTTCCACTATCATCAAAAGTAATAATCGATGCGCGACGCTTCATCGATTCCATTTGTTGTTGCTAAGACATTTAGTGAAGGTATTACACAAGAGCATAGATACTCATTCGAATAACATCTTTCTATCTTATCTGTTATGCTGAACAATACATACCTCATTCGATGGCAGACGATCTCGAGTATCATTGTGTCCCGATGGATACCAATGTTGTTGTTGAGCAGATTGGGGATTTGGTGTGCTAGTATAACCTGGTTGGATGTATTGTGACTGATCACCCGATGGTTGATAATATGAATTATTAGTAGATGGCACTTGAGAGGATATGGTTAGATGATCTGATTGAGTAGGAATGGCCGTCGGTTGTTGAGACCATTGTTGAGGATAGGTTGATAACTCCTGTGGTTGAGTATCAGGTGGATAGTATTGCGAAGGATAATGCCCATTGGTATCAACTAGAAAAGAATGAGAATGAATACTTATGGAAGACAAGTAATGCTTTGTCTACCTTTAAGATTGTTTTGATAATTAGCTGTAGTCACATTTGAGTAGGACATTTGGTCTGTTGGAATTGGATTTGCCGCGTTATAACCATTGGTGATCTAAGAAATCAAACTCATAGATTCTTAAATTAAAATGGCATATAAACATACGTTTATTGCCGGTGCATTAGACGAAGGAGGTATTGACGCTGTGCTTGTTATTTGTTCTGGACGGTGATTTATATTTGATGTTTGCACCTCTGGATCTATCATCAAAGAAAAATAAATCAATGTTAGTACAGGACAAAAGCATACATGTGGAAGGATTCATCGGTTGTTGTTGATGTTGGGTTACTTTCGTTGATTCTCGGTTAGTTTGTAACGATGAATTAAATGATTCATCCCGTACTGTTTTGTTTAAAAAGGCATTATCCTGTAAATAGGAAGACGAAGGCATCTCTTTCTATTCTTGTCATCGAAAATCGACGAAGTACATACCAATAAACTTTGAATAAGACGTCTCAGCTCAATTAACCATGCTGGTTCTTTGTATGAGCCTGGATCAAGTTGAAAATTTCGACTGAATACTCGAGATTTCTCAGCAATCAGTATAAACAATTGTAAATCCACTAATTGCACATAAGAAGTGTTGCCTTGACGAATCAAAGTGTGTCCGATTTCTTCGCAATAAGCTAATGCTTCTCTCTTCAATCCATGAAGGACTAATTTTGATGTATAGTATATTTTCAGTGGAATAAAAGTGACTAAAGTCGTTCGCAATGAATATTCATAAACTTCAGTCAGTTGTAAATTCGGAATTGTCGCAAATGAGAGATTTGGTTGACCAGCATGGACACTACCAATAACAGCAATTTTATCTGCATTATTTCGATACGATCCAAATGGAACGTTGGCAATTAAGTAACAAAAATGTCCAGCATAAATTCTGCCGGATGTTACCAATGCATCGCCCATAGTTTTAACACAAAGATCAACAAATTGCGCATTGATATCAGTACGATTTGCTAGAATAACTGCTAAGTGCCGTTTCCAATCTCCATAATGTGGTTTAGTAACATTCGTGACAACAGATGGAGTTGAACCAGCTCCCAATTCATAGAATGTTTTCAAGATGTCGCCATTATCAAGATTCGAGATAATATTGTGAATTGTTTTCTCAAATAACTGTCGATCGGTTAAATAAGATATAATCAAGGCATGAGTATATAACTGATTTTCACAAGCAAATTTAATGCTCGTATCGATTTCGCCAAGAGCAAGAAATTCACGGAGAGAATTTTCTAATGTTGTCGTCGATGACGATATTGAAGTATTCTGTGAGGAAGATTCATCAGCGACTGGAGTGTTACTTGATGACCAAAGGATCTTTGGAATGTCAACACGAACATCAACAACCTGAAAATGGAAGCTATGAATGGAAACAACGGTTTCAAAAAACATACTCCATTTTTATTAACAAGTAATGCCATATATTTCCAAAGAATTGATAAGGCATCTCGATCAATAATGTGAGTAGCTTTGTTAGCTAATTGAGATTGCCGTTCACAATAACGAGTCACGTTAGATTTTGCAGTTGATCTAAACTCGAACACTTTCTTTATCTTTTTCATCCTTCGAAATTGTCTTTAAACATACGAAGTCAATGGACCGATGAAATCCGACATTAACTGCCGTTCTTCAACTAAAGACGGAGCCAGTGTATGTATACTCTAAACAAACGAAGAGAAGGTAAGGAATGATAGTCGAATTTCTGACAGGAATTTACATTTGCAGAGACAATTTCAACAGTTGCTGGTTGGTTGGTGTCACTGGGTGATTGAGGTAGAACTTGTATGAGTTGATCAAAGACAAATTTCGCACGTAAATGAGGTCGAATATAAAGAGGTGGAGTTCGTCGTGCTTTCGACGATTCTTCATTTACTTGGGCTAAATCTGATTTAATACTAAAACGATCACTACTTGTAGCATCGGAATTTTCTTCACTTCCTTCCTCGTCGTCGTCATCATCATCGTCATCATCATCATCATCATCATCTTCGTCTTCGCCATCGGCTTTCACTGCATTACTGGCTTTTGTCTTGGACTCTGTTGCCGGTATTTGTTGATTAGGAGCTACCGACGTAGTTAAAAGTGCGTTCGGATCGACAGGTGCTTTTGTTTGTCGTTTCACTGCATTTACACCACCTTGTTGCTGCTGTGCTTGTTGCTGTTTTTGAGGGTAATATCCGTTGACAAAAGCGTTGTGACTTTGACTAAGAGAAGACAGCATCATGAAACAATTATTTCGAACAAAATCAATCACTTACTAGTACGGATCATTCAATGAATCAATTGAGCCCCATGTGTGCATAGAAGAACTATGTTGGGATTGTTTTGATTGTGATAGAGCAGCCGAATGATGACTATATCTATCATCTTCTCGTTGTGTCATTTGTGACCAATATTTCATCATTTCATCATTATATCCAAAATTGTAAGGATGTTGATAACTAGCGTACATTGACTGCCAATATGCATCAAACCATGGATTATACATTCCAGGAGGCATAAAACCTGGATATCCTTGCGATGGTGGCATTCCTGGAATAGCGGGTGTTTGGCTTTGACCACTAGTTTGTCCGTTCACTAATGATCTTGATGATGAAGCAGGTGCATTTACACTTTGACGAGATGGTGGACGAGACGATTGACGTGATTGTGGTCGATCCATGGCTGTCTGTTGGGATGGCATCATCATCATTCCTGGAGGATAGGGCATCATAAAAGGCGCAGGAAAACCTCCAGCAGTCCATTGCTGTTGCATTTGCATCATTGCTGCCATTTGTTGTTGCTGCTGTTGTTGTTGTTGTTGAGCATTGAATACATTTGTTGACAGATCTGTATCAGCGGCACTAGCAGTTACTGGAGCATATTGAGTAGGCACAGGTTGTTCTGACGTTAGTTGAAGTGGTGGTTGTTGAGGCGGCACTGGCTGTTGTTGTTGCTGCTGCTGCTGCTGTTGATAGTGTTGTGGATTCATTGTGGGAATAGGAGGTACTGTCGAAGGAATGTAATGAGCCGGAGGAGGCGGTAAATTTTGAGGATGATCAGTAATCGATTGATCCATCATCTATGAAAAAATTCAAATAAATTCTAAGAAAAAAAATTGAGGATGAAAACGTGTCATTTACATTACTAAACAAGCGTTGTACCGTAGTAGAATGGATTGATTAAAGCGTGGCATTTTTGAAAATTATCATTGGTTAAATGTAGCCATGAGAATTTCATTTTATTCTTTTTCATTTGAAAATTCACGATTTTTTATTTGAGAAAATTTCTTATTTGACTGAAAAATTATTTATTTTATATTCTCAAAAAAGTTTTTATTTCAAATCGTTTTATTCAATAGAATTCTGTAGCGACATCTGTCGAATGTCGAGCGAGTTCAGAAAATTTCACTAATCTGGTTGAAAATATTCGAAGGTTCGGAACTGATTGACATGTTTATATCACTTTGATACGCATCAGTAAATGTTTCTAATTTCTCCAGTAAATGTGGTAAATTTCTCGAGAATAAGTCGTCGGTACTCAAATCAACACATGACATTTGCATACTTTTCCGTAAAAAATGCGCTGTTGTCATTGAGAACCTAGCCGGAATTAGAGCACTGAATTGGTCATCGAAATTCATACTGCTCTTCAGCGATGTTTTCGAATAGCAAGAATTCATATGTCGCAAGAGACAAATCAGAACTGGCTTTTGATACATTTCGCATATACGTAATTCATTCAAACAAAGCTCGTTATGGAAATATGTTGGTGTTAAACAAATAATCATAATCGAACAATGACGAATATCCCTTGAACTGATTATTGGACGTACATCCACAGATGTTGAGGTTATTGACGATTGATTGAAGCCATTCGAATACGAAGTAATGAAAGGCTTCGATAGAATTTTTGGAAGATAGCAACTAGAAAGAGATGAAAAGCACTTAATGAACTTCCAAAGGAAACTTTTATTCTTAATGTACCTATATTGTTCTCGCGCGGTATTGGGATGACTTGTGACTTGAAATCCAGTGTAAAAATGATGTTTTTCAAGGGCAATGATCAACCGTTTAATTATATGCATGACATTCCATTTCTCCTGGAATTTCGAATAACTCACATAGACAAAACGCGAGTTTTCTAAGTACGAAAAAGAAGTCAAATTCTTTCTGAAGAGTATAGTTTTCGCTTTTACTTTCACTTAGCAATGCCGATACTTCTGGATTGGGATTCGGTTTGTTAATCTGTTTTTGATTGCATACCGATGCATTGATTTGCGATGGTAAATGTGAGTACAGGGTGGCCAAACCATCTTGTAATGATTGATGAATAAAATCAACCATCGGATAATCATCTACAGATCATCGAAAAACTATTTTTCTATTCAGAAAAGTTCAATGATTTTACTGAGCAAAGCACGAAGTGTTGATCGCATGTTATTCCAAATATTTTCGAGATAAACTGTAAGAATTGATTTTTCAAACCATTCGGCAATGGTCAATTCAAGAAATGGAAATATTGAACATGAAGATTTCTTCGTTAGAATATAAATCACATATTTTGCACGAGCAAGAATCGGTCCGTTCAATGCTAAAAATTGATGTTTACTTCTTCCATAGTGGAGTTGATGTGCAAAAACCTTAACAATCAAGTCGTTCTATCGAGGAAAAAGAACGACGAGTTTTACTTGAAAGTTTTTCTCTTTCAAATAGTTTGAAATATGATGAGCCATTGTCGAATCTTCCGAATGATGGATGATATACACATGATCAGAGAGTCCTTTGTTTTTTATCGATGTCCAATGCCATTGCAATGAATCCTGTCGTTCCTCGTGAATAGTTTCTAAAAGCAACAATCGAATTTCATCCGGTTAGTTTTACAAGAACATACGTATGACACGTTCGATCAAATCATGTCGTATGTGAGCGTCATTCATGAGAAAATATTCTTTCAGTTCATTCTCTGTACATGACAAAAACAAGTAACCATCGATTTGTTTTTCTAAGAATACATTTCGACTCGATTGTTGAACTCCGCAACGTCGGAGAAACGATTGAATATCCTCGGGCGTCCAAGTGCAAAGAGGCTTAAATTGCTCGTCGTGAATGACCAGAGAATTCCTCATGAATGAAAAAGATTTATACGGGATCAATTTTCGTAATAAATCATCGAAGATAATCATGATTTGCTCATTAATATTCGCGATTGTATTCGTAGTCTTATATTTATAGAAATAATCTGCTTGTGAACATAGATNGAAAACGAAAATAAATTAAATTATTATGAATTGAAAATTGAATTACATTTCTATTGTTTCATTCATTGTCGAGATCAGATGCCTTTCATCTCTTCGAGAATTTGATTGATCATCAAAAAGAAAAGAGACGTCTACTAATGACGAGTTGAAACATTATTAAGTGATGCAACTGATTCTCATCGATGAGAATAGAAGAGAGAACTGGTAGACATTAGAAACTACATCTATCTCGATAAATGACATGTCAATATTTGATGTCACATTCTTTGGAGTAGATACTTAGCTGTTTAGGATGCATTTGCGGACTTCGTTTCATTTGATTCGAGTTCACTATTGCCGACTGACCGATAGTGTAATCGAATGGTCATACATCATCATTTCTTGTCTTCAAACGGGGCGTTTAATGGTTGACCCGATCGATTTCAAGTCGTTTCTCTTTTCATCCGTGTCGAATGCGTGACAGAAATATGTGTTTGTATAGGTCAAGAAAATGACTAACAACTATTGTTATCAATCAATGAAAAGAAAAGAGAAGTGTGTAGACAAACACACTACCGCATAGCTCATAAAAATTAACCTACGTCGTAAAATCAGTTCACATGTATACATCTATGTTTCAACTCGTCATTAGTAGACGTCTCTTTTCTTTTTGATGATCAATCAAATTCTCGAAGAGATGAAAGGCATCTGATCTCGACAATGAATGAAACAATAGAAATGTAATTCAATTTTCAATTCATAATAATTTAATTTATTTTCGTTTTCTTTGTTGTCATCTGTATACAACCTTACTTAGACATAAAACAGACACGCAAAAAAAAGAAGAAAAGAACGACGAGACGAAATGAAAAAAAGAAAAGAAGAATATCGAAATATTTATATCTAATTACAATTCTTGATGTCGCGGAGTAGGAGGATCAAGACCTGAGACGAGAGTCAACTGTACATTTTTATTCAAACTAACTGCTGGATAATAAACACCACCTTGAGTTAAGTTGGAAAATGCGACTGGACCGTGAACTTCATCATTGATATAAAAACTTAGCGTTCCATTGGTTAAATCGAGTAAAATTCCGATGACTGAGCCAACTGATATTCCACCATTGATGCGATTCGTGTGCTGACCGTTGTGCATGAACCATGAACGTTGAGAATCAATATACATACACCATGATTTGGAATCTTTCCCTAAATTAAAGATGAATTCGAATCTCTATTAGCGAGAAGTTGACAATTCTTACCGAGCATATGTTCTTTAGGTACATCGAAGCGTGCAATACCAAACGCTGGGTCAGGTTTGTCATCATAACGTTGAATGGTGATTTCCCAGTAATGTATACCATTACGGAAGCCACGTGAACCAAGGGCGACACGTTCCTGTGAACTAAGACATGTGATTGAATCTAAATTATAATGATGATCCGACGATGGATTGGTTAAAAATTGTATATCCGGATGTGCTGTTCGTGGATTAAATGTAAACCAATAAACTAGAGGAACAAAATCAAAACAAATACGAATGAATGTGTGTATGAATGAATATCCTGTTTGATTTGTTTATATACCGGAAGATGAATGAAGCGTTATACATTCGCTATAGGCACTTTCACCTGCTTGATTGTAAGCTTTGACTCGTGCTGTATAGACATTTGATGGAAGAAGCCCATCAACTGCACACATTGTTTCAGTACCATCGTACACTTCCTATGAGAGAGAATGTAGAACAGAAACATTAATCTTATCGAAATGTTATTTTTTTTCTTCTTTACCCGAAATTCTGAACCGACTGTGCCATCGTCTAATTCAAGAATAAAACCTTGAATAGCGCCGAGATCACGCATAGACCAGGCGAGTGTGCCTGAAATCGTCGTCGATTGTTCATCATGACATAGACATTGTTCGGCAAGAAAACGAGGAGATAATGGTGCTAAAAAACGACGAAGGAAAGGCAAAAATGAGGAACATCAATTTACGTAATCCAACATCAATATTAGTTCATTCGATTAAGACATATCTCGAAAAGCATTGTTCATTTATTGTTAATCGAACTCTCTTCTCTTCTCTTCCTAGGGGGGATAGAAAACCTTGAGAGGCATGAAAGGAAATCCGTACATGGCTGCGACGTTAACGAATCTCTTCACGTCACACAGAGAAGAGCAAAAAAAGAGAAGTATTTCCGTAAAATGATCAAAATCACTTTTGGTCTCTTCTTGTGTCATATTTATTCAAAAAACAAAAACGATGAACAAGAAATCAAGGTCATTCCTGATCAGCTTGATAATAGAGAAGACATACATAAGAAGACGCAAAAAGATTCTTATCATCGTCATCATTCTCAAATCCAAACTCATCCGTTCAATAAACAAACTCATGATGTTACAATATTTATACCCTCGGATTCTCTATCAAGGATGAGACTACTAACAGATGTATCTCTCTTGCGTCTTACTTTGTTTATCTTTGTGTGAGAAATCAAAAAAGCAAAGTTCGAAGAAAGTTGTTATGTGAACATTAATATTCCGCCAAAGATATGTCTGGTGTAATTTTAGAAGACAACGTCTTATGTCTGAATAAATATTACCCGAACATGCTAATTGTTTCTTTGTATAGAACAGAAACTCAATCGAGAAAATTCTTTTATCGAATCGAGATCGATTAAACAATCTGACTCAGACGGATTTGTTTATCGATCGATGAGCGAGGAAGATGAAATTATATAAACAATGTCTTACGTTTGATTTGTTGAAATTGTAAACGATGAATTTCTCGAAGAAGACAGTCTGTATTGAATGTAAAATCGAACTCGTATGACGTATGAGCCTTGCATTCATATTCATCAGAGAATTGCCCGTAAATTGATGAGCATTTACTATTAAAACCATGACATACCTCAATGGAAAGCGGAATCATAAGAGTGCGACAAAGATCGTGGAGAATAACATACTTGAAGATAAGCATATGGATCTGACTCTTTGAGCGCTTCGATTGAAAATTGTAGGAAGCCTGTCGTCTGTTGAATATGTGCATTATAGGACGAGTATTGTTGATGAATCAATGAAATTTTTCGGTCGACTTCTTCGTGAATAAACGTTACTAATTCTTGTTTTTTCTTTTCAAGTGTATAGATGAGATGATCGATGTCTTTGAGAAGGTTTTGCTCGAAAAGTTCACCATTTTTCTAAACGAAAGACGAACAAATTGTTCTCAAGAGGATCATTTTTCTTTTTTATTTATTCATTCATTCAATCATGTCTTCATCATCGAGATGATTTTATCAAGAGAAATTATTACGTTGCTTTTCTTCTTGCATGTATTCACATCCGACATGCGCATCTCTGGAGAAAGAGAAGATTCTTCTAACAAGGTTATTTTGTTTGAATGATGGATCTAATGAAGCATACGACTAATACTCATTAGCTACTATCATCCTCTCAAGAAGAATACAAGGAAAAGAGTCCGAACGGATTTGTTTGGATGATTCTATTTGAATAAGAACAACGCCAGGTGATTGAAATAGATCATTCGAAAGCAAAACAAAATGCTTCTCAGTTGGAGTAATTTATTTAATCGAATGATAAAATAAATATCTCAACTGAACACATTGACCTTCACAAGTAAATGACTAGACGATTGACCATCTGCCTTGATTATCTCTATCTATGTTAACCTCCTGCTAGCTGTCTTCAACTCTCTTTCCTCTTATTTCTCTCATTCGAAGAAGAAGAAGAATGATCGGGGCTTATCAGAAGTAAATTACCTTGATATAGTCTGGATACAGCTTCAGTTTGGCGAGGAATTCAGCACCATATTTGGCTTTTTCCGATAAAGATTGTAGTTGTGATGACAATTGAGTCTAGACATTAAAAACTTTGCTTATTAATCAAAAAAAAAACGAGAGAAAAATGATTGATCATTGGGCAGGGAGAAACAAAAAACTGCGAAGGTGTCATTGAATAACATTAAAAATCCGAAATATAAAGAAAGAAAGTGATTTATGCATACACATACATTTCCGCTGATTGCATCATCATACTTTTTTCCAATTTACATAGTAATGTTTCTTGGGAAGACAAGCGGAACAAGAATCTCCAAGTTTATGTTGTAATAAACGAGAGAGAGGGAGAAGAAAAACCGTCCAATGACACTTCACCTCGTGTTAGAACAATAGCAGTTTAGAATAGTACACAATACATTTCTACGGTCATCAAACAGAATCTTGCCGCCGTTTGAGCAAGAATGGTCATCCGGATGGGGGGTTTTCTCTCTTCTCGTCCATTGTTTGCATCACTAATTGAAAAAGGGAGAAGAAAACTTTTTCTCTTTCCGTTTTCTTTCTTCATTAATAATGAAAAAAATGTGAAAAGAGAGGATATGATGATGATGATGATCATAGGACTGGGACAATGGTCAGATTAGATGACTATCCCCGCGCACGCATACCCAGGAGGAACAAAAGCAAAA